GTGACATCTCTCTATTAGTCTGTAATCTTGTAGAGGAGAAAAAGTGGCAGAGTTGATGTGCAGTTTATAGTCTAATCATATTAGCAAATTTGTCCGAAATCATTGAAAAGCCTGGTTTTATAGGTTCAAGTTGTTCAAGGGGGTATTTAATAACGGACACATAAAATGGGTACACCAATTTTTGTGGGAAAACTTTTCATTTGACAACAAAGAATCAGAAAACGTGTTTTTTGGCATTCAATCGAAAATGTCGACAGGAACGAAAAAACTTTTCATATAAGATTTTTAGGTATTTATGAGACCTACAAAATGAGACGACACTTAAAAAGATCCGACTAATAGCAAACATGTTATGGTCGAAAAACGAGGCAAAATGCAGGTTGTTGGTAATGCGACGATAATTTCACGCAACTACTTAAAATTCTTCAAATTCGTAGGATTCGTACTTCTAAATAACCACCACAAAATTTGAGTAGGGTGGTCAAGTAGTTTTTTGAGAATTTTTAATTATTTATCCCAACACACCTGTTTTCCGGCCATCACTGGGTACTAGATTATTGAGCAATATACAGGGTTCGTTCAAAGAGCATTTACTAGCAAAAAAAAGAGTTTACCTTGTCGATATGAATCGCAAACCATTCCGAAAGATAAATGTTATTTTTATGCGAAAAACAATGGTTACGTTTTTTCTTCTAAACAAATCAAACATTTCGTATTTGTGAGTAATTGAACAAATGCGCTACAATATTCAAAAAACAGTTACGATACACATTTTAAAACAAAGCGGATGTGTCTATCATCTTTTGTTGCGAATTACTAAAAAATTCGAAATCTTTGAATTTATTTAGAAGAAAAAACGTAACCCATGCTTTTTTGCATGAAAATAACATTTATCTTCCGAAAAGATTTGCGATTCATATCGGCAAGAAAAACTAGTGTATTTAGTTATAAAAATGCCCTTTGAACTAACCCTGTATGTTGCTCAATAAACTAGTAGTGATGGCCGGAAAACAGGTGTTTTGGGATAAACAATTAAAAATTCTCAAAAACTACTTGACCACTCTACTCCAATTTGGTTGTGGTTATTTAGAAGTACGAACTTGAAGAATTTCATGTATCTGCGAAAAACCATCGTTGCATTACCTACAAGTGCCAAAACCTGCAGTTTGCCTGGGTTTTCGGCCATAACTTTTTTACTATTAGTCGGATCTTTTTACGTGTGATCTCATTTTGCAGGTCTCATAATTATCTAGAAATCTTATATAATAATAATAATAATAAATGGCCTTTATTTTAGCTGGCGGGTTACATCAGCACAAGCTGTTTTTCAGAACCAACAAGGGCTAAAAAAAATTCAAGTACATGCAAATACCAAAAAAATACACTGAAGATAATAAGAAAATTTAAAGCAGAAAAATTTTTTTTTTACAGAATCGTAGCCTATGCATGGTATAATGACCAAAAGAGAAACGTGCATCAACAGAGTACGTAGCAGAATCAAAAACCGTATTAGAAGTAACTTTAAAAAAAGAAAATATTAGGTATATGGCGGAAGATATAAAAATTAAAAGTAAACAGTAACAAATTTGTAAACAAAACACAAACAAATGAAAAGTGAGAAGTGAGAAAACATGCACAAATAAACAAATATAAAAATAAAATTACATAAAAATACATGCTACATGTATATAAAAAAAAATACATGCTACATGTCATCAAAGACAAAGAGCCTAACTTTTCTTTTAAAGCTGGACACAGATAGAGTTTTCAAAGCTTGAGGTACTTTATTGTAGAAATCGGGCGCCACATATGAAAAGCTCTTTCTGAATTGGGTTGTTCGGTGCCGAGGCAAGTCAAGAGTATATCCTACAAAACGCAGGTTCGCTGAGTGATGATCACATCTCATGGTAAGCTTGTTCTTCAAATAAAGAGGCACAGAATACTGTGGACCAATGATAATAGATGCAGTATCCACCTTTGTCGCATAGTAAGCCATTGAATATCTTTAATATGATCAGATACCCTCTCCCGCCTTTGAATACCTAAACTGAATCTTATGCAGCTGTTTTGCACTTTTTGAAGTCTGTATGCCTCGCTCTGTATTAGACATGGACCATAGACAAGGTCCCCTTATATGGAGAGTTTTTCCGTTCCTTCCAACACTTTCGATAGAATCCAAAAAAAAGAAAGAACATACTGTTGGCGGTGGTACAATAATCATTGTTTTTTCCTTTTAGTCCTGGACGTAGAGGCATTCGAGCGTCTGCTAGGCCCTTGCATGGAGATAATGAAACGCAACATAACCGACTATGAAGAACAGATGCTCAAGATCTTTGGTTCGAAGCACAACATCAAGGACATCCGATGAAGTGGCACGCACGACGTATTGTAGTAGGCCGTGCCACGCCTCTTCCATACTCACCCCCGCCCCCCTCCTTAACCAACCTATCCCCCACTCCCAGATATTTCCCCTCCCTACCTTCCCCCCCTACAACTGTTTGCGTCCTGGAGACGCGGACTGTCTACTAGTCACTATTATTGTGTATATACCGTAAAGGAGAAAAAATGATGTGTTGTATTTATATATGTATATGTTCGGGACTTGTCAGGAACGCTGGATTGTACCGTTGGAATGCTGGCAATGCGAACTCGGAAGACAGAAATTGAATGCTGGGTTTGTTATATGCGCACTGTCCTGGTTTCTTCATCCAGGAAGGTCATAACATATTTGAAAATTTAAATCGAACAAATATACAATAAGCACCACGACAAACTTAAGGAGAAGGTAGACTTTGGACTGACCACCCAAATAACAAAAACTTACCTATATAAAAGTGTCACCGTTTTCTTAAATTTAAAAAAACGAACCTTTTCATCTGTGGTCTTTAGCTGCATGTACAAATGAGGTTATACTTTGTTCATTTTTTCTATAAAATACTTGTTAGTTGCTTTATCATATACAAATGCAATGTAGTTAAAAGATATTAAGCAACCATGATCAAATAAGGACTATATTAAAAGCTACATTATTACTATCTGCTTCTGATATGATTTTATGAGAGTTGAGGAAACAATATCAGAATGTTATAAATCCCAAAACAGTCCTTATTTTATCATGGTTCCTTGATATCTTTTAACTACGTTGCATTTGTATATGATAAAGCAACTATCTAGAACTATTATATAGAAAAAATGATCAAAGTATAACCTTGTTTGTACATGAAGCTAAAGACCACAGATGAAAATGTTCGTTTTTTTTAATTGTAAGAAAAAATTCAATATCTCAAAAACGGTGACACTTTTATATAGGTAAGTTTTTGTTATTTGGGAGGTAAGTCCAAAGCCTACCTTCTCCTTAAGTTTGTCGTGGTACTTATTGGACACCCTGTATGTCATCTTCATCAAAGAATTGGTAGAATTGGAGACGGTGAATCAAAAGAAACGATCAAATCTAGTTATACTGAAGTACTAATATACGTAAAAAAGAACTTTAATGATATCATACGATACTTAATTTTCTTTTAGATATGAGAAAAATGTATAATGATGATTATTATACATTTATCAATGGCTGTTGACTCAAAATAAGCCGGATCTTTCCAGTCCACTATTTAGTCATTTTTCAGTTTAACATTCCCCAAAATAATATCCGATAAAATTCGACATGGTGTTTCCTGAGCGAAGCTCACGTAGAGTCATCAACATACACAAAAAAATATTTCCATTTCAAAATACAGTGTACTTAACAATAGTTATTTTCCTAACAAGTGCGGAAAGTCGAGATCGAGCAATCCGTCAAGGGTAGAAAATACACGTTAGGTATAAGATTTCCTCTAACAGCGCAACGCGAGAAAATAATAGGTAAACCCAGAATTTTGAATACGAACTATGTTGTAAAATCACCATCAATAATTCTTTTATAATAATTATTAACAATATTAAAAGTAAAATAACGGTTACAGAAGCGGACAAAAGTTTGGAAACATTCTTAGTATTTTTTTTTTGGCATATAGTTTGCTTACAGTCTTGAGGATACAAATGACAATTTGTGTTTGCTGTGGTACTACAGGCTAGCATTAAGATACTCATATTATTTTATGACCGAAAATGAGACGACAAAAGTATGAAAACATATTTTTTTATTACAAAATTAAATACAATAGCTCTACAAAAAGATTTAAAAAATACTGTTTAGCTAATATTTGGTAGCCTGATATCTGCTGCTCATAGAAGACACCAATTTTTTACAGACGTCTGTTGGGATATTTTGCCAAATATTTTTTACATAATTAAATAAAACGTTCCTATTTTAAGTTTTTCTTGTCAGTTAAAATACTTGTCTTTTACCATGCTCTATAGGGGATTGCGAAGGCCATGTGAGAACATTAACATTTTTTAGTCTTAACCAATTTTGAGGCATGCAATCTTAGGTGATCCAATGTATCGGGATTCTTGGATAGTCATTCCATGTAAATCATCGAATCCAAAAGCTACTCCTAACTTGCGGTCGTATTCGGAACAGTCGTCCATGGTGTACCAGGTTATAGATGTGTCAGGTCTCCAACCTTGTACGCGAACGATTTGAGCGAAGCTTCCTCGACCGTGGCTAAGGTCAACTTTTACGTTGTAGTGTCGTTTACTGGCCATGCTTTGGATGATCTTCTTAAATATTCGATATTCATGGTCAGTCCACTTGATTTTCTCATATCCCGGGTCTCCATCAAGCCAGAAGTCGATCGTAGCATGTGTGAGTCGGGTGAGCAGCTGGAACAACTGGAGCGCCTTCGGTAGGTTCCCACGATACGCAGGGTAAAGACGAAAGTGCTTGCGCAACTTCATAAACGTCTCCCCGCACAGGAACTCCCCCACGCAGCAATCTCAACAGTGGAAGCAGTTGCCTAGGAGCAAAGGTGACGGCTCCTGAAGCAAGCTCGTTTTCGTGTAGTTCAGCCAACAATGGAGTAATAACTTGACGATTGTTACTTGTATTGCCGATGCATTCAGTGAGTATGGCGAGCGGTAATGGTAGCTCCCTCAGCCATGTTGTTCAAATCGTTAAGCTCTTCAGTGTTGTACAATTTCTTGGATGGTAGGTCCTCATCAGGCTTATCGATATGTGCTCTCTGAGCATAGCATAGTTTGGCTTCACACAAAATGAGCATTCCTTTCTGGAAGATTTGCTTGTTTTGCGGTGTGTTCCACTGAGCAAAGGGGCGGGTGCCCACAGCCTCCATGGTGTCCCAGACACGGTCCACGATATGCGGGACATACTTGAAGGTAACTGGAACTGTCACGGAGTGGTTGTCGCTTGGCAGTTGGACTTGGGGGACAGATGTTAGATCTTTAATCTTCAGTCTCTGGAAAATGCCAGCCAGGATAGCAGCGTAGGTTTCTTGATTTTTCTTTCTTCTGTAGTCTTGGTTCCGTTTCGCTTTTGCGCCTTTCCCTGGGCCTCCTCTAGGAGTCTTCAGACTTGGATCCACATTGTCGGTAGTGGTAGTTGGTGTCGCTTGAGTAGTCATTGTTTGAGACATGGTAGCAGGTATGATCTTGTGCAGACTTAATCAGTCGCAAAATTCTGCTGGAATGACCATCGTAAAGGCATTTCTTCTTCAGCAAAAGGGAGCATGTGTTCACTAAGAATATCTTTGTAAAGTTTTTGATCCATTTTCCCAACAATTTTAACAATTGGACCCGTGCTTAACTGTTGGCAACTGATACATTTTGTCGAATCTTTTCAATGCCAATATTTCTGACACCAAAGATAATTTAATTACCTCGTCTCCTAAATCTTTTGAAAATTCCTTTACTTTTGCGATTCGCATTGATGTTAATATTTACCGCACGCAATATCAGAGTATCGCAGAACGAATAAATACGGCAAAGCTGAAATCCATTCCATACTGTTGTCGTTACAAAAACTGTGGTATTTAAAAAAATGCGTGTTTTTATTTTCAGAGAATTTGAATATTGATAAGATAAACGTTGAATTAGTACACGAGCCAAAGGTAGACTTTAATATTTATATTATATCTGTTCCTTCGCAATGTTAATTTAGGTATACGAAGTAGTTCGTAATCATGTTAATATTTGTTTCCAAACTTTTGTATGCTACTATATTTGAATTATGAAAACTTGTAGGCGTTCTCGAAGTAGAACTATTGCCGTCGGCGTCGCCTTCGTCCAAAATTTCATGTTCTCTAGAACGTCCTGTAGAAGTGATACTGCTTATGCTGCCCGTGCTTTGTGACGTGAAAATTTTTGATTTTTTTGCAATATTGATATCTTTTCTTATTTTGAGCGTAGCTTCTTGGTTGACAATACGTTCTTTGACTGAAAAGTTCTAGCGTTGCGGCATTTGAGGCTTCCAAAATATCGTCCGTAATATCATCTGCCTCCATAACTCCAGCAAAATTTTTCGTGATATTAATGAAAATATGCATATAAAATGAGACGGCAGGGACACGTATTTGACAGGTATGTCTGACAAACAAATTTGAGTCTAGCAATACGCAATCCGATATCTCTGCCTATTATTAAGTGGCGTATGGTTGATGAAAAATACGTATGTTTTTTTTTGTCGCAAACTGATGTGATTTAAATCAAAGTTATTTGGTCACTTTATCTGTATTTATGAGGTACAGATCAAGGAACAAACCACGTCACTGAACAAAGCATTTCTATTAGCAAAAATATTCAATTTAATAAGAATAATACGTAATGCGTGCGGAAAAGTGTTAAGAATCCCCCACACCGACGCGGTAAGGCGGTAGCGATAATCGCACGGCGGTCTATGCGGTGCTCAGTTTTCAGAGCGGTAAATACCACCACCACGGTGGCGTGGCCAGCAGTTCATCGCCTTGACAGCGTTTCAGTTCAGAAACGCGGTTCGTATCGCATATCGCTACGTTTTTTCACCATGTCTACAACGGAGGAATTGATTGAACAAGCTAAGGAGTACCCAATATTGTACGACTAAAGTCACGAATACTATAAAAATTTCCGGGAAAAGGATATCATATTAAATTTAAGATTTCATCAAAACAATCGAGAGTCATTATACGTAAAAACGTTGTGGATGTCTACGTAATCCGGGCATTAAAGTATTATATTCTCCATGTAACCTTCTTTGTTTATTGATACCAAGTATCCATTTCTTCTTTTTCCTTAAACACAATTATTAATTATTATTACCTAACGGTGTATCTCGTCGGTATGGCGGAACCTTTACTGTCTGCACGCAGATGCGTGTTGAAAGTATTTTCCGCACGCTGGTAGAAAAACATTGCGGTCCCCTTCTATAATAGTTCCATATGATCTCAGCGTTCCAATGTATGGTCCAGCGGTGCGAAACGGGGGCTGTGCCCCTCTCTTCTGCGGGACGGTCGAGTAGTAGTCGAGTCGGTTTCCTAATGGTTAATACTTAAATGTTTTTCAGTGTCTGGGTGAAATGTTCGTTTTTATGTAAGTTAAAAAAGGTAGTAAAATAGAAACTTCGCCTCAACGAGTTTCTCTGTCTGACTTCCTTGCAGTGGGTTCAGCAAACGTTTTATCTGTGTTCGAAGTAAGACTTTGGTTGGAGATAGTGGTGACAGTGAGCCAGGTTTTTGTAAGTTGTGATCCGAATCACGTGCGTTTTCTTCAACCTCAAGCCTATAGCAAAAAATAGAGACAGCTTTCTCACATTTTATAATTTAATAAACCAGCTTGCAAAATAATTATTTATCTGATAAATGGAAGGGTGATAGATATCTATGGACTGCACTTACCAGATCCTGGTTGTATTGACACAAGTACCTCCAAAGTACTATATAATTTTTTAAAAAAGCGTTCTAAATAACGATCATTTCTGGATAAATGTCTGCCATAGTCGTTAATAAACATTTAAGGTATTTGCTTCTGTTTTATTAATAAACCACCAATGTGTAAAATAGCAACTAGAAGATACAATGCTGTTAAGTGCTGCAAGTTGACATTTAAATCAATATCTGACGTCAAACCAAACCTGACTGATATAATTTTTAATGTACTGGTTAATCGAGCAAATATTTTTCACAGTTACCACTGAAAGCTCGGCGTATAGGCCCAGTTTTTCAAATGCAGGTTAATTGTGGTCCAGAAGTGAACTCTCAAAACGCATTTCAGGTTTGTCCTAAAACAGTTAATAACTTGGACCAGAAAACCATCTACCGGGTTGATTAGAAAGTTCTAGTTAAACCGTATTGCCTAACCTTTTTTACTTGACAATGACATATAAACTGTCACTGATGACATGAGTGTGACAAACGTCGAACGTCATAGAACGTACAGAACACGATAGTTCAGACGAAGAAGCAACGTTGCCAAATCAACAGTTACGGGTTGGTTAACCAGAACTTGGAAACGAACTAATGCTAACTTACACGTTAGACTTATCAAAATTGAAAGCTAACCAGCGATTGAAAAACCCGGCCATATACTTGTACAACATCGATTTTTGGAAGACTTGATTGTAAAAAAGACTCGATTGTACATCAATATTGTACCATACTGCTTCATATTGAAACTAAACTAAGGTTACAAAAAACAAAGAGAGGATTCGTAAAAAACAATTGAAAACAATATCATTTGAGGTAGTCTACGTGAGTAAATGAAGGTTAAAGTATTAACCAGTCAGCAGTTGCTTTGCTGAGCGATATACCCAAGGAACTGACGCAAATAATATGTATTTATTTAGGTAATTTTGATTTGAAAGTGGAGTGATTATACAGAGGAAAATAGGTAAGTTATTTTTTGGTGTTTCATAATTTTCAAATTTAGCAGGAGACATCATTGGTTGTAATACAAAGGTTGCTTGGGCGCTGTTAAAGAAAACACAACGCACTTGTGCGGACTCTATGGCTGATTTGCATTTAAGAGTACATATTTTCATATGCAATTTCATGACTTGAACTAACAGTTCTTGGATTTGAATGTTGTAAAACAAATGTGGTTACCATTAAGGCCGTACGTCCCTTTTTCTTGTTTTTTGCAACTACCTGTTTGCACCAGTATTCTAAATCCTTTTCATCTGATTACCTCATGATGTATTTAGAGATGACTAAAAAACATCACTTGTTTTGTCATAAAATGCATTTTTTGTTCATTTTATTGTGGATTGTTTCTTCGATCGTAACTTGTTAACAAATATTATTACAGCTCTGAAATCTTATGTGAATATTCCACTTTTATGAATGAATGAAACAAGTAATTACTTTTATTCTTATCACTTGTTGCCTCCTAGAAATCTTAGCTTTACTTGAAAACTCAACTTGCTGCGAGGCGACGCTTGCAGAAAATCAAAGATTTTTCGAAAAGGAAAAGTGATAAGAGCAAAAGTAATTACTTGTTTCATTCTTCTATAAAAGAGGAATATTCGCACACAATTTCAGAGTTGTACTTATATTTGTTAACAAGTTCGGATTGAAGAAAACATGCACAATAAAATGCACAAAAAACATTTTTTGACAAATTGTTTTTTAGTCATAACTATACATACCATGAAATTATCAGATGAAAAGGATTTAGAATACCACTGCAAACAGGTTGTTTGAAAAAAATCTTAAGAAAGGGATATTCCACCTTAACCGTGGAAATTGCATGAATCCTTGACATTCTTTGGTCGAGTTTGTAAAATATCTCTGTATACTCACTCACATAATATTATTTTGAATTCATTTAGTCATCCTAATGATATATTAAAATTATTTTATGGTCATTATTAAGGTATCGGGCATTTCCATTTTTGCAGAAAGCTGTACATGATTCATATGGTGCTTTTGATATCTTTTCATAGAATCTCGTTCTTTACAAAGTGTAATGTAAAAAGATATCATTCAAGACTGAATCCTATTACAGTTTATGCTTTCTCAAGATTGATATTGCTTATGAAACCTGACAGATTTTATTTTTGTTGGCTTGTTTAGTTAGAATTTTAGACAAAATACCTTGGTTATACAAGATTTATGTTGTTATATTTATAGATTATATTTAATATTTACGCACGTATGTAGAAACTATTGACTATCACTTTACCAAAAATTGATTTCTGATGTGTAAAGTGACATTTAAAAAAAACAAAATGTCCACAAACACCAGAAATATAGTTAAGGCTGAATGAATCATTTGTATGAAAAATTCTTAGGGTAAAATAAATTTGAATCACAGGTATTGGGAAGAAGTTGAAATAAAATTGAGTATACAGACTACTTATTGAAACGCTGAAGTGAAGAATGTTTTTATTGTATGGTTCGCTGAAATTATCTTACATGTCCTTATACAAAAAATAAATCATTTGCAATAAAAAAAACGACGATTTTGAATATAGTTTGTGTAAATATATAAAAAATCATCTTAGGATGATCTGCTGTGGCAAGATGCAACATTTGCAAACATGCGTTTGTGAAACTAAAATGACAATCAAATATCACTAATACAAAAATTGATTTGTAACTAACTTGTAATTTTTCGAGGCAGTCTGTATACTAAAGTTCCATCAGTAACTGACACTTGGTTCAGCAAAGATTCTACAGAAATCGAGTCAATAGCAAACGTGGACCAAGTTTAAGCAACTGATGTCCAATTTGAATTTTATTTTATATCAGGATTGTGTCGAGTAACTTTTTGAAAGTTACACATATCACTTATTTTGGGGGGTAGTAGTTTTTAAATGTACAATTTTTGATATCTGCAGAATGTAGAATTCGTTAGATGGCTTTAGCTATCTAATATTAATATCACATATTTCTTAAACTGTTACAGGGTGTATTCCTTTCAATATATTCCTATACTTAACATAATAGACGTAGATTTTTTGTTTTATTCTTCATTCAAATACCCTATCGATATGTTAGGTAAAATTGGAATTGGTCTAATATGTGCCTTATATTAAAATATGTTTTTTCTGACAAGATTGGACTATCAAATGACTCAATTAAAAAATGTTTGATAAAGAGCTATCAACAGCAAGAATAGATTTTAATCATCTGCTAACTATTTTTATGAAAATAACATTTCTGTACTAACTTTCATTAATTTCACAATCCTTCGATTAAAAAAAAAATTTAGAGTATATATCAAGCCAGTGCGACATTGACTAATTTTTGGAAGGAAGCTAGGTAACGAATGTTATTTTCAAAGAGTGAGAAATGCAAATTCCCCTGTTACAATTCATGATTTCCTTGCATTGAATGATATTCAGGTAAAAAAGATGTCAATCACTCAAAACGACGGAAAACTCCCAATGATCTGCTTTTTTGATATATCAGCAATCACCAATTATCATAGAATTGGCAGAAAATGTCTATTTTTCTGCACAAGTAAAAGTTACGTGACTGTTACATTCCACCTTTCAAACCTCCTAACAGTAAAACTGCCGAATTATGATAGAACAGCCTAAATGTCTAACGGATTCTACTAGCGGAGGATACGTAGCACAATTTTGATTTTATATATGTGTAGGTTGTAGATAGGTGTACAATTGTAGGCGCTTTGCAACCCACCGTTAAGTAAATAAATTCCAAAAATATTATAAGCTCTGTCCAAACTGGGTGTTGATCGATGGTACATGTTCTCTTTTATCTCGCTCATAGTACAGTCGTTGAATTTTATTGTATTTGTCGCAGTGAACAGGAGGTCTGAGATGTTTCTGGAACGTCATTGAAAATAGATAATTAGGCCCCAGATTGTGATTTCTTCAAAAGTAAGCGCACAGCAGGTAACAGTCAGGCCTCAAGCCTTTAGCCTTACCTAGGAGAAATTAGCACAAAGATTCCAAAAAAGTTTTATAACGGGCCGTTCCTTAGTAGATGAGAAAGCATCTTCATATCAGCTTCGAAAAATGTTCTGATTCGATTTTTTTGCATAATCCTATTCAAAAGGAACCCTTTCGAGGAAGTTGCATGTTGCCAGGTCGAAATTGCATCAAAAATTGTTTAAACGATTTTTACTCAATTAAACTTTTTTTCGTTCTGTTGAGGTTTTTTTGGCTCGTTTAGAAGAAAAAACTTTCTTTGAACTCCTCCGTAGAGTTGATAGTTTTCGAGATATAAGCGATAAAACATTTGAAAAAATGAAAAATGTAATCTACACTGACAATTTGAAAATTTCTATGTTGTTCCTTTTCAACAGTCCATTAACAAAATGATTTTAGGTGGTATTATTATTGCATACTGCGCTTGATGAACAAATAAAAAAAAAGGGTACAATAACAATACCCCCTTAAATGCTCGATGATTTTATTGGATAATATTTAGGAACTTTGGCACGATTAAAATTCTCTTTTTTTCATATTCTTTTTTCCGGGGTCAACAACGGCTTATATATCAAAAACTATCAACGAAATGTTTATAATTTTGTTCAGAATAACAATGAAACTAAAAGAATTTTGCCAGGAACGAGAAAAAAACAATGTTCGGCGCATTTTTTTTTTTAGATAAGTTTATGCAAAAAACCGAATCGAGATATTTTTTCGAGTAGATGCAAAGATACATCTTGAACTAAGGATCTAAGGTATTAACGTTGCATTTACGGAAATTTTCAGTTATTTTCTCTCATAAAAATATTGCCATTAATTTTTTGAAACTGTTTTTAATATATTACTGTATGAATTGATTGCTTTCGTACATGATCAATGATTGTACTATATCTCTACGAATTTCTTCTATACACATATACAAGATGCACAATATTTTCCTTAGATGTATACCTTCTACTATCATATTGTAAATATAGTTCATGAATCACATTACTTCGTATAGCTTGACTTTGAAAGCGTATTTAGGCATGAACTGGAGATTGCAGATTATACATTGCTGAATGAAATTCCAATATATAAATAACAATCTTCCGATTTTCCGGAAAATGAGTATAATGTCCATGTGCAAGATTTCGCTATCAGAGTTATACGGCCATTTTCAAAGGTAGTGAAAATGGCAACACTGTTGAAATTCAGTATTGCTGTCTAGGAAGCCATCTTATGATGATTGGCCAATCCAAACGAATTTGGCTTTACTACGCTCTATTTTCAACTATAGTTATTGCAATTGCCCAAAACTTCGGGCAAATTTAAAGTACAGTGTTGTCGTTTTAGGCTTAAATGAAAATGGCTGAGCCAGGATCTTTACCAAAGATCTCGTGATTCATGGCTGATTGCACTTTCTGAAGATCTAAATTTGTACGTGGGAAGATCTAATATAATCTGGAGTTCATTTTTTGAAGTACTGCAAACACTATGATCAGTGAATACCTTATTATTACCTGCGATAACGCTAGATGGATATTTATCACTGTTTAAGGGGAGTTCTGGATTCGTTGCTGTATCCGAGGAGTTGATGACATAAAAAATGCATAATAAGCATCACAAAATTATTCGGGAATGCATCGGAAATCGTAACGTTGGTGTTAAAAAAGACGTCTTTATGACGTCAGAAATGAAACACTGCGTCATGTTAGGCCTGACGGTTACATGTTTGACATCCCTGAGCACTTATTTTGTTTTTTAAGGTGCCTTTTATTACGAAAGCACGGGAGGAACGTCACAAAAATCATTTAGTTTACAAGTTGCAATTAGTTATAGTTGTCAGTTAAAATTCTAGCTGATTGCAGATTTTAACTATATAGCTAATTGGTACTTATAACTGATAATTATAAATAAAAATAAATATATAATTTCGCGATGTCTTTCCAGTACTTTCACAGCCTCTTGATGCTCATCTAATTCCTAACTCACAATTAGTTACGATATTGACATTCCAGCTAGATTGACGTGCATTTAAGATAAGACCGAAACAGTCTGAGATAAAGAAAAATCGGATAATATTGGATTCTCCCTCCTATATCGACGTATAATAAATGTCATAAGCTGTATTCTAAAAAGACGGAGATACATAGATAAGGCGTTTATAACTGTTTTCGTAATATTTCTTTAAGGGCTTACACGTTCAATGAACAGGGAAACTTCGAAAGCACGATGTTAGAAACTTTTTTCCATATTCATTGATCTATATAGTCCTACTAGTCATATATTGTTATGTACTGCTTCCATAAGAATGACGTATGAGCTTATATGATGAATTTGAACCTATTTCTGTTGATAGTACTGATTTTCAAAGCTGACGAGTCGGGAGGACTATATTGTCCTGGACACGACCAATGGACGTTTAGGTTTGAAGATCGTGTTTCTAATGCCTCAAAGAAAATCTTATAGAATGTTCTTGAGGAGTTTATTGTATGTTTATTTATGGATAAATTAAAAATACAAAATCTGTTGTTTATTTTCTCAACCCTTTTTTTTATGCTCGGTACAATGTTTCTTCATGACGGGCAATTAGCGGCAAGTTGTTTGAAACTGTTTGAAAAAGACTGGTAGAACACGCCTAGTCTGTTATAAAGTCGGGGACGAGGCGTGGTTTAACTGTCCAATGTGACCACCCATACTCATTAGTCGATCTATTTCCAATCTCTCTAATAGAGATCGGTATATATACTAGAAAATGGACTAGTCTTCTAGAGAGTTGACATGAAAAATACATAATAAGGATCACAAAATTATTCGGCAATCGATAGGAAATCGTAACGTTGACATTAAAAAAGACGAGTTCATGACGTCAGAAATGAAATACGGCATCATTTTAGGCCTGACAGTTACATGTTTGATATCACTGAGCACGTATTTTGTTTTTTAATGTGCCTTTTACACAAAAACATGGGAAGAACGTCACAAAAATCATGCAATTATCTATAATTGTTAATTACAGATGCTAATTGCAATATATTACGGCTAATTGCAGATGTTAACTATACAGGGTGTACGCAAAGTTGGGGGTTTCCTTTTCAGACACAACTGCGCTTGATATGACAAAGCCGATATGTGGTGAAACTTGTGCAAACAAGTAAAAAAATAAATGGAAAAATTCTTACTGTTCAGTTGAATTGAAATTTGAAGTACGGCTCTGTCATAAGATCCGTATTTACATCGTAGTCGTACGTCGTATAACTGTATGCTGGCGCTGTGGACGTGATCGAATGATAGGACAGGACCGGTTTCGGTTTGGTTCAGATTTGATTGAGTTTACGGAGCTCAATATCTCGATTCTCTTAAGACATTGGTGTATATGCTACTAAGAAAATCCGCTTATCTTCTCAAGATCAACACTTCGGGTAAAGGAAAACCCTAACTTTTGGGACATCATATATAGCAATAGCAATTACAAGCTATTTGAAAAATATTGCTGGTCCACGCCTAACATATTAAAAAAGCGGTATTGAGGCGTGGTGTTCAGTTTTCAGCCTCTCTAATAGAGATGGGTGTATGCTAGAAAATGTACTAGTCTTCTACGCCATAACTATGCGGAACGCACTCCTTCCACTAATACGTCAAGCTGCTGTCATTCGTTGCTGAGGTCGTCGGTTTTTGGCGCCAAAAGTTATTTGGGAAAGCTTTTTATTAGCTTTGTCGGAAACTTTCTTTTTCCAAATAAAATTAGTTCTGCACAATGGAAGGTTTTGATGATGCAGGAGTGTTCTTCAGCGATAATTTTAGCGTTGATGAACAACAGTCTGATACGCAAGTTAATTTACATGCAGTTAAAAAGAAGTTCAAAGAGTTTTTGAGGCAGTACCACACGGATAATTTCAACTACAAATACAGGTATATATAACCATTTTTGTTTAAATGCGAAATATTCTCATCGTCTAAATCGCAGAGATACGTTGAAGAGGAACTACAACTTGCGCCAATACTACTTGGAAGTGAACATTGAAGATGTGGGCAGCTTTGATGAAAATCTGGCTGATAAGCTCTACAAGCAACCTACTGAGCATTTGGCGATATTCGAGGAGGCTGCTACAGAGGTTGCAGATGAACTTACAGCACCACGTCCTGAAGGGGAAGAAAAAGTTGAGGAAATTCAAATTATGTTATCTTCAGATGCTAATGCTTCCAGTCTCAGAGATATGAAGGTAATATTATTTCCCATTCTCGAAATGGTTTTGCATATGATGTTACCATCTTAATCATTTGTTACCTCACAACTCCAGAAATCTTGCAACATATATCCACTATATATCTTTCCACTGTTTTGATTTTGTTAGGTCACACTAACACTACAGGAAATAATGTCATACATCCATCTCCCTGATACATATATATGCAACAGGTCTCTATGTGTGGACATATTTACGTAAGCTCACAGACATACATTTTTTAGTTTTGTCTTACTGGCTCTACAATATTCTTGTCAACAATTGAGTTTTCCACATTTATGTGTGTTGCTGCAGTACCTATGTCAAGTTGCCTGTCATTAATGTACAATTTGAGTTTACCTTTGTTGATTGTTGATGTAAAACAGTTACAGTCTGTATTAAAATTTATAGAAGTATTTCCAGAAAGCAAATGGAGCAAAGGATCAGCTTGCCCCATGTGTAATTTCCTTTAGGAAAATTAAACTCCACACATGATAGAGCTTAGTCAATCTTTTACACATTTCATATGATATTGTGACATAAGTGGTAGTAATTACTGTTGATGGTTTCAATGCCAATGGTATCAGGTTTTTGAGCTGTTTGATTCCCAAATGTTTTTTTTTTAGTCAGAAGTTGTCTCTAGACTGGTGAAAATTCCTGGGTTGGTAATAAGTGCATCTGGGATCAGAGCTAAGGCAACAAAGATTTCTGTGCAATGCAGATCTTGTCTTAATGTTATTCCCAATCTTCCTGTAAAGCCAGGCTTGGAAGGATATGTTCTACCCAGAAAATGCCCCACGTAAGGAAAAAACATACTAATTTACAATGCAAAACACCACCCTCATTCTCCAGATTTTACTTAATGAATATAGAAATTTTAAAACATAAAAACTGAAAGTATTACCAAGCACTGAATGCTATTATGAATGGAACAGAAATGTCCATCTTATATTTATTCTAAAATTATATTTTTTGCTCTACTATGATCAACAAATTATATTCTATTTACATGTTTTAATCTGATAATTCATCAATGATAATTTTTTAGTGAGCAAGCTGGAAGGCCAAAATGTCCACTTGATCCCTACTTCATTATGCCTGACAAGTGTAACTGTGTAGATTTTCAAGTTCTGAAGTTACAAGAATTGCCAGACAGTATTCCCCAAGGTGAAATTCCAAGACACATCACTTTATATGCTGATAGATATCTTTGTGACAGAATAGTCCCAGGAAACAGGGTGTACATTCTTGGTATTTACTGCATCAAGAAAATGGGCAGACCCACAAAGGTAAGAAAATCAAACCAATCAAGGAGGGTTGTCATTTGCTGGGTGCTCCCTACTCGTCAAGTGGCGGGTCATGACGTTGTAGCTACGGTTATAGCTAATTGCCACTTGTTTGTTTAAGATTTATTTAACATAATTACTACAATTACATTCTTTTGAAAAACTAAACAATTACATAACATACACATATTTAGAAAAAAAAACAAAATTTGCATCTCTAAGAATCTTCATTGTCCATGAAATATTCCTTTAATTTTCTTGTAAATATCTTTGAATTACAAGTAGACTTTATATCATTATTTAGTTTATTAAATTCAAGTAATCCTTTCTGAAATACTGATTTGCTAGTTATATTACTATTGCAATTTTGTAAGTGAAAATCTATATTTCCTCGTATAATAATTGTGGTAATGATTATTCAATTCTATGTAGTATTCTATATGTTCTGGCAAAAGACGATTTTTTATATTAAATATAAAAATAAGAACCAAATATGATATGAACTTTTTTATATTTAACCACTGGAATTCTTGTAACATAGATTTTATTTTGGTGTACTTATTTTTATTCAATATTATTCTCATAGCTTTATTTTGCAGGACTTGTAGTTTTGAGAATACAGCTTCATTGGCAGTGAACAAGATAGTTGAACAATATAGTAAATGTAATTATTATTATTACCAATTGTCACTTGTAACTGTTGTTGGGCCATTCTAGTATGGGTTTTCCATTAAGGACTTGACAACCTTCTTTTTAAATAAAACGCAAACCATTTGAGATATCTCGAAAATTTTATTATTGGATCGAAGTATACTCGAAACATTTATGTATGGAATTCGACCTCGTTCATACGTCCGCCACGGGCACGTTCGCAGCGAACGATTCGTTGAACCCAATTTTCAATGACTCGGCCACACATCTCTACAGAACGGCCGCTATCTCTCGTTCAAGATTGGCTCTGAGCTCCTCTAACTATGCTGGCTTGTTGGCATAGACCAATGACCAATAATGTAGCCCCACAAAAAAAGTCTAGAGGTGGCCATTCGACAGGACCATTTCTCGATATAACACGCTCACCGAATTTTGATTTCAATATTTCGATTGTTTCACCCGCTGTGTGGCTTGTGGTACCGTCTTGTCGAAACCACATGTCATTAATGTCTAGCCCATCAAATTGGCCAAAAAAATATGTTGCAACATGTCTCTGTAGCGATCTCCGTTGACTGAAACGTGACGGTCATTTTTAAAAACGAAAAAAAAAAAACGGCCCAATGACACCATCGGCATAAAAACCACTCCATACAGTTATTTTTTGTGGACTAAGTGGTGATTTTTGAAGCACGTGAGGGTTTTCACCTGACGGATAACGCATATTGTTTAGCCAAAAATGCGACTTATCACTTTCTAAAGTCCAATTCTAGAACGTACGTCGGTTCATATGATCCAACGACTTTAGCTCGTGAGTCAACTTGATCTTATAAGGTGGAAGGCCAAGATCTCTTCGCAAAATTGGCCATAGTGTGGTCTGAGCGATGCCCAATTCTTAAGAACGCTGTGGAATCGACGTGTTCTGTTCGTCTGCGACGAAGCTTGAACGGCAGCAATATTCTCGGCACTTCGACTAACCCGTTGTCGCACTGGATGTTAGCAGCGAATGTGTGAAGTCAAATTTTTTTACTAGACTATGAATTGCGTGACTACTGGGTCGAGAAATTACGATCAAAAATTAGTCTGTAAAGTTGTAGTCACCGACTCGGAATCTCGGTAGTAAATTTTAATTATTTGTAACCGTTGTTCGTTCGTGTACTCCACCATGATGAAAATGTTTCCTTTATTGAATGTTTTGACATTCATTTAAAGGTACGTTCACAGTGAAAGTTCAAAGTTGTCAATTCCCTATTGGAAAACCTAAATGGAGGATGGTTTTTGCTTATTTTTGATGACATGGGTATGGGAGGATCTGGATGGAAATCACGTCAGCAATATTTATCTTTTTCAAGAGTTTTGCTGACTGTTGCTCAAAAGCGGGAGAGGAGTTAATAATTTTAAAACAAAAAATGTAAAATATACTTTCGCGACGTTTTGTTCCAGGCTGTCGTAATATAAAACGTCGTAACAGACAAAATGAAAACGGCTGTATTGTTGGAGAATCATTTTCAATTATTCCTTTATAGCGTGAAGGTCGTGAAAAAGCCCAAACAGGGGTCAGAGCTGGCTACATCCGCGTTGTGGGTATCCACGTTGATATGGAAGGCTTAGGTTTCTCAGGAGGTGTTCACGTCACTTCAGAGGAAGAAAATGCCTTCAGAAGACTAGCTGCAATGCCAGATTGTTACGAGAAATTGTCCAATAGCATAGCTCCTTTCATTTTTGGGTCAACGGACATCAAGAAAGCTGTGACGTGCTTACTATTTGGAGGTATGCAGGCAATACGAACTTGATATTAACGTCATAGTAATAGTAGATAGTAAGAATTTGTATGGTTCTATGATTCTAATAATTGTATCTTGATTACCGTAGTTGAGCAGTCAAAAACAAAGGTACTTTTAAAAAAATCAAATGGGTTGCTGCCATTTTTTTTCAGTGTCTTATATATACAATTACGTGTTATTTTATGATGTAACAAAAAAATGTAAGCTTTTATTAAACTTTTATTTTCGAATGTAGGTAACACGTTTTCGTACTTCTGTTGTGAACCTGTGATCATACCTAATTTTTGTGGCTCTGAAATTATCGAAAGTTCACCATTTTTTCTGTTCAGGATCTAGGAAAAGGTTGCCAGATGGGCTGACTAGAAGAGGAGATATAAACATCTTACTGCTTGGCGACCCTGGTACCGCCAAATCTCAAATGTTGAAGTTTGTCGAGAAAGTAGCTCCTATTGCAGTGTATACTTCAGGAAAGGGCAGCTCCGCTGCCGGTTTGACTGCATCTGTCATGAGAGACCCGTCGTCGGTAAGTAATATTTTGAAATCAAGATGAGTTGAATGATGAGAACATTTTATATGGAAAGTAAATTCGTGTATCTTGGAGTCTTGGAAATATTTACAAGACAGAATGGTGAGAACCACAGAAACATTGAAATTAGCAGTTTGTTGAAAATGTTGGAGATTTAAAAGACTGTGAAACTCAAGAACCCTCAAAAACCCGAGAATACTGAGCAGGGTTCGGTGGTTGAGTAGAAATTTTATGAAATTACTTTCAGCGCAATTTTGTGATGGAAGGAGGCGCAATGGTGCTTGCAGATGGTGGTGTTGTTTGCATTGATGAATTTGACAAGATGCGGGAAGACGACAGGGTGGCCATACACGAAGCTATGGAACAACAAACTATCTCTATTGCTAAAGCTGGGATCACAACGACTTTAAACTCTAGATGTTCTGTTTTAGCTGCTGCCAACAGTATCTTTGGAAGATGGGACGAGACTAAGGTAAATAAAACGCAAGTTATGGCGTGAAATATTGGTAACATGAGTACTTTCCCCTTCTGGTTTTATACTAAGTGACATATAAATCCGAACACCCAGTTTAAATGGTTTTATTTTAATAAAAGTTGGTGAATGTATTTATCTTACTGTAAATAACAAGTGAAAAAATTTTCAGCCTTATCAGTTGGACATTCCGGTTTTTATACTGCTTTTTTTTAATTCACTAACGCTCTAAAAATGAATATTTCAGCCGCAGTAAAGAATCAACGTTGGCGGATTTTGGTTCTTGACATCCTTTACGATCGGTTACGATGCCTAGAGTACGGAGACATGTACGATTTCGTCAACTTAGTGAGTTTGATAGGGGCCGTATAGTGAGACTTCGGGAAGCTGGACTTTCTTTTCGGGCAATTGCAGTTAGAGTGCAAAGAAGTGTAGACACTGTGGTTAGGTGTTGTCAGGCATGGCTTCGAGAAGGCCGTACGCAAAGAGCAAGGGGCACTGACGCCGCCGTAGAACAACAGACCGTGAAGATCGCCGCCTAAGATTATTGGCCTTAAGGGACCGTTTTTCCACTACCAGGTCCATTGCAAATGAATGGTTTGCAGAACACGGAAGACCTCTTGGCATGCGAAGTGTTTACCGACGAATGAGAAGTTTTGGCTTGTTTTCATACCGGCCACACTGGGTCCTCCCTTTAACTCGAGAACACCGACGTAATCGCCTTGAGTGGTGCAGACAACGGTCACTCTGGGATCAGGAATGGGACAGTATTGTCTTTAGTGACGAGTCTCGATTTTGTTTAGGCATGCACGATGGTCGTGCCAGGGTTAGAAGGCGACGTGGTGAAAGGAGGAATCCATAGTTTTTTGTTCAAAGACATGTTCATCACATTGTTGGAGTTATGGTTTGGGGAGCTATAGCTTATGGTTCCAGGTCACCTTTAATCTTCATCAGAGGTAACATGAACGCGCAGCGTTATATCCACGAAGTTCTAGAACCCCATCTTTTACCCTATCTTGACACCCTGGCAGATCCAAATTTCCAACAAGATAATGCCCGACCACATGTTGCAAGAGTCACAATAGACTTCTTTCAACATAATGATGTCACATTGTTACCATGGCCACCAAGATCTCCCGACTTATCCCCAATTGAGCACGTGTGGGATATGATGGGTAGGAGATTGCTCAATTTGCAACGTCCTCCTCAGACTCTAGAAGCACTTCGAGAGGAGTTGGTGGTTGCCTGGAATGAGATACCACAGGAGGACATTGACCACCTGATCAGAAGCATGCCTAGGCGCGTTGGAGAATGCGTAGCACATCAGGGTGCATCCACACATTATTAAAGGTCAAAGGGCTTTAAAGCAGTGCAATCATTTTGAAATTTTTATCATTTACTTATTATGCTTCACTAAGTACTTATACAAAATTTTATTAAAATAAAACCATTTAAACTGGGTGTTCGGATTTATATGTCACTTAGTATATTTTGACCAAGTTTTGATTCTCGAGACTTACCAGACATGTGAATTTTCAGTGCTAAGAAATCGATTTTTTGGTACCCACATTTCAAAAAAATATATATTTATTTGTTTCAGGGTGAAGAAAACATAGACTTCTTGCCGACAATTTTGTCTCGATTTGATATGATTTTCATTGTCAAAGATGAACATGACAGAAACAGAGATATGGTAAGCAGTTACTTTTAATTTCATCCTATGGTTCATTAAAATAAAAAAAATATTTTTTCTTTCAGACTCTGGCCAAACATATAATTTCTGTCCACGCAAACGCAGCGCAAATATCAGTTGAACCAAAGCAAGGAGAATTATCACTTGATTTCATCAAGAAATACATCAGCTACTGCAGAACGTGAGTTTATGATCACTATGGTTTTTATTTAATATTTTGTACTTGGCCAAATGTTACCAATTTTTATTTTTTCAGTCATTGTGGTCCTCGTTTGGACAAAGAAGCAGGAGAAAAACTAAAACGTCGTTATGTACTGATGAGATCCGGAACGAGCCAACATGAAAAGCAAGTGGAAAAGAAAAGCGCCATTCCTATCACTGTGAGACAGTTGGAGGCCGTTATACGAATTTCGGAGAGCTTGGCTAAAATGAGGCTACAACCATTTGCGACTGAAACTCATGTAGACGAAGCCTTGAGGTATGTAGACAGAATGAAAAAATCCGAATATAAGTTGTAGGTTTTCAAAAATCGAGAAGCTATTGAAAATTTGACAACCATCTTTATTAACTTCGTGAAAACAGCGAAGTGTCGATGAATTTCTGTTTTCTTCGAATTTTATTCGCGATTGTTAAAGTTGAAAGAACGAATGGTTTTGGAAATCTGTCCAGTGAGACGGAGTTACGAGCGAAAAATAAAAAATCAGAATGCCGCAAATTTCATCTTTGGATGTTTTGTAAATTTCTTACAATTTTTGCTCAGGTCCCAAATCATTACATTATATTCCATGGATAATTACAAGAACTTAATTGAAATAAATACAAATGAAAAAAGAGTATAAAAGACAGTTCACAATAAGCCTGGAAATATTATTACAACATAATTATTCACAATTCAGTGTTATATCAAGAAAAATTGAAAGCAAACTTTCTTGTTATTTTAGAGCGTTATTCGGGGTTCAAAAAAATTCTAAACTAAAAATATCATAAGTAGATAGCTCATTAGTGTGAAGGAGATTGGTTCTGGCAATTTGATCTTCAAATTACCTTCAATGTCAAACGTTCATGGGTATACTTGAATATGAAGTTTCTTGTTATTTTTGTTTCCAGTAACAAAAATAAGGGTTTCCATTGAAGAAAACTGTCTTAACCTTAATATGACAGTGGTCATAGTAAACGTCACCTTCAAGATCACCATTGCATCTTTTCAAACATTACAACTTTATTCTACAACATTTTTCTCTAGGGAGCGCATTTTTCGAGATATTTTGATCTATCCATACTTTTTAAACACCCTGTATATTTTTGTGGATGAAACCTTCCTAGGGTTTCAATTAGTAAATGAACAAAGTTTTACGTTTCCCGTTTATACAGGGTGTTCCTTAATCATATGCGAATATTTAAGGGTGTGAATCTACATGCAAAATTAATGTTAGTTTGCTCTATAAACTATGGTTCAAAAATGTTTCCTTACAAAAACTCGGGGTGTTGAAGTTTTAGGAAAAAAATGGAAATCAATTATTTTCAGTACCGCTTCAGATATTTCACTGATATTTAGTACTTAGTGAAAGTTAATAAAGTTCCATATTTTTGAATGAAAAAATAATTTTTAGCTTCAACAATGGCGTGCGTAAGGGTATTTACTTCTATATTTTTTAAGAAAAAAATGGTACACCAATGGTTTTTTGCCAATTAAAAATTATTTTTGAATTTAAAACAAACGATCTCCCCTGAATTGTATTCCTCCGATGCGCCATTTTTGAGTAAAAAAATAAAAACCGTTTTATTGTCAGAGAAAATTAATGTGATAATTGAAAAATGCAACTTGGCATAAATGTCTAGTTGCTCTGGAATATGTGACTGGATTTTGACATCTGACAAGTCTCTGTTATTCAAATCTGTTCGCTGTGACATCTTTTTATTATTTAGTTTTCACAATCTTGTTAATAATGGTGAATTATTCAAATGCAGAAATGGCGGAAATGCATTACATATATGGCCTTGCCGACGGTAATGGTGAGCAAGCCAGATGAATTTTTTGTTATATCCTTATCATGTTTTAAGAGTACAGGCATTACTTCCCATTGATTTTCTAAGGCGTGTGACCTTTTGTCAGTGGTATCTTCAAAAATTACACAAAATCCGCAAATTGAATCAATGATTCTGTTCACGGCTGAAGCTATTTTTTCTCGAAATCCCATTCAGAATTTCCACAATAATCATTTGTGGGCAGAAGAAAATCCCTATGCCGTAACCCATTTCCAACACCAATTTTCGATTACCGTATGGGCAGGAATTATTGGCAACCACTTTATTGGCCCATTCTTCTTGCCGGGACGACTTGACGGACAGACTTGCCTCAATTTTCTTCAACAACAATATGTGGTACATGCATGATGGTGCACCAGCGCATTTCAGTGTAGCGGTCCTATTAACACTGTAGAGGAATTAAGAGAAAGAATAGTTTCAGCTTGTGATATATCTGTTGGGGTTCTGAAAATATTAATTAATTTCCATTTTTTTCCTAAAACTTCAACACCCCGAGTTTTTGTAAGGAAAGATTTTTGGACCATAGTTTATAAAGCAAACTAACATTAATAATTTCACATATCAGCAGTACTTTTACAATCTTCCTGCCTTGTGGACTCATTTTTTAACCTACAAATAATATACCCCGTTCCAGGTTATTCCAAGTCTCCACTCTAGACGCTGCCATGAGCGGTACTCTATCAGGCGCCGAGGGTTTCACCACCGAGGAGGAACACGAGATGCTGGTGCGCATCGAGACTCAGCTAAAGAAGCGGTTCGCGATCGGTACCACCGTGAGCCAGCAGAGCATCATACAGGACTTTGCTCAGCAGCAGTACCCGGAGCACGCGGTCATGAAAGTCGTCTACACGATGTTAAGACGGGGACAGTTGCAGCATAGGATGCAGAGGAAAATGCTCTACAGGATCAGTTGAGGTGAGGAAATTTGAGGGTGTGACTTGATGATAAAACGTAATTAGAAGTGCGCATTCTTGAACCAAATTTCATATAAACATTTGTCTTGAAAGGTTTTGTTTCCAAGATTCAGGGTGTGCCAAACCTTTTGACGGAGGAAAAATAATAGTAAACTGTCACATAAAGTAAAAAATTTGTTCATAACAATAGAACAACATTCTATAGCAACAATCAAAGTTGACTTTTGATTACGTGACTTGACGCAACAAAAGTCATTCAACATAATCTTATACCTACTTTCAAGGTAAGTTAATAGGAGAATGGCAGTGCTGCCAACATATTTTGCTAGCCACTTTGCTATACAATTACCTATATTTCATATATTTACCCTTACCAATTTAGGACCGAATATACATATAATCGAACAGGTTTCTTATTGCCAACGCCGGATAGTGACTATAAATTTTTATAAATTTATTTTATGGGTAAATGAGATAGCTGGAGAATTAAGGACAAACAAATCGGTTGATACCATTACTAACCAAGATGATGTTGTCAACTATCCAGCGGAATTTTTTAATTCGCTAGAAGTGCCCGGATTACCACCTCATAATCTGCAATTAAAAGTGGAACCGGTACTTATGTTGCGAAACATAAACCAGCGACGTCTTGTCGTTATCGAGGCCACAATTTTACAAGGAAAATACAAAGACGTTTTGATCCCACGCATCCCCATGATTCCAAACGACATGCCGTTCGAATCCAAACTCTTACAATAAAAATGCAAAATAAATAAATCGCAAGGGCAGTTGTTGAATGTTTGTGGCAGCAACCTTGAAAATTCATTTTTTTCAAACGGCCAGTTGTGTCGCCTGTTCCCTTGTGGAAAAAGCATCATCATTATTTATTTAACCAGAAAACACAACAAAAAAGTATCAAAAAGCATTAACATAAACACTTTATTTTCGAAACATTTTTTTTTCTTATTCATCCTAGGACACGACAACGTCTGTCGGGTCAGCTAATTGTTGTTTTATAATTGTGCCCACCTCTGATTAAAATTATATTGAACTCAATTTTTATTTTGTTTCAGGTGTTACACTACTTCATTAAGTACTTGCGTATTCTTACACATTACCCGTTGTTTTAGAAAGTTTTGTATACTAGTTATAAGGAATTATCATTCATAGCGATTTTTCACAGTCAATAAAAATAAATCATGTGATCTATTTTTTTTTACATTCACACCCTTTAACAGCACCATGGACCGCAACCAGGTATGTTGAGGTCTCTCCAAGTCATGTTAAAAACAATACTCGACCTAAACATATTGTTACTGGAACCCCTTCGACTTTGTGCCTTTTGTGTGTTTTGCGATTGTACTAGAAACTTGTCCGACCACCACTCGGATGAAAAATGACAAGTTGGTTGACCTTGTGCTGCCCATGCAATGCTGTCATCCCTCAAACCTTTAAGCGATTGACCATGATAAAGCGCGGTTGGTTATTATTATCCTGTTACTGCCTTTCTTACACAGCTAAGATCAGAGTTGCTACACGCAACTGTTTTGTGGTCGACGATTATAAATTTAATTCAAATATAAGTAGATACTCACTACTTTTTAAATTTGCTTAAATAAAACAATGGACGACTCCATAGAAACTCAATAGTTCTACAACTGTTGCCATCTGGTACTTAAGCAAGGTATTATTGGTTTTAACTGTCATAAATGGTGACACTACAAAGAGCCAGTTCGTGATGTCATTTGACAGCTGTCATAAATATAAAAGTCAACGCCAGACACGATCGGTTATAACGGATAGATCGCTTAAAATTGTAAAGGCCTGTAGTGTTGAACATCCAGAATCGCAAGGTCAAATATACAAGCGTATAAATATACTAACGACAATTGAGATATACCCCCACCCTTTGCACCTCCACACCCCAAATTTTTTACCACAAAAAAATTTCCAAAGATGAGCAGGATTTTCTGATTCGCCATAAACGAAGTTTTTTATTTTATTCGCTTTTAGTCCAAAGCTCGCCGCCATTCGATCCATCCTCAAAACCTACAAAGCTTTTGCATTATTGGCACAGTAGTAACCTTATTGAAATTTAACCACAACCCAGCTGTACTTCCCAGGTTATAGAGAGCGGACACACCTAAATGGTTGACATGGTTTTTCGTGATTCAACATCGAAAAAACATCTCATTTTCGAAATGCTTCGCGATTACAATAATTCCTCGCCAGTTAGCAAGAGAAGTGAACATCCACACCCGCCCTTTGTGCTACTTGTGTGGGGACCCCGAAAACCATTGACGGGATCAGAAATTGTTTGGCATATCCATTATTGTCGTAACCCAAAACTTAAATCATCGTGACTTTACACTGTTTATAAACAGAAATTCCGTAACGCTCACGCTACACTCGACGAAGCTTTAACTCTCTACCTTTGCCGTTCCCGATTCAATCAATGAAAAGAAACCTGCAAATCGTATTTTTTGCCACAGATCAGCTGATTTTCCATGCGCTATTCGCTCTGACATGCCATGTTTTGTTTTTGTAATCGGCGTGGCTTCCTTTGAGCATAACATGGGTTATCAGGAGATGTGTGTTACAAGTGATGAAGACATCGCATCTGATCTGTAGACAAGTTTGGTCGTCAGAAATGTGGAAAAAGCATGCAATTTTGGGTTAGATTATGCGCGGTAACGTTACAAAGTTAATAAATAGATTTTAACTGCGGTACACGGGCAATATCAGTTCATGAACTGTCGCAAACCGCATGTACGACTGACAAAGAAGGAAGAAACGAGCAGCTCTGTTTCAGAAAATGTATTGTCTAATATATAAAAGTCACGTCTGGCCTAAATGTAATACAAATTGTAACTTAGATGGAAATTAAATTGGCCCATTTTTCCTAATAAGAGATTTAATTCATAGCTATCACATTTCATAAGCAGATTTCGGTAAGCATACAAAAATAAAGAAAAGCTGTTATTTCATTAGTAAAACAGTCTTCAAAAGACTATAATACAAACAATAAAAACCTTCAAAATGATACGTGGAAATAAGTAAACCTTTATTCCAAGCTAGACTACCAAACATAAAATTTCATCTTCATCCAGAACCTTCACAGCTGAGTTTTAAAAAATTGAGCTAACTTATTCATTTTAATGTATAGGTCTAATCAAATATATTTTCTTGTATATCTGAAACCTAAAGTCTTGCTTTGAAAGGATATTCAGGGTGTTTATCCACACCCTTGAAAAACATAAAATCGAATATTCTACCATCTTCCTTTTTATCCAAGGCATTCAATTTTTCTAAATCATCAGAAGATAGATCAAAGTCAAATAAATCGATATTGGCTTTAATTCGTTCTGGATTGGTGCTTTTAGGAATGACAATGACATCTTGCTGAATGAGGTGCCTCAAGAGTATCTGACCGGGTTGTTTCCTGTATTTTTCAGACAATTCCTTCACTATAGGATGGCCCAGAATGTCTGGAAAATCGTTAAGTCTGGAAAGAAAGTGATAATTTGAATTCAAAAATTGATATAATAAAAATCCTCCTAAGGGGACCGAGTATGAATCCACAAAGTTTCCTTTTGTCATGTATTTAAAGTGTTTTTTATTCGTGCAATTCCCAAGATCGTTTTGGCGCCTGAGATGAATAGAAACATTTTGCAGAGAAAAAAAAATCGTTTTTTCTTCAAATCATAAAATATTTAATGTTGCAGCGAGAGTAATTATACTAATTTTTCAAGTTTGAATCACAGGCACGTTAATGTAGTTATTTTGATATTAAAATAAGACATTTATGTAATAAATTTTATTATAAACTCAGAAGTAAAAATCTAAAATCAAGTAAAAACTGTTTTTTTAGTTTATAAAGTTCATAATTAAAATTGTACCCCACTTTATTTATATATAGGGTGTCCGATTTTCATTTATCCACCTAAATATTTAAAAACGCCGCATCCTAAAAAAAGTTCCAAACAAAAGTTGTAAGGCTTTGAGATGAAAAAATAGTGGTGACCGTGACCATGACCTTGACTACATTCAAGTCAAGTGAAAGTTTTCTAATCGAACCCTTTTTTACAACAGAATTGGAAAAAGGGGGAGATTCTACCTCCAGATATGTCCATGACCTTGAAGGCCATTCCAAGCTCAAGTAAAGACATTGAGAAAAAAATGTCCGACAGCTCATTTGTGAAGTTTTTGAAGGTCACTCAAAGGTGACCTTGATCATTACCTTTCAGGTCAAGTCAACATTTAAAAAACCCTCATTATTATCCCAGCATTGCAAAAAGTAGGACATGTATGATCGAATGTGACCTTGAGTCAAGGTCATGTAAATCTTAAATGCTATTTGTGAGACAACCCCTTGATTTTATGCCAAAATTGTGGACGCAGAGAAAGTTTATATTTACACGTGTAAAATTTTGACATAACCTTAAAGGTGATGGTCAAGGCCATGGTCAAAATCACCTTTGGGTGACCCCCGCCTCAAAGCACACAACATTGTTGTCGACCATTTTTACTATACTATACTATACCCCGCCTATGAACAGCCGACTACTGGTAGTTAAGTGATGTTCACGTGAACATCGATGAGTCATTACAGTTTTAGATAGTTATAGTATAGATGAAATTGTTTCCTATGTCTTGATTTCACCTTGTTATCGCCTCGAAGGTCATCGTGATGGTCATAGTCAAGGTCATACTCCGACGTGAAATTTCCCCCTCTTTCCAATTCTGGTGTAAAAAAGGGTAATTCCATTTGAAAATATATGCCTGACCTTGAAGATAGCGGTTAAGGTCATATTCACACCTTTTCTGTGAAACCTGTTCCAGGATGCTTAGTTTTCCAAATATTTAGGTGGAGAGATGAAAATGGTTCAGTCCATTATATTTTACCTAATTGTCCACAATAAAATCGATAGTGAACAAAAAACCATTTAAATGAACATGTGCAGAGCTATGGGCTTTGGAGAGTTAATACTTACGAATAACTGTACTTGTTCTGGAAATGTGTATTGGCACCAGGACTTCCTAATGGAGAAAAGGCAGTTACTGCTACATTCAATATTTTACAAGCATCTCTTAATTCTTTCTGTTGCAAATAGGCATGCAGTTCCACTTGATTTACAACTGGCTTTATTTCAGCTCTGTGAATTCTTTGAACTTGCTCACTGTTGAAATTTGATAGTCCTATGGCTTTTGTCAACCCCTTCTGTACTTGCTTTTCTAATTCCTGTGAACAAGCAGTTCGTTGACATTTCTACTTGTTTAAATTAAGGGGTTTTTCAACTTTTGAAGCATCTGGCAGGATTTTAGTTACCTTCCAAGTTGATATGATATCATTTTCAGTATCAAGACTGAATGAACCATCTTCATTTTTCAATGGACCATTTCCTGCTTCATTGCTGTGGAAACTGAAAGGCATATGGATCAAGTACAAGTCCACATAATCAAGCTGCAGCCTTTCTAACGATAATTTTAAATATTTTTCTACATCTGCGGGTCTATTGCCAAAATTGGGCAGCTAAAAAAAAAGATTTTTCTTCAGCATTTGAAACCAAGTTACTTTCAAAAAAAGTACCTTTGTGGTGATGAAAAGTTCTTCTCTTTTGATTTTACCAGATTCAAGCCATTTGTGAAGTACATTTCCTATGTATTCTTCTGTATTATAATTGAAGGCAGTATCTAAAGAAAGCAGTAGATGTTCAGACAACAAAAATTTAATATTTCGATGCATTCATTCATTTTCGGTAAACATTCGACATATTTTCAAAGTACAATTGCCATATTTTCAGTAATTCAATGCTTATTTGCCACATTTTCAATGCAGATCACTAGAATTCAATATTTTGATGTATTTAAGATATTGCCAACAAGCATCCACCATGTTTGCACAACCACAATATTTTTCAGTATTTTCAATGTGCATCCACCAAGTTTTAAATATTTTGACACATTTTCAGTATTTTAATGAACTTTCAGCAGATTTTCAATGCTCATTCACCTCACTTTCATTATTTTGATGCAAATTCACCATGGTTCCAGTGAAATTACAGTGAAAAAGAAAAATGTTAAAACTCTGCTGTCCAACATTTCTTGAGAAGGAATTACGTCGCCAATACGTCCGAGATTTAAAAATATATGAAACATACAGAATCAGTCAACTGTATAGGTACACCAATATATAATTTGCAGCTTATAAAGTATACTTCAAACAGATTCATTTGTGGATATTTTAGAATAGCATATTTTATCTATCTGATATATGCAAAATATAAGCATGTATTCTCTATACATGTTTGATTCTGCTAACCCACATTATGCCACATGCATCCAGTTTTTAACAGCTCTCACTCATAAGCTGTGTAGAAAATACATACAGAGGAATACTAAATGGCCTTACCAATGTGCCTATAACCATTCTCCAATGCTATTTGAACTGCATTTTCGATTTCTTCCGGTTGAGATCTCCAAGTTCCCAAGCCGACAATAGGTATGTCAGCCCCATTAGCTAGCTTCACAGTCTTCATTTTGCACAGAGAAAATAAGGTGTTATAAAATTAGGATGGTATTGAACGAGCGATTGTCAAACTTAAACTGTGCTAAAATTAACTTGTCTGTCTAATAAAAAAAACGTAGTGCTCACTATTTATAGCTTGGCAAATATTTCAATGTTAGCAAATTGAAGTTTGTCAAAAGTTGTTTTCTGTCTAATTTTCAGTATGCAAGTGGTAACTTTTGTTGTGCAAATGGGGGTTATAGATATTGATTTTTCTGATAAAGGTCAAGGAGGGTCACAAGAGAAACCATGTTGGGGTAGTTGGTGATATATTCATTGCAAGTTGGCTGTATACATAAACAGGTATGTTTAAAGAAAAGGTGTAATGTGTTATATACATGCAAAAACAACAAATCATAAATGCTTTATATAGAATCTGCTGTTTGGTATAAACGGATATGTTTCATTCATCCACATTAAAAAAATATATTGCTCCTTTCTCCTCTAAATATATATTCATTAGTTAATAAAAAAAGATGTCCTAATCTGGAGACTCATGCAAAAAGTATATCATATATAAGTAATAAGATGTAATGATTATATTAAATGATTAAATTACTCACCTTTTGAGATGTTTTGATAAAGCCAGTTTGAAAGCTGTTTTTTTGAGTAACACATATTTTCAATAATTTTATTCCTCTAAAAATAGTATTTTTAATTAGCATTATAGCAAATTAATTTATATTTGTGAACAACCTCAAAAAGAAATCTTTCTCCTGAAAAACACAAAGTTGTATTCGATTATTTCAAATATATTTTGCATTTGAATTAGAAATTCAACCTAGTACCACGTATACTTTTGAACTACTGTCAAGTTGACATCTACACGTAACCTCAACATTTTTTGGGAGTGTCTAATATAGGGTAAGATCTAGGGCATTAGAGCAACCTTAAAATATCATTTTCAAGCATCCCGTCTGCAGACGTGAAACAGGATGATGCGCGATGAGAATAATGATATTTGCATCAGTAAAACACTACAAAGTAGGCCCTTGGGAGCTTCATTTGCCGAGTAGTACATGAGCAAAAACTAGTACACATTTTAAGGTATGCCCATCCCTGTTAGCCGACATACAGCCATATGACAGATTATCGTCCATGACAATTTGTCATTGTCAATGTCAATTTCGATCTGAAAGGGGTTCCAGCTAGAAATTTGATTTTAGATATTTATACAATCCAAGAATTATGTTGGCGTAATATTCTCATTTCTTTTAATACGTAATTGTAGGATAATTTGGTTAAAACACTTATCAGGTAAGCCTCCTAGCTTGTACTGTACGCAACAATTGTTTGTATTGTTAACTACATTAGTCATAATTTTGCAGAGATGGAGAAGACCACTCAAGAAATTGTAGAGCAAGACCTCCAAGAAGAAGGCCAATTCGTGGTGGACGACGTCAGTAAAATCATAAAAGATGCCATTGAAACGGTCATAGGGGGTAATGCCTACCAGCAGGGTAAAGTCAATGATTGGACAACAACTGTTGTGGAACAATGTACAGCAGAGCTTACAAAGCTCATGAAGCCATATAAGTATATTGTAACCTGCACCATTATGCAGAAAAATGGAGCAGGATTGCATACTGCAAGCTCTTGCTACTGGGACAACAATACTGATGGAAGCTGTACAGTTCGTTGGGAGAACAAGACAATGTTTTGCATTGTGTCAGTATATGGCCTAGCTATTTAGATAGATGTATTTGGATTATCATGGTAACTTGTGTTGTTAGGCTTTTGCACAGGGACTATTTGCCATTTGATTATTGTGATTCTGAATGCTAATATCTAAGATGCAGCAACAGAGCCCAGAGAGAAATTCAGGCAATACTGATGTTCTTATAGCAACTAGCCTAGTTCTAACATATTGCTCATCCCAACAAAAATGAGGCAACAAAAAAATTCAACTTTTTCTATCCATACATTTTTGTCAGAAAAACTGTTGATAAGTTATCTTTTATATCCTATATGTATAAAGGCTTTCAGCAAAAAACAGCATTTCATTTTTTTTTAGTTTTTCTAATAGCTACATCACAAATACATACAACAGTTTGCAGCTTAATAAACATATAAACACATTCCATTTATAGTTTCCATCTTTAAATTATCATACCAAAATTATTGTCACTCTTCTTTAAGATTTCTATTAAAATAAGCTTCCTGTCATGCTGCCATATTTGTGTTCTCTAAATTAGGAAATGAGATTTGCATTCTGGACAAGCCTAGCAACAAAAGTGTTCATCAAAATAATGTGAGCATTGATTTTAGAGAGATGCCTTATTAATTATAATTAGTGTTAATTATTTATATTTTAGGTTATGGTCATTTATTGTATGATTCTATTAAAATACTGTTCCACTAGCTGTTGTTTCATTTCAATGTGAAGGATGTTATGGTTGAGTGAGTGTAAAAAGAATGTAAAAGTTGAATCTATAATAGCTAATCCTAATTAGTTGTGGAATTTATCTGAAAGTGATGTGTGATTTTAAAATGGTCATCATGTCATGACCAAGTAAAAATCAGAAATGTCCAAAATTGTAACTAAAATTTGCATTTCATGTCTTTAATGCCTTGAGACTGTGCTTCAGGTATCTACAAATAGCAAAAAATGCCAAGCTTAATTTGCCGCGTTTTCATGTATTATTTTTTTGCTAAGCATTAGACCAGCACCACATTTTCAAAAACATATAGTCCGACCACAGACACGACAGCTGTTTCGTCCTATTTGGCAAATACATGTAAGGTCTATAACGCCAGAATCGACGGCATCTAGCAGCCACAGCGGTGACCCGGGTGCCATATTGCGAACTGGGATACAGTTCCAACAGACAGTATAGCACACACCAGGAATACACTGAAGACCATCCAGGGGTATTCTCTGCTACCGGCTAGCACCCATAAAGTCACGTCACCTTCGTTATATAACAATTTTTTTCCAACCTGTCGAAATATCGTTCTGTAACGATCACGCATTTAGAAAAAAGTGTTCCATCATCCTAACAGGGCGATTTTTTGTATGGTCCAATCACACTTGGGGTTGCTCTGTAACGATTTTGCGACGGTGAATTTGCTTCATGCGTATAAAAGGGCATCAAATGATAATAGAACGCTTGTGGTATGATAACGGATTTAAGGTTGGAACAAAACTAATAACTTAGATCGTAACTTAATTTTTTTCACATGAGGAAAATAAGTTTTATATACCGATTTTCACATTAAATGTTTTGGCACACTCTGTTTCCGGAATAAAAACAAAATCTCGAAATACAGAAGGCTCATTTAAATGAGTTGCCTTTTGAAGTACAAGCTTCCCCACACAAGCGAAAAAACAATAAACGAGAATAAATCGGATTGGAATGATGTATTTCATCTTTAAAGTCTTATGTAACATTTTTCCCCCGTGGGCTTCATTAAAAAGATACAGGGTGTTGAAGTTTAAAAATGAAAAACAATTTTTTTTAATATCTTCAAAACCGTCTACTGGGTATGTGGATTTACCGAACTATTGTCCATATTCAAAAGCCTTTACTGAAAATTAACGTGCACCAGTGACGGAGATACAGGGGATTAGTGGCATTATTTTTCCAAATAAAAAAGGTATGAAACTGTTTTTTCGAATTTTATCTTCAATTTTCCATAAATAACTACTCTTGTGCTTTTTTCCTAGAGTGCACTGTTTGTCGTGACATAACCGCATGGTTAAATAATCATTTTAGGCAAAGATGGATTGGCAGAAACGGACCCGTACATTGACCTGCTAGGTCCCCTGATATGAACCCCCTGGATTTCTTTTTGTGGGAAAAATTACTGTTGATCAGTTACAAGAAAGAATAGATAATTGCGTTTCATCAAATTCAAGCCACACCAAAATTTGCGGAAATACTTTTTTCTTTAGTAAAAAGATGCCGCACTTGTATCCGTCAGAATGGTGGTCTTTTTGAGCATTTATTGAAATAAAGCTTCGATTATTTATCTAATCTGTTTTTTTATTTTTACGGAAAACAAATACAAGAGCAATTATTTGTACATTGAAGGTAAAATACGAAAGACTGCGCGAAACAGTGGCGTAATTTTTTATTTGAAAAATAATGCCACCAATCCCTTGTATCTCCGCCACTGGTGCACGTTAATTTTAAGTAAAGACTTTAGAATGCGGACAATACTGAATTCACATACCAAACATGTTACATAGAAGACCCCCGTTATGACGTTTTATTTTTGGTCACGACTTGTGAATCACCCTGTATACTTACAGAATACCTCATTCACTACTATTATTGTTATGCCTGTCCCCATCATTATTGTTTATGAAACACCCTGTATGAATATTGTTTCATTGTGAGATTTATGAGTGACGTGAGATACAGTTTTTGATAGAAATGCTGTAAAGCTACAAAACAGGTTATTCTATCAAAAAGTACGGTTCTCAAAAATCTTCAAAAGAAACTGTATTCGCATAAAAAACAAAAATGGCGCCCACACACGGAGACACCCCCCAGGAGAAATTCGCCAGAAAATGCACACATCTCCGTAAGCTCAGGGTTATTATAAAGCTCATCATGGCCAATCTGTTCTGGTTGGCTGATATAGACGAGAAGCTCGGCGATAATGTGATGAAAAACATACAGATGTTGACCAGGAAGAAGGTTAAGAAGAGTGCTCTTACTGGCCAGGTATACCTACATATCTATCTTACCTCCCTGCTATGTACACTGAAGCGAATGAGATGCTGTCTGAGGACTTAAATAGTTTATGTGTGTGGTATAACAAACATGGCTTATGTATTAACCCTAGAAAGTCGGTCATCATAACTATTAAATCTAAATTATTAAAGATTGGAGGTGATGAGCTTTGCCACAAGGCATCGGTTCGCAACTAGGGCATCACATTTGATGAGAATCTGTGCTTCCATGATCATGTCACCAAACCTGTTCGGGGTTCCTATGCTAAGTTGAAGTCAATTTAGGTCCGTATCGTCAGTCGTCCCTACAATTGTAGGGCGCGTTTATGCCCTCCTTCCTCCTTGATTGTCATCCTCCTTTCTCTCCTTCAAAAATTTCTAGATTACACTTGTCCCGTGTCAACGTCAGCGCTCTCCTATTGTGAAGATATGTTTTCTTTTTAAATTGTAGGAAATTTCAGGCTGATAAAACATGATATAACTCAAAAGCAAGCACAATTTGATGCAAATAGATGTTTGTGGCATAACCTCAAAATAGAGTTCTGACACGGAGAAGTAGTATGACAATCAAGGAGGCCATAAAGGCGCCCTACAATTGGAGGGACGACTGACGATACGGGCCTTATAGCTATAAAAATGTATTTTCCAAGCACACTAAGGTTAAGTTGTGTGACTCCATTAACCTAAGTAAACTTAAATACGGGGACCTTGTCTATGGTCCGTGTCTAATACAAAGCGAGGCATACAGACTTCAAAAAGTGAAAAACAGCTGCATAAGATTCAGTTTAGGTATTCAAAACCGGGAGATGGTGTCTGATCATATTAAAAATATTCAATGGCTTACTATGCGACAAAGGTGGATACTGCATCTACTATCATTGATCCACAGTATTCTGATAAATAAAATGCCTATTTATTTGAAGAACAAGCTTTCCATGAGATCATCACTCAGCGAACCTGAGTTTTGTAGGATATACTCTTGACTTGCCTCGGCACCGAACAACCCAATTCAGAAAGAGCTTTTCATATGTGGCCCCCGATTTTGACAATAAAGTACCTCAAGCTTTGAAAACTCTGTGTCCAGCTTTAAAAGAAAAGTTAGGCTCTTTGTCTTTGATGACATGTAGCATGTATTTTTATGTAATTTTATTTTTATATTTGTTTATTCGTGCATGTTTTCTCACTTGTTACTTTTCATTTGCTTGCGTTTTGTTTACGAATCTGTTGCTGTTTACTTTTAATTTTTATACCTATCTTCCGCCATATACCTAATATTTTTTTTTAAGTTACTTCTAAGCATGGTTTTTGATCCTGCTACGAACTCTGTTGATGCACGTTTCTCTTTTGGTCATTATACCATGCATAGGCTACGATTCTGTAAAAAAAAAAAAATTTCTGCTTTAAATTTTCTTCTTATCTTCTGTGCATTTTTTTGTATTTGCATGTACTTGAATTTTCTTTTAGCCCTGGTTGGTTCTGAAAAACAGCTTCTGCTGATGTAACCCGCCAGGTAAAATAAAGGCCATTTATTATTAGATATTATTATATCTTTGGTACCGACCGGAAACGGTTACTTCTCTGACAGCGCACATTGATAAAAAAAATCCTCACGAAACTGAGTATTCATCGGCTCTCCGGCAGCTCACCTTCTTATCTAGATCCTCTGTGGTTTTTGCGTTACGTATGAAATTCGTGTCGTAGAATTTGGCAGTATGACCTTCGCGAAATATCACATCATACCGCTTTTATAACAACTGATGGATAAACAACTCCCAAACTACTCTTCTACGTTTCAACTCCTCAGCTAACGAATTTAAGTAAGGTCCGACCGATTGTCAACTTTCTGGCCAAAGTCGAAGTTCGGAATTTAGCACAACTTTCGGCCGAAGCTGAATGTTTACTCAATCAGAAATGTGGGCTGTGTTAAAACAATGAAATTGTTGAATAACGAACGTTGTTCCGATTTACGACTTACCATTTATGGTAGTGTTCCTAAATTCGCTGAGCAAGGTTACGTACATTTTAAGTATTTTTTCTCCGAGTTTCCATTTCCACAACATTTCTCGATGGTAGATATTTTTTAAACTTTCGGCCTTCGGGCAATCCTTCTGCCTTCTTTTGGTCGAAGATCGAATATGCTATCGAAGCTTTGGGCCGAATGTGGATCGGACCTCCGAGTATTCCATAACTACACAGTCAAACACCTTCGAAAATACTCAATTAATGTTTACCAAATTTGGTATAAACATAGTAATACAACAAATTTGACAAAAAAATGTTATTTTATTATTTATGTTCTCCCATCAGGATCTTTTTTCCTTCCGGAAGCTTATTAACTTCATAACTGATTCTTGTACCGGCATTTACTTTTTAGGAAAAGGCAATTTTGTGCAAGCCGAAAGAAGAGAGAACCGAAGAAGAAAAGGCACTTTTATCAAGGAGCATTGGGGGATTAAAATGCTTCAAAAAATATCCTCCAGTAAGTAAGAACATCACGTTTTGTCAGAATTTTGATCATATTGAAAATGATAAAGGACAGATGTTCACTGCAAAATATACTAAGTTGGTGAATGTATTTATCTTACTGTAAATAACAAGTGAAAAAATTTTCAGCCTTATCAGTTGAACATTCCGGTTTTTATACTGCTTTTTTTTAATTCACTAACGCTCTAAAAATGAATATTTCAGCCGCAGTAAAGAATCAACGTTGGCGGATTTTGGTTCTTGACATCCTTTATGATCGGTTACGATGCCTAGAGTACGGAGACCTGTACGATTTCGTCAACTTAGTGAGTTTGATAGGGTCCGTATAGTGGGACTTCGGGAAGCTGAACATTCTTTTCGGGCAATTGCAGTTAGAGTGCAAAGAAGTGTAGACACTGTGGTTAGGTGTTGTCAGGCATGGCTTCGAGAAGGCCGTACGCAAAGAGCAAGGGGCACTGGACGCCGCCGTAGAACAACAGACCGTGAAGATCGCCTTAAGGGACCGTTTCTCCACTACCAGGTCCATTGCAAATGAATGGTTTGCAGAACACGGAAGACCTATTGGCATGCGAAGTGTTTGCCGACGAATGAGAAGTTTTGGCTTGTTTGCATACCGGCCACACTGGGTCCTCCCTTTAACTCGAGAACACCGACGTAATCGCCTTGAGTGGTGCAGACAACGGTCACTCTGGGATCAGGAATGGAACAGTATTGTCTTTAGTGACGAGTCTCGATTTTGTTTAGGCATGCACGATGGTCGTGCCAGGGTTAGAAGGCGACGTGGTAAAAGGAGGAATCCACAGTTTTTTGTTGAAAGACATGTTCATCACACTGTTGGAGTTATGGTTTGGGGTGCTATAGCTTATGGTTCCAGGTCACCTTTAATCTTCATCAGAGGTAACATGAATGCGCAGCGTTATATCCACGAAGTTCTAGAACCCCATCTTTTACCCTATCTTGACACCCTGGCAGATCCAACTTTCCAACAAGATAATGCCCGACCACATGTTGCAAGAGTCACAATAGACTTCATTCAACATAATGATGTCACATTGTTACCATGGCCACCAAGATCTCCCGACTTATCCCCAATTGAGCACGTGTGGGATATGATGGGTAGGAGATTGCTCAATTTGCAACGTCCTCCTCAGACTCTAGAAGCACTTCGAAAGGAGTTGGTGGTTGCCTGGAATGAGATACCACAGGAGGACATTGACCACCTGATCAGAAGCATTCATCATTTACTTATTATGCTTCATTAAGTACTTATACAAAATTTTATTAAAATAAAACCATTTAAACTGGGTGTTCGGATTTATATGTCACTTAGTATAATTAGAAAAATATGCTGTGCTACTTTGAGGTTCTGTAGCGAGTGATGGACGAAGGGTTTAAAAAAAAATATGGAGAAAGTGCTATCTAGAAGATATATGACACGCCGTGATTAAAGTATAGTCGTTGCTGTTGATATCACGAAAGCTTTCGATCAGTCTTACTATGCAAACTTCCAACTTATGACATCACTCTAGCATATGCAGGAATTTAGACAGTCAAGAAGACTGGAAGATATTAGAAAAAAGGTGGATGCGGTAACGTGCTCCAAAATCCATCCTGATTTAAAATTATGGTGCAAGTGTCACTTATTATAAGGCATAATTTGACTATTCAAATAACTCATTGTACCATTATATGGAAATCTCTTAGTGTATTGATAAAAAAGTGAATATTCTAATTATGTTTCAGGAAGTAAAGGCTCAATTGGCTGCATGTACTTATTACGTCTTCTATAACGCAGGGAGGGTCATAGTTAAACAGGACCATCCACCATCTGCGATGTATTTCATACTGTCAGGTACAACAGCTATAATTCTACTTTTTGGTCGTATAAAATATAGACGTTTTTTAATCAGTAGACATTTGTGAGATGGGGATCAAATTCTTTGAGTGGTGGAGCTTAATAATTTGCACTGATACTAAAAAAGGGTGAAACTTACTAGTTTGTTTGTAGAGAGTGATCTTCGGAACTACTGAATCGATATTAAAAATTATCCCACCAGCAGAAAGCTATATTATTCCTGAGTCGCATAGGTTAAATTTGATTATCATTAATAATATCTTTTAATTAAAAACATTTCGGTACCTGTGTCACAGGGTAACAAATCAGGCCCATTACTATTTATTTTATATATTAAAGATATTCCTGATGTTTTACAACACTGCAAAATTCAAATATTTGCTGATGATTAAAACTGCAATAGAGCTATTAAATAATGATATGAAAAATATAATTAATTGGTTGAATGTGAATGAACTCAAATTAAATACAAACAAAACAAAATGTATGCTTATAGGAAAATCTTCAGATGAAAATACGATAAATCATGAAAAAATTGAGTCAAACGAATCATTTAAATATCCGGTCATATACGTAGATAGTAAATTAAAATTTCAAGGGCACTGTGGATATATATTTTTTAAAAATATCCAAAAAGATGAATCACTTTTATAGAATATCGCATAGCCTAAGCATTTATTCTAAAAAAATTATGTACAACACTATCATTCTTCCTCATTTGTTATATTGTTCGACAATTTTGTTCGCAGTAAACGAGACTGCATTTTCAAGATTACAAATATTTCAAAATAAAGCTATGAGAATCATCTTAAATAGAAATAAATATACTAGAATGAATTTTATGCTGAAAGAACTACAATGGTTAAATATCAAAAAATTCATAACTAAATAAATTGGATTTCATTTTTATATTTAGTATGTTAAAAATCGTTTTCTACCAAAATTTTATTGAGCTGAATAATAGTTTTTCTAATAGAAGGAGTATAAATTTTCATTTACAAAATTGTAGCATCAATATAACAAACAAAGCAGCATTTCAACAAGGATTGTACGAATTTAATAAATTAAGTAACTATATCTAGATGTGTGCCAGATTGAAAATTTTTAAAGGGAAATTAAGTAAATATTTTATGGAAAACCTGAATTCGTAGTGTTGAAATTTTGTATAATAAACTGTAGTCTTGAAGAGATTATGTGATATACTGTGTAACTTTGATATTGTAGCATTGATGCTAAATAAACCTACAACAAACAAACAGCGTTATGGGGGTCGAATTTGAAACACTCGGTACAGTAATACGTGAAATGAACTGCGTATATCCATTTGGAAGCAGTTTTAGTATGAGTTACCTGCTCGAATATTTTTACAGGTGAAGCGGCTGTATCAGTAAGGCACTACGACAAAGTCTTGAAAGAATGGATAACGATAGAATCGGGAACCTTGTACCCAGGTACGATGTTTGGTGAGGTCGCCTTGTTGCACGGTGTTGTACGATTGGCTACCATCAGCACTACCAGTACGTACCTCGTTATTCTAGATACATATGTTATGTGCAAACTATAAAATTACTACTATAGAACAGGTAATTGGCGGAAAAGACACCTGGTTCGGGGCAGCTGCAAATGCAGCAAAGTAGAGGTCACTTCAGATACTTCGAAAAAATTCTAGCAAAGATTAATCTTTATACTTTATTAATCTCTAGCTTTCAATGGACTTTGCCATCTTCATCAGGAGCTGCAATAACATTGAGAAGAAATAGCAACTATTGTGAAAAATGATTGAGAAGAAATAGCAACTATTGTGAAAAATGATTTTTCTCAATGTTATTGCAGCTCCTGATGAAGATGGCAAAGTCTATTGAAAGCTAGAGAAAAATAAAGTATAAAGAGTCCTCTTTGCTCGAATTTTGTCGAAGTACCCAACAAAAGGCGGAAGCTTTATTTTGCAACCAACTGGTCTAAACGACAATGACCACGTCTCAAGCGATATATATACAGGGTTATCCAAATTAAGTGTCCACCATTAGCAACTTTGTTATTAGTGAAAATACAAAGTTGTTTGAATTAGCAAACTAGTAGCATTTTTAACGCTGGTAAAAATGAGAAATAAAAAAAAACAATTGAGAGTCGTTATTTTGATTTTTTTCAGTAAAATAACATTTTTTTAAATGGAAACCCCTGTATATTATATTTTTTTCTGTTAAAGCATCAAATTTTAAACAAAAAAGCTTACAATAACTTTTCAAGGTTACAAATTGTTGAAGTTATGGCCTCCAATCTGAAACAATTAAATTGTATCGACAAACTTTATTTTCAACATCAACTTATAATCTTACAAAATACAATAACAATTTTTTTTAAAGAAGATGCTCGAAAACACCACCTTGTTCTTCAATACATTTTTGGGCACGTTTTTCAACTGCTCGAACTGTCTTAAGTATGGTCCTACCATCTATCTGGGTTATCTTTTCCCTAACTGCAGTCTTTAACGCGTCAAGGTTATCGTACCTTCGCTTGTAAATTTGGTTCTTTAAGTAACCCCACAAGAAGTAATCAAGTGGGTTTAGATCTGGCGATCTGGGAGGCCACTGTATTGGGCCATTTGTTCCTATCCACTGATCATTAAAAGTAGTACTTAGAAAATGATAAGTACCTCTGGAGTTGTGGGCAGGTGCGCCATCTTGCTGAAAATGCAGATGATGTCTACTTATAAGATCCAATTCGTCTAAGAAATTAGTCAGAATTTCTGACATAAATTCCACATATCTTTCACCAGTTAGGGTTCCCTCATAAAAGAACGGGCCAACAATTTTTGAACCAATTATACCGCACCAAACGTTGAAACTGAAACGGACTTGTGGGCCTCTTGGATGTACTAACAAAAGATTTTCTCTTGACCAATAATGGTGGTTTTTTCTATTAAACATTCCAGAATTTGAAAAATTTGATTCATCTGTCCATAAAAGGTAACGAAAGTTATTTACATTTTGGCGACAGAAGCTAAGATACCAATGGCAAAAAACAAGTCTTCTCTCTTGATCCCCTGCCAAAAGCGTTTGAACTGGTCGGTACTTATACGGAATAAATTTGTATTTTTTTAAAATCCTTTGAACAGTACCATAACTGAAATTAGAGTCCTTGAGAATATCTGCTATTGAATTCTCACGATAAGCTTCAAAATATCCAATAACTGCAATTTCCGTGGCCTCGCTTATTATGAATTCTTTTTTTGCCCTTGTTTTAGCAAAAACATTTTCGTTGCCCCTAAATTTTCGATAAAGTCTCAGAAAATATCGTTCATACGGTTGAATGCGAGCGGGACTGTAGTATTCTCTTGCTCTCAAGGAGGATTTTCTGCACACTAAATAGCATTCTAACATATCACACTTTTCTTCATGGGAGAACATTTTTCTTTAAATTAATGACACAATAAAGCTTATAAACAAGTATTTACACTAATGTTTGACATTATTATGATTTTATCATTGTTTTCCAAAGCCTTCTAGTTGCGAGTATGTCCAGTTTAACAATTTGTCGCTTATCTTAATGCTGTCAAATCGCGAATGCCATGTTGTTTTCATAGCCGTCTTAATATTATAATACTGCAAATAATTAAAAATATTTATCGTTATTTTGACTTTATTTTTGACTTTAGCGGAAAAGTCATTATGAACTTTTTTGTTTAAAATTTGATGCTTTAACAGAAAAAAATATAATATACAGGGGTTTCCATTTAAAAAAATGTTATTTTACTGAAAAAAATCAAAATAACGACTCTCAATTGTTTTTTTTATTTCTCATTTTTACCAGCGTTAAAAATGCTACTAGTTTGCTAATTTAAACAACTTTGTATTTTTACTAATAACAAAGTTACCAATGGTGGACACTTAATTTGGATAACCCTGTATATATACAGGGTGACTTCGAAGTTGAGTCATTTATTTTAACAGTGAGTAGATCTGATCAAAAGAAATGTTTTTTTCGTTTACCATTTTTCTGGTAAAATTAAAGTAACAAAGTTATAGCCCTTTGGAAGTTTGAGTACCGCCCTGTCTCAATAATAATATTATGTGCTCGTGTTTGGCGACAACGGATATAAACCGCCTTATCGGTTCATCGCATCGGAAACAAAAAAGCGAAAGAATTTGGAACGATGTTTTTACAATTATTTCATTCAGTTGTATACAGTCAGTGTCAGTCGGTAACGCGTGAGTGAATGGTGTCTGTTGCGTGGCTCAAACGAAATAAAAAATGGCACATGTTTATGCGGATAGGTTTCCCAATCGAGTGCAACCAACCCCTCGTGCCTTTGTTAATGTAGTACAACGGGCTCGTGAATCAGGTGACTTAAGACCTCACATGGGGACTGCATGCCGGTGCTCCAAGACCTCACGATCAAATACAGGTCCGCACTGAAATACTTGTCGGGAGGATACTTTATAAAACAAGGTAACATTTTTTTTTAATTTTTTTTTTATTTTTACACACATATTTTGGTTTATCTTCCTTCTACAATCATTATCTGAAAATTAATGACTCAACTTCAAAGTCACCCTGTATATATATAATGTCCTTAGCCTACTACAGAAGCAATGAACATTTTGAACTGAGAATATTTTTTAATTCAACATAGTCCCCTTTTAATTCGAGACACTTTTTACATCGACACTGTAGAGTCGAAAAAAATGTTTCCTCTTGGTCCGCGAACCAGCTTTCCACTGCTGCTATCACTTTAAAGATTTTTTAATATACTACTGCTATACAAAAGCAATCACTTTGGTTTGATCTCACATTTTGAGTGCAGCCTCAAGATCCTTGAAGTTGCAAACATCCTGGTTCTATTATATGTATGTCAAAGATGTTTAACATAGGATACGGTTAGCATACGGTCTGCGAATACCTGCTTATAAAGTTTGATCAATACTTGACTAGTAATCGATTGCAGCGCCGTGTGAACTGTTGATGATAAAAAAGGAAGATTTCGATCGGGTCTTAAAAGCGACTGTTCTAAAATCGTGGGAGGCTATATCGAAGACCATGAACAACCTGTCGTACTTCAAGAATTGGGATAACTTGACAAAACGCGAATGTGCCATCATCGCCAGAACAAAGGTAACATCTCTAACTCTTACCACTGCTTGCTAAAATCAACCAATTTTTCTTCCAATAACCCCACAGAATAACCTCCTTCGTAAAGAATTTTGATTTACGCATCACCTCTTGACTTAAACTATCTTACTTACCGCTTATTTCTTCTGATTTTGTCATTAATGAACCCTCGTAATTTCGCAGCGATTAGTATAAAATAATGTTGAAAGTGTAACTCTCTAGCAATATACAATGTAAATAAAAATGATTAAATTGATATTTGAATCACATGCTACATACATTTTGCAAGCTACTTACCCAGCGTCAATTTCTTGTTTACCTGCATCAAAAAGTACATATTTGAGGCTCGATAACTTTTGAAGATTAGCGTCTTGACCATCGTGCCCACTGACGGATTTATTTTACAAGACAAAAATGGTGACCATGTGTGTACTATTTGGGCTTTCTTCGAAAAAAAAAGCATCAATGTGGTGCAGGTGTGTGTATGTAGCCTCATTTCTTTGGAGCTCTGGCGTAAAGCTGTTTGTCAAAGACGTTTGATATCTGATTACAATACCTCACTAAATCAAATCACCTCTTAAAATTACTCTCCAAGCCGAATGAGCGTATATACAGGGTGTCCCGAAAAAAGTGTGCAATATTCTACCAGCGGTTTCTAGAGCTTAAAATATGAAGACATGTTTATATAAACATAGATCGACAAACGTCCCCTAAGGGCGCTACGGTCTTTTAAAGGGGCTCCCCTGAAGATGGTTTTTCCTTAATATTTCCGAAAAGTGTTGAGATAAAGACATAACATTTGGTATTCTAGCCCAGTTTTTTATGCTGGATTTAAAATATTAACAATTTTAGACAGTTTTGTTTGGAAGCGTATGTAACAGGGACGGACTAAGGTTATTTTAGCCCCAAAATTTTTGTGTGATTCTATTTTTGAAATTAAACTTCAGAATTTGAAAATTTAGGGTTTTCTACATAAAAAAGGTACTCTTATTGAATATCGATAAATTGTACCATTTTTGAATAAAATCAAACTAAAAAATTTGTCACATGATAGAAATGTACTGCACTTATTGTAAAGCTAGTTTTAAGTATATCCAACTGTATGTCTTCTTTTTTAAACAAATTTCAATTTCGTTCGTAGAAAAAATTTATTTCTTTTATTTTTGCCTAAATATTAGCTATGTTTCAATAGAAATATATGTATTTATATAATATTTACCAATTATTAAGTTAGTTTTTTCGTTGCCGTGGTTACTTATTCAACAATTCATTTAAATTCGCAGCACATTTCCTATCATGTGATAAATTCTTTAGTTTGGTTTTATTCAAAAATGGCACAATTTATCGATATTCAATGAGAGTATCTTTTTTATGTAGAAAACCCTAAATTTTCCAATTCTAAAATTGAATTTCAAAAATAGAATCACACAAAAATTTTGGGGCTAAAATAACCTGAGTCCGTCCCTGTCACATACGCTTCCAAACAAAACTGTCTAAAATTGTTAATATCTTTAAATCCAGCATATAAAACTAGGCTGGAATAACAAATTTTATGTCTTGATCCCAACACGTTTCGTAAATATTAAGGAAAAACCATCTCCAGGGAAGCCCCTTTAAAAGACCGTAGCGCCTTTAGGGAACGTTTGCTGACCTATGTTTATATAAACTTTTCTTCCCATTTTAAGCTCTAGAAACCGCTGGTAGAATATTGCACACTTTTTTCGGGACACCCTGTATAGATGATATCGCGCTCACCTCGTATGTGCCCAGAAAAAGATGTACTTGATATTTTCAGAGCTACGCTACTGCAGAAACCGTTCTGGGTGACGACATAGGTCTGCCAAAGTGGGTATATTTTATCACAAAGGGCAGCTGTCATATAATCGAACATCTCATGTTGAAAGTATACGAATGGAGAGGGTTGAAAACATACAGTCTGATTCTTTATGATGAGGATTTTGACGAAGATGAAGATGACCGAACTGTCAGCCAAATTTTTGATAAGTACAATATCGGTGGCAAGGAGACACTGGCCGGTAATAAAGTTTCTTTTCCCACTACATACTAACATGTCTCTCCCTAGGTAAATAATGAAAATAAAAAACACCTTGCTGAATAAAAATATTATTTAAAAATTATCTTGTCAATTTCATTGTATCAGTCTGACAACTGAACCTTGTATTTCGAGATATTTCAGAGCGATTGAGAAATAAATAATTTTGAGCACAGCTCCTCGTGTAGGTCTTCTTGAATATCCCAATTACTGAGCACCACAAAAAATATAAGTCGAGATCATTGAGATAGACCGTGGTATTCCCATATTTTGCCACGCTGAATCCGAATCCGTGATCAGAAAAACTCCTAGACCTCTATAATTTACCCCCTGGTCCAAAAACTAGCAATAGAAGGCGTGAAACTCGAGTTTTTGATGCTAGATGCTGGAGCATGTTGTTTGCAAGCAGTGTCGGCTCGTGGCAAAATAAAACAGGTGTTCTGCAAGTCCGAACTTACCTATTTTTTATATGTCAGTTCGATCCTGCGCTGCTTCTTGGCAGCAAATTTGTCGATCACCTTCCCGTTGAAATTTTCCATGTTCGAAATAAATTCCTTTTCAATGGACAGCATCGACAACGCTGTAAGGCAATCCCGGGTCATAGTATTACGAAGAAAAGTCTTGATTCTTTTCAATGTTGAGAAATTTCGCTCAGCCTCTGATGTTGACATAGGAGTTGTAACCATAATTTCTAATAGCTGTTTTGTTTATTTTAGTGTTTCCTCCAAACTATTTTGTATCAAAAATTTCACAAGAGACAGAGTTCCATGTAAATATCGGCAATCATTCCGTGCATAAATAACAGACAACTCTGTCTTTAAACGACTACGGCAGTCTGTCAACTCCTGTTACTACAAATATTAACCTTTTTTGGATTTTATTTTTACACTGTAATGATGAATAATGCATCTTCAAACTGGTGTCTCAACCTTACTGCCAACTTTTCTCGTTCAGGAAAAATTGCCACTTATTTCCCAACCAAATATTCCAAAGTAAAACTTTGCTCAACTTTAACTGGCTGTACTGGAAAAAAATGTACTACGAAAGTTTGGCAAGTAACCTTAAAAGTTGGCGCATTTAATAAGGATTCCAAAATGGTATAACACTTAGAAGATAACTCGTTAACTTATGCACAATTTTTATTTGAAGAAAAGCTGATGAAAATTTTTCAAAATTTCCTAATTAAACAGCGATTATGAAAACGCACAAGGACCCTTAAGGATAACTGTTTGCACAACAGTGGGCATCAAAATGCTGCTGATGATGATTTACCTTTACAGCAAATGCTCAAACTGTTTTCCTTCAGCCGCAATACACGCTCGACATCTTCTCGGGTTATTAAACGAGCGAATCCACGGTTATTAACAAACTCAGCTGCTTCCAATAGTCTTTGCCGTAGCTCAGCTACATTTTGAATCGGCTTGAAATACACTTTTTCTTTTACAGTTCCCCAGTAAAAAAATCTAAAGGATTCAAATCAGGTGATCGGGCTGGCCACGGTTTTGTACCAGACCGCCTTATCCATCTGCCTGGAAAGTTTTGATCGAGATACTCTCTCACTGAGAGTGCATAGTGCGCTGGGTAACCATCATGCTGAAACCACATGTCCCTGTAAATACTCAGTGGCACGTCCTCCAATAAATTTTCTAAATGATTTTGCAAAAAACCTAAATAAACCTCAGCAGTCAAAGTCTCTGGGAACTCAAACGGACCGATTATTTTACCATTTAAAATTCCTGTCCAATGGTTTATCTTGAAGCGATATTGAGATTTATCTTCTCTCATCAAATGTGGGTTTGCTACGTGCCACTCGTGTAAGTTATGCAGGTTCATGTACCCATCTTTCTTAAATGTGGTCTCAAAGAACTGTTGATCTTTCCTGTGTTTTTCTAACATTGTGCGGCAAAAAGCAACTCGGGGCTCATAATCCCGGGGCAGGAGAGGTTGAACACGCTGTATGTGGTATAAATACATGTATGTCCGGCAGCGGTCGACCTGACACCTTCAGCTCAATTTTTTCTTCAAATGTGTATTTCCAGAATCTTTTCACGCTGTAAACCACATCCATTGTCTTGCTTCCCTTCTACACAGCCACAGTCAGTCAGTGAGTCACTAGTCACTCAACGTAAGACCCAAAATACCTAAATAAAAAATTTTTCGCATTCAAATTTTAAGCCACGTCACGCGACAATACCGAGGACCGAGCACCGACCGACCAATCAGATATCGTACTTCGCATTAGATCTGTAGGGATCTGCATAAATTGCAGCACATGCTTACGCTTAAATCGCTCATTTGATTTTGTAGAGAGAGACAAAAGCAAGCGCGTGCGGCTTGTGTCGAAGTAGTGCACAGACCCTTTTCAAGTGGCCCATGAATAATGTTACGCTGCGGTCGCGACGAAAATGACAAGTACACAATTGGTCGATTATAATGCTGCAAAAAGACTCGACGCCGTGTCTTGCGGGGGCAGGCCGATATTGTTTCTAACTTAAGGACCAGCCGCCCCTGTTTGCATGTGTCTTTCGATTCTAAATTTGGGGACAACATTTTTTACACCCCTGGAATTTGCCCTCGGGATCAAAACACTACTACTGAAACGTGGTTTCAAAGCTGAATCACAATTTGAGGTAAAAAAAAACTCCACCAAAAAACAGGTGAATGTAATTATTGACTTTTTATTCTGGTACCTATTGTGCTTGTAAATATCACTGTTTATAAAAAATTGCTTTTCTAACCCGAGGCGTGTGGATATCTCCTTTGATTTTCTTGTACATATTCTGTAACCCATTATTTAAAATTTTTTGAAAAATCCTTTTCTCGTACATATTCTGAAAACTGAAGTACTGGCATAAGTGGTTCAGAAAATAGTTTTTCGAGATGAATCTATTTTTAAAAAAAACATCTATGTACATTCCCTGCAGCAGTCTATTTGTTACTGCAAAAAAGTCATAATACATGGATTTTTAAATTAGGATTATGAAGTATTTACAAAAACACCCAAAGACAGATTTGACTAAAAAATACTCAACACCATCTGCGAATTTCTAGCTGTAACCGTTTTTTGAGAAATACGGCACCAATACAAATACTTCATGTTTTCAAATATACGATGATAAATGAAAAAGTTATCCCATTATCTGTGGATGTCTTGTCATTTACCACCTTAAAATATGATTCTGCTGTAAAATCTATCAGAACAATATTTGGCTAGATAGTCACAACTGTCTCCTTTTAGATAAGAAGCATGTAGGGAAAAAGAAAAGTGACGAGCTCATGCTTTCTTTGGAGAAGGGAGAATCAAAACATCAGAAAGGTAGCAAAGATTTTACGCTAGAACATCATTTTATCAAGGTAAAATCATTGAAGTCTAATCAACAATTATTTATATTAAATATTATTGGCTTAATGGCTTAATGGTGTTATTAATTTGTTAGCTCTCCGGGCCGTGGTTATCCCCGCAGCTTAGCTCCATTAAAAAAATAACCATTCTTTCCAAGTATGCAAGTTGACTGTTGATTCACTATGCAATGTTATATGTTAATAACGATTTAACGTCTACAAAGTCGCGGGTAACAGCTAGTATGAAAACAATATTTGCTTGAATAAAACCACGCATATCAGTTCAGTTTTTTTTGCTAGATGATCATCTAATAGACTGACAAAAACTTTGTGTACTTTTTTCTTGGCGTTATAAAAAGTTATTTCGCTAAAATAGCCCAGGAATACTATATACGAATAATTCGCCGATGAATATTTATATTTCGTTGGCAGGTATGTGATTTGGGAGTTGGCGCCTGTTTCAACATCGGCGAACCGTCCAGACGACGCAGGGTCGTTGCTAAAACACCAACCACCGTATTGCTCGTCCCCAAATATTGGGTGAGGAGGAATAATAAGGATAACATCTGGAACAGAGTGCAACAGTTTCTCACCAAGCATATTCCTACGTCGGAAGAGATTTTCAAAAACTTTTTGGAAGCGAAGAAATTCAAGAAATATAGCAAGAGTCTTATCCGAGATTTGTTGTCTGAGAGGAGGGTCGCGAATGAAAATTCGATTCATAATGTGCCGTACAGTATCAGGTTGAAGCAGGGCGTCGATGCTGATTATTTGAAGTTCTAAATATTATATGGAATTTTGTACAAATAAATTGCATTGCCAAACATCTACTTCATAGTTAATGAAGGTGTATATATTCACAAGCCCTTTGAGCGTCTGGCAACGTCGCCTCTCTTTGACACCTAACCCAGTCACCAGTCAACATAAAAAATTGGGATATACCCTTACCATCCCTCAACAACTCCCATCTCAAATTTTTTGCACCTAAACTTTTTTCAAAAATGATCGTCGTTGGCCTTTTTCTCTGCCTCTACTGGACTGATTTTCAAAAAATAAAACGTTTTTTCGTCCTTGGCATAGCAGTAACCTTAAGTGAAAACTTTATCCAAATTCGAGTATTTTACAAGTTATAGGCTGTCCAAAAACTAGCGGACAGACCGACAGAAATGAGTGACATGATTTTTCGTGATGAAAAAATTGAAGTCTAATCATTCAAATATCTGGGTATATACAGGGTGACCTCGAAGTTGAGTCATTTATTTTAACAGTGAGTAGATCTGATCAAAAGAAATGTTTTTTCCCTTTACCATTTTTTCTGGTAAAATTAAAGTAACAAAGTTATAGCCCTTTGGAAGTTTGAGTACCGCCCTGTCTCAATAATAATATTATGTGCTCGTGTTTGGCGACAACGGATATAATCCGCCGTATCGGTTCATCGCATCGGAAACAAAAAAGCGAAAGAATTTGGAACGATGTTTTTACAATTATTTTATTCATTTGTATACAGTCAGTGTCAGTGAATAGTGGTGTCTGTTGCGTGGCTCAAACGAAATAAAAAATGGCACATGTTTATGCGGATCGGTTTCCCAATCGAGTGCAACCAACCCCTCGTGCCTTTGTTAATGTAGTACAACGGGCTCGTGAATCAGGTGACGGCATGCCGGTGCTCCAAGACCTCACGATCAAATACAGGTCCGCACTGAAATACTTGTCGGGAGGATACTTTATAAAACAAGGTCAATTTTTTTTTAATTTTTACACACATATTTTGGTTTATCTTACTTCTACAATCATTATCTGAAAATTAATGACTCAACTTCAAAGTCACCCTGTATGTGTATAGTAAACTACTGTTTCAAGAGCATTATGAAAACACTATTTCCAGAAAAATATGAAAAAGGATAATATACTTCTATAGAGTTTCTCATAATCCCAGTATCTATTCCAAAAAATTCTGTATAACACTGCAATTCTTCTTCATTTTTTATATTGTCCACAGCAAATGAAAACATATTTTCAAAATTACAAATTGTACAAAATAAAGCTATGAGAATCATTCTAAATAAAAACACATATGCTAGGATTAAGTCTGTGTTAGAAGCACTACAGTGGTTGAATGTAAAAAATTTCATATGTTATTTAGGTCTCATTTTCATATTCAAATTAAAAAATAATTTATTACTACGTCATTTAGAATACTCCACAAAATTAAATAATCATTATCATAACTAATAATCCGTATTAGAGTTTGGTGCATCCGTACACTGAAACTGTTAATCCTACAAAAATGCTGTATATAGATGTATAAGAATAAATAACATCAAAGTAGAAAAAATATCAAGCATCAAATACCTCGAAGAGAATTTGAAATGGTCTAGTCACATTAAACATTCTGTGAATAAAACAACAGAGACTGCTTAACTACAAAAAGTAAAATAAACACTTATAATGTATTTTCCTTGGTACAATTTAGATATGTTACCTATTAAATTTGTTCAACTATGACCGACTTACCAACACGGATAATATGTACACCGAACTCAATGTTAGCAAACTTATAAGCTGTTGGAACTAGAACACTGTAAAACGATTTTCAAAATTTTAAATAACTAACAAAAGTGTAATTTCTGATTCTGATCATACATGATCTGCATAACTATGAAACAAGATTACATAATAATTTGTACCAGATTCCTACTAGAACGAATATAGGATTAAATAACCCTGTCACTGATGCAGTAAAAACAAAAATACTCTATCAATTAGTGTTAAAAAGTTATGTAAAAACACTCAAAAGTCATTTGAATTTATTGTATTTAAAAGTCGCACTTTAAATATTGTTGTTCTCAACACAAATTAGAGAACTTTGTTCACTATAAAATTTGACCAGTGAATAAATATTTGTTTAAAAAAAAAATAATAGGATATATTTCCCAGAAACCTTCTTGAACGCCATTTCACCAATATGGAAGCTCAAGCAAAAAAGACACGACGAAACAAATCGAAAAAAAAAGAACATCGATTTAAAAAAAATCCCCAGAACTTTCTAGGCAACAATGAAACTGTTTATTTCCACCAAATATAATTTATGGCATATGTTTGAAAATTGCCTACAATATACGGTTTCGCTATTAGTCAGTTTCTGAGAAGAGTGTCAAACCAATGCCCAAAACAAACACTCACCTGTCAGCTGTGTTGCTCATCTAACCCTAACTGCATACTACAGTTATGGTAACTGAAACAAACAGAAGCAACAAGTTAGCTTGTTACAAATTAACAAATACAAAACTAAATATAGTAATATGGACTGGAACTAACAGTTCAAGCTACACATTTCATGATAAATACTGATGGATCACAGTAAATACTGATTATATAACATTCGCCTCAAGATGTTAGTAAAATACGTTGACATAACGATCAATAAGTACTGATGGTATTGACTGCAGTAAATACTGATTGTGTGACATTCGTCTAAGGTTTGCACGAATCTAGCATCAAACAAATATATAAGTATACATATAGTTGCTACTGATGAAAACTAGGCTCAATATAGTTACTAGGAAACGGACTTACCACAGCTGGGATTTGTTGTTTCATCTTCGGAGGTATCCAGCAGTTCTTGACAAATCACACTCACAACAACTCCTAACAAACATACACTTATTATCAATCGATACATCACCAGCTTTCTCACAACGCATAACTATTACGCGCGAACTGATTGAGACCGTCGAGAACACGACGAACTCGCCGCGACGGTAGTACCGACAAGACTGATCGAGCGGCGCGTGGCGGTGCTGCCGGCTGCCAGTGGGGCGCAACCAACAATCAGCGCATTGGTCCAGCGCCATCCCCACCCTTCGCTGTCTATTCCTTTGCTACGCGCAAGAAGACAGCGCCAGATGCGGGATGCTCTGCTATTTGTGCATATTTTCACCTATAGGCCAAGTGGCTGGACGCATTTTCACATAAGGAGTGTTGCTGGATTCGTCTTACAGGTACGAGTGACACTGACTGCATTAAAACTTTCTACAAAAGACAATGGTGGATTTCAGAAAAAAGATTTTATCCTTGTTATTCCTATTTCCTTTTACGATTTTTCTGGTCTTTCAAACTTTTATTCAGCTCTTTGATCCGGAAGAACATCCTTGTCCTGAAAAATAGTTTAGCTTTTTCAGGGCAGTCAATGTTGCTGCTCTTCAACAGAAGTTCGCCTATAAAATTTTGCTTTTCTGTCACTATTCCGTCCCCATTGTATGTAGTAAACATCTTGTTTAGCTTTTCAATTTGATTCATGAAAGCTGTGCAAATTTTCTAGCCCGTCATACTCGAGCTCATCTATTTCTTCCACTAAAACTTCCTCGTTATAGTCAGCTGATGGTTATTGGCACTTTCAAAAAAGTGCTTCGAGCAAACTCTAGCGCTTTTTACATTGACTTCGTGTTTTCCTTTTGCAAGATGTAACCATTTTTTGCTAAGGTACGTATGTAACGTTACGACAATCCTGCCGCTGGTAACAATGAGCCGACAACTCTCAAGGTGACGTCACGAAGCTCAGATCTTCAGTGTTATCTGTAAGCTCGTAGTGTGGGGGTGAAGCCAAAGGTATCGAGAATAAATCCAAGCAGAAATGTATTTAAGGTTCTGTGCACGTCGCATCTCTTTTTTCCTTTCTTAATGAACTTTAGTTTTGACAGTTCAGGAGAATTACAGGCGCAGAAATTTTGGTTGATATTGATGAACCAACAACCAACAAAGTATAATGAATAAGTAAACCATTTATTCACTCAATGTACAAAGAAAATTGCCAATAATTCCAAGCTGTATCTGTAGAACACAAATTATAAAAAAGGGCAAGGATTAATCACAGTGAATTATGAGTTTACTTGAAGTTCGTATGTATGAGTTTATGAATTTCAGTCTTTGATATATTTGTATGTAGAATATAAACACGTTTTCAAATTTCTCTTGAAATAATTTACGAAATGTAAATCTTTAGGTATCTATAATTTCATAAATAGAGATATGACCGCTGCATTATAGATTTATGTGGCTGAGGAACTACTGTACAATGGATTTTGTACCTTCTATAATGATTATGTTTAATTTTTGGGTCGATGTTGACAAATTTATGGTAGTGAGTGATAATGTGTAAGAACTAAAGCTGTCTTATATCATACATTTGTACATGTGCGTATAGTTCGTCAGTGGGACAAAGCTTCTGCTTTTTTGGACATAATTATTAGAATACCTTTTTGAAAAATATCTAAATTATAGATATGTGATGAACATGCAGCTCCCCACGCTAATATACCATATGTGAGATGAGGCTCAATCATTGTATGTTATAATGATGATACCTTTCTGTCAGCATATTCGTAAGGTATTTAATAATGTACGAAACAAACTTTTCTTTAAAATACAGGGTGACTTTGAAGTTGAGTCATTAATTTTCAGATAATGATTGTAGAAGGAAGATAAACCAGAATATGTGTGCAAAAATAAAAAAAAAATTACCTTGTTTTATAAAGTATCCTCCCGACAAGTATTTCAGTGCGGACCTGTATTTGATCGTGAGGTCTTGGAGCACCGGCATGCCGTCCCCTGTGAGGTCTTAAGTCACCTGATTCACGAGCCCGTTGTACTACATTAACAAAGGCACGAGGGGTTGGTTGCACTCGATTGGGAAACCGATCCGCATAAACATGTGCCATTTTTGAGTTCGTTTGAGCCACGCAACAGACACCACTATTCACTCACGCGTTACCGACTGACACTGACTGTATACAACTGAATAAAATAATTGTAAAAACATCGTTCCAAATTCTTTCGCTTTTTTGTTTCCGATGCGATGAACCCATAAGGCGGATTATATCCGTTGTTGCCAAACACGAGCACATAATATTATTATTGAGACAGGGCGGTACTCAAACTTCCAAAGGGCTATAACTTTGTTACTTTAATTTTACCAGAAAAATGGTAAAGGAAAAAAACATTTCTTTTGATCAGATCTACTCACTGTTAAAATAAATGACTCAACTTCGAAGTCACCTGTATAATCGGCTCACATACCATTGTATGTTAAGCTTGGACTTTGCAGTTTTTGACCATTAATGCTGAAGGGGGTAATTTTTTATAGCATAAGATGCAAACGGTGAAAAATGTATTTTAGAATAGTTAATGCTCAGTTTTCTGCTATTAAACCACCGAATAATTGTGTAATCATGTCCAACTACATTTTTTAGATGAAACCAGGCATTGTCTTCATATAATATTGCAGTATTATTTCCAAAACTGGTTATTTTGCTAACATCAGGAGAATAGATTGAAATAAAGTTTGAGGTTATGTTGACATTTCTCACGAGAATGTGTATACATGCGCAAAAGCTCCATGCTCACCACATTGTCGATCGCCACGCCCTCCTTACTGACAGTGTTGACATTTTATGAATACGTGTGTGCCTTAGTCAGTTTACCCTCCTGTTCCTGTTTCCAGCCTTCTTAGTTTCGCGGAAGAATGTCACGGTAGAGATGGGAATATCAATTCACGGAAGTATAGAATAACGGTTTTGGATGGAGATAAGCAAAAAGGAATCTATTTTCAAACTTCATGCTATCAAGGTTTTGATGTAGATTGTAAGATCATAAATGGACCGCAGCAGCTCTGGTAGCAAATGCGTCAAGTAGATTCGCTGAGCATTTTCAACGTACTGACATGTTACACCTGCGATTAAAATACTCAAAAGAAGCCTTACGGAGAATGCCATTCAGGTTTTTTTACGTTCTTAGCATCATTCCTGTTGCAATTCCGTCACATGCACAGTGACTGCGTTATCCTCATCGTGATGGTCAGCGAATTGTACTCAGGTAAATGACTCAAATGGTTCATCGTCAATAACTTGTTGGGATATGCTGCAATCATTTTAAAATCATATTTGAATGTTTGTAAAGTTTATTTTTGGGGTAAGATGAATGGCTGTTGTATTGAAACACTTCGGAAGTATTAATGTTTTTTTATTGATTTTAATATACACAAATAAAAATTTCTCAAACTAAAAGCTAAACTTTGGCACATGGAATGATGATACAATTTCTTGTGGCGCTGTTAGAGATCTGATGTATTTTCATTAATGCTTTTGGAATTCTAAAAAGATCAATTTAACAGAAAAATGTAACAAAATAGCAAAAAGATTCACTTCTATTACCACAGTTTTACTTATTATCTATATAGGCATTCAAGGAGCAGATATTTATGAGTACTTTTTCTTTAAATTTGAATTCTGTGAAAGTGAGAATTTTTGGATACTGGAATGTTACAGTATTCAAATACCATAATTATTAAGTACAACTTTACGTACATGATAATACATTTTATCAAAACATAATTATTAATATTATTTTTCTATGTACACGAGTCAGGAGATCCATTTGTCATAACAAATACTTAAGTACATTTAGATTAAAAACTAATATTGGACACTTTCGTTCAAGGACCTTTCAAAAGATAAAAAATATAATAAACCGCGAAAAAACTGATACTGGGTGTAAATTAAATATAATTTTTGTAACGTATCTCAAATAAAAAAGTCTATTCACTCCATTATTGGCAAGATTGGAAGTAATCTAAGACCTCTCTACATAGGTCAGCATGCCACCTGGGACTCAACTTGGACCATTGTAAACGGGGCTTAAAATTTTGGTCTCCCCAAAATCCAAAGTAGTCCAATATTTTCTAGCCAGTTTACGATTGTTCTGGTAAGGTGCGATTTCATTCAGTACCCGTAGCAGACCTCCGATAAACTAACTGATTCGAGATCAAACAACTGAAGCTCATCACACTACCGCTTCCCAGTCTCTACTACAACTATTCACATAACTCGCGTCCGGCTTCTCAATATCTTCTTTCTTACTGTCCTTGATAATCTGTTTGTTTTGTAGCATGTTGACATAGTTGTCAGCTGTTTTCACAATGTTACCTGCAAGGGGCAGCTGGTGATAGGTTGGGTTAGAGACAGCCATGGGACTTTGAAGAGGCGTGTCAGTGTCAGACTCGCCTTGGTGAGGGTGAAGCATTGGCAGTAGTTCGTGACCACCACCTTCCTCGCTGTGAAGGCTTTTGCGATTGTTTGGGCTGAAGTCGAACACTTGACCTGTTGAAGAGTCTAAATCAGCTTCAAGATTCATAAAACCTTAATATTGATAAATCTGCAGCACCAAAGGTAGTCATTAATTCAGCTAATATTACGTTAAAAACTCTGTTGGGGAAGTATGGCATTGTTAGCAGGGATATAATGTGCGAGGAGAATGATGAACTTCTCTACCGAGGAATGGATGGATGTTTTTCACTACAAACTATGATATAATGCCACATTGGGTTTGGTTAAGCTTTGAAATGCATATAGCATTTCTGATAATTTTTAAGCAGCCGGCAACACTGTCAGAATAAAGCAGAACGGTGAGTAGGAAAGGGATGCTACCGTTCATTTTCGAATACTCGTATCTGTCAAGTAGCAAGGGACTTTCAAGCTGGCAAAATAGTGAGATAAGTAATTAAGGCGGGTTTACATGCTACGCCTTATTGTACGTTTTGTCGGGCATACGAAACGTACGACAAAACGTACGTTTTGTCCAGTGTATCCACATTACGTGTTTTCCCTTCCGCTTTCTTCTACAGTTCCAATCTAGACTCTTAAATTGTGCGAGGTTTGCTTAGTGAAATTTTTTGAAAGATCTTTTTTTTATTATGGAAGAGACACGGCTGCTTTCATTTATTTTTTCGACTATAATGATACAGCGACTGAGACGAAAAGGAATGAAGAGGAAAAAGACAGGATGGTCAATGGAGTGGCTTCTGAAAAGGGACGTTTTCTTTATTACGGTCACTATAGCCTTTACTTTTCACTTGCCACAAACATGGAAAACTTTTATTCATTTCAATCAATTCCCCGAGAAAATCGTGGATGCATTGCCGACATTATTAGTTTTTTGGGGAAAAAGGAAGCGAACTGAAGTGGAGCTACTCGTGAACTGAACCAAGATCGGACGCCTTGTCTGAACATGAGTCTACACGTTTCGATTTATCCTATTAGTTCTCGCAAAATGATACTTCTCCCATCAGTTTTTCAATCTGTCCTTAGATTTAATTTCGATTCGACAAGACGAACGTTTTGCTGTTTATACGCCACGTTTTATTGGATAGGATTTGTCCTGTCCCACAAAACGTAAAACAGGCATCGTAACATTGCAATTTTGTACAAATAAAGTACATTTAGGGGCAACGTCACTATAACGGCCTAAAAAAGTATTCTCTTTTTTTATTGGTGGAAGAAGTGGTAATAAAATAATAATATTATTATGTATCCATCGAAGAAAGAGACCAAACCTAAACATATTCACGTATACGTACTCCACGTGATCGCGCTCCTGAACGCCGAGCGCGTTACAGGGCCGTACTAAGAATAAATGATTTGTGTAAAAAGTATGCAAAATTATTGCCGGCATGTATAGGGTCCAAACGTAAAGCTTGGAATTAATGTATTTTGTAATTTAACTGTTATGGCCAAAAAGAAAACAACTGTCTATTGTTGTTTTTAGTAGAAGTATTTTTATCAAGAAATTATACTCGAAATGTGTCGTTAGGCACATTTATAAAGCAGGCTTTTAAAAAATGTCTTGACACATTAAAACGATAATTGTATATGCATACGAGTATACCTAACCACCGCTTGAACAGTTGTGCAAACAGTTAATTTAAATATTAGACTAAAAAATGAATAAATAGGTGGAGTTGAAAGAAAAAGGATTTGAATACATAATAATATATACCAAATATTATACAAAATTTTATTGCACCTCTAAAACCGGAAATACACATATTTGAAAATGAAAATCAATCTAGATCTGAGTCCGTGGAACTCCTACTGTCATCAATATTTATGATTGAAGGGGCAACGTAAGTGTCAATGATACCGTCTAATTCCTACATTTTAGGTTCAACTTTTTCTTTTACATGCTGACACATTTTCCCACTTATTCGGTGCTATTCTTTGTATAGCATCATGAAAAATATTTTTAAGGTCAAAAATTTAAAACCCTTATTTTCTGCTGCAACATATTTGTTTATGTCTGCCCAAATGAGCTCAATCGGATTGAGCTCACAATGGTAAAGAGGCAGTCGTAAAACAGTTTTATTTTGTTTTTTTGGCCATTTCATCAATTATGTTCAGGTTATATTTATTTTTCTGCGTCTTGACAATTTGTACAAACTCTGCCTTACTCGTTGTATCATCATAATCAATCTTATTATCTTTAAGCCATCTTTGAATTTCTGATTTTTTTGTTGACATTGTTGGAATTTTATCTAATTTTCTCGTGTGGAATGAAGCATTATATAATACTATAACCAAATTATCTTCAAGCTTCGGTAGAGTATTTGAGAACGAGGCTCCATTCATTTCTTCATGGTAGTCTCCCGTTTGTTTTATTCAAATGCCCATAAAGCATCGGACACAAATCCATCTTCATTAACGATGTGGCAAATTATCAATCGCTTACCTTTTCCTAAAAATAATTCATTTTGGACACTTTAAAACCGCTCCCATTGAAGGCATTAAAAATCCAACAAAATGATTGCTTGATTTCTTATTTCGATATAGTTTAAAACAAACATAAAATATAATTTTAGTTGAAATTCCTCGTCTTACAAGTATTGAAAAATATCTAGGTGTCAGCTTCGCAAACAATGTTCTGAACACTTGAGTCACTCCTTCCTTGTATTTCGTATTTATAAATGTTGATAATCATTTGTTTTTCGCTAAAGCTAAAATGAAGCCTTTTAGCTCTTTTTTTAGGCGGTGTGCAGCTTATATCAACAACTTCATCAGCTGTATCCGTATCAGACATTTTGAGTTCTACGAAATTAAATTGACAAATATAATAAGCACACAGTAATACCAGTATAAATCTGATGCCAACTGTACGGCCAGCTACCGGGACAGCCTGCATGCACGGTCGTAGCGTTTCCCACTTCACCCTCTGGTTTGTCATTGGTTTTGTGTAAGGGCTCGACCTATTCTGCCCAATAACAGTTATGCTCGCTCTCTCTCGAAATATATCAGTGCACTGATCACGCAATAATCACGCCATGATTACTGTTTTGGTTTAGTCTCTTTCTTCGATACATACATAATAGAGGAAATTATCCAGTATTTTTATCGAATCGCGATTTTTTAAAATTACACGTAGCGTAACAGAATGCATTCTCATTATTTTCATTCGATTTTTTACTATATCCTTAAAATAACATTTTTAAAAGAAAGGAAAGATTTCCGATAATCTAATTTAATGATTATTTACTAACAAATCAGCACTGAGCGTTTCTAGACAAACGCAACCACACAAAAATTAATGTTTTCAAAATCTATATGCTCAGTAGGTAACTTCTTCAAATGTTACTAATCTATTTGTTACCTTTTCTTTCACAACAAACATGACAAAAAAATGTTTTTTATTTCAGGCCATCAGAGTGGTGTTACTCCCTAAGTCGACGAAGTGAGTGATGTAGACTAAGATATCTCCCTAACGAACACAAACTGCCAAGTTTATTTATCCAAGAAGATGATTTATGAATAATATTATTTGTATTCAAACGTTCCCGCGAGACTTACCTTCATCATAGCGAGGACTGAAGATGGTATTTGGTTTCATGCTCATATATCCCTGATCTTCAAATTGCTGATCAGTGACCATGTCATTTTGATAGTTGGGTGTAGCTATCGCTTCAAATGTCGGAGGACTGACCATTGCAAGATAATCGTTTGAACTTTCTTCGATCATCTTTGTGTTCATGGCCAAATAAGGATCGTTCAGATCCACATAGTGCTAGAATATTGTATCCCATTATTAGCATAATTTTTAAAAATAATTATCATTCGTTTTATTTATTTATGTTGTATACTAAGTGACATATAAATCCGAACACCCAGTTTAAATGGTTTTATTTTAATAAAATTTTGTATAAGTACCTAATGAAGCATAATAAGTAAATGATAAAAATTTCAAAATGATTGCACTGCTTTAAAGCCCTTTGACCTTTAATAATGTGTGGATGCACCCTGATGTGCTACGCATTCTCCAACGCGCCTAGGTATGCTTCTGATCAGGTGGTCAATGTCCTCCTGTGGTATCTCATTCCAGGCAACCACCAACTCCTCTCGAAGTGCTTCTAGAGTCTGAGGAGGACGTTGCAAATTGAGCAATCTCCTACCCATCATATCCCACACGTGCTCAATTGGGGATAAGTCGGGAGATCTTGGTGGCCATGGTAACAATGTGACATCATTATGTTGAAAGAAGTCTATTGTGACTCTTGCAACATGTGGTCGGGCATTATCTTGTTGGAAAGTTGGATCTGCCAGGGTGTCAAGATAGGGTAAAAGATGGGGTTCTAGAACTTCGTGGATATAACGCTGCACGTTCATGTTAGCTCTGATGAAGACTAAAGGTGACCTGGAACCATAAGCTATAGCACCCCAAACCATAACTCCAACAGTGTGATGAACATGTCTTTCAACAAAAAACTGTGGATTCCTCCTTTCACCACGTCGCCTTCTAACCCTGGCACGACTATCGTGCATGCCTAAACAAAATCGAGACTCGTCAATAAAGACAATACTGTTCCATTCCTGATCCCAGAGTGACCGTTGTCTGCACCACTCAAGGCGATTACGTCGGTGTTCTCGAGTTAAAGGGAGGACCCAGTGTGGCCGGTATGAAAACAAGCCAAAACTTCTCATTCGTCGGTAAACACTTCCCATGCCAATAGGTCTTCCGTGTTCTGCAAACCATTCGTTTGCAATGGACCTGGTAGTGGAGAAACGGTCCCTTAAGGCCAATAATCTTAGGCGGCGATCTTCACGGTCTGTTGTTCTACGGCGGCGTCCAGTGCCCCTTGCTCTTTGCGTACGGCCTTCTCGAAGCCATGCCTGACAACACCTAACCACAGTGTCTACACTTCTTTGCACTCTAACTGCAATTGCCCGAAAAGAAAGTCCAGCTTCCCGAAGTCCCACTATACGGCCCCTATCAAACTCACTAAGTTGACGAAATCGTACAGGTCTCCGTACTCTAGGCATCGTAACCGATCGTAAAGGATGTCAAGAACCAAAATCCGCCAACGTTGATTCTTTACTGCGGCTGAAATATTCATTTTTAGAGCGTTAGTGAATTAAAAAAAAGCAGTATAAAAACCGGAAAGTCCAACTGATAAGGCTGAAAGTAACAACCAATTGCGCATCATATCAGGTGACGTCCGTCCAGCCTCAGACATTCTTGGAGAGTCTCTCACTATGCTGACATTAACTTTCACGTCTCTGCCAGCGGTTTATTGAATTAGGCGCGCTATTCCACCATTCAGAACCGGCTCTCTGGCGGCTTAACGACAAAGCTCGGCCTCATGCTGCTGCCAGAACACGGACGCAATTTTACAAGTTTCGTTGCGAATTACTGGATCGTCCACGATACAGCCCTGATTTAACACCATCAGACTTTCATTTGGTTCCAAAACTTTAGGAATCTCTTGGTGGAAAGGGCTTGGAAAATGATGACAACGGGATCTAGAAGCTGGTGCCTCGTCTTGACGAATTAATGTTTTAATGTTTATTCCCTGAGATGAGACTTCATCTTGGGGGATAAAAAATCGTAGGAAGCAATATTAGAGCAGCTCTGGAATGAAATTTTCTCCAATAACTTTTGCAGACGAAGAATGGAAGAGAACATTGAGCATGTTAGGCCCGTATCGTCAGTCGTCCCTACAATTGTAGGGTGCCTTTATGGCCTGCTTGATTGTCATTGTTTTCTACTTCTCCGTGTCAGCGCTCTATTTTGAGGTCATGTCACAAATATCTATTTGCATCAAATTGTACTTGCTTGTGAGTTATATCATGATTTATCAGCCTGAAATTTCCTACAATTTAAAAAGAAAACATATCTTCACAATAGGAGAGCGCTGTGGGAGACTTCAATATTAATTTTGATAATCAAGATTTTTATGTAAAAAAAAATTAAACAGGTGCTGGTCTATGGCAAAAAGTTAATGACTACATAAGGATTACAAACTTTTCACGAAGATAAGATAGATTCAATAATAACTAATGAACAGAATTTCAGTATTAAGGTTTTTCATACTCCAAACATAAGCGCCCATTCGTGGATATGTTTCGAGGTGGAAAATATGTTTAATGAGACGGAATCAATTATTGACTTTGAAACGTTACGAGAGTCACTCTTATAAGCCAATATCACTGAAATTACTAGTGATGCTCACACTTATCAAAAATTTTGGATTACATGGAGAAATGCATGAGAGACGCAAAAACAAAACAAATCGTTGAAAAAAATGTCAAAATGACGTTGACGTTATGCTTACGCATGCAGTACTTGTGATTGCCGAAATTATCTATCGAAATGATACTACCCACCTTTCTGAGTGTATCTTCTAACAGATTCCCCAATGTTTCTGATAATTTTCCGAAAGACGGCCTAGATAGAGGGTTTGTTAACCAACATTCGGACATCAGTCGGTATCTGAAACAACAATATTTTATGTGCGGTCATAAATACTAATAAATTTTGCGAAGAATGATTCGTGAAATGGGACTTACATTTCTTTGGGTGAATATTCTGGAGCCTCCATCCTATATCCGTCCACTAGCTTATGGTACAGCCTTTCGTCAGCCTCCATCCCAGGATACGGCGTCCTAGCTAACGAGAATAGCTCCCACAGAACTATTCCAAATGACCAGACGTCAGACTGTGTAGAGAATATTCTGTCCCTTATGGATTCTATTGCCATCCACTTTATAGGAAGAGGACACTGAAAAAATACAGATTATAAGGGGTCAATAAGAGGGTCGGATTTGATTTTCAAGAAACACACAATTTCTTTTCGGTTTAAGCGAGTATTTATATTTTAACATGAAGAGGAATAGTTACGATTAAACATGACATAGGAGATTCGGTAAATGGCCATCACGAAACCTTTGGCGCAGGGTCAGTCTTTTCTTAGAATTTTGCATAACTTTTTTGTTGAGTTTCAAGCAATTTACTAGTGTTCAGCTGCTTCAAAACTGACACTCCATTTTTCAATATTTTTTAATGAAATTCATACAGTATGTTGAGAAGATAATTGCCCAAGGTGCTATAGGCGCACTTTTTGAAATTTTGTTTTTGCACAAGTTTTATGCTCCATGACATCTAATCGCGTGGACAGCTGTCATCAAGTAAGCATCATACCATTTGTACAAAAAAATAGCGGTAAATTCAAATCCTGACACCTTTATTCAGGTCTCACAAAAGAAAAAAAGATATAACTTACATCTCCCTGTTTTTTGTAGTTATCACTTTTATACATGCTTTTGGCTAACCCAAAATCACAAATCTTCACTATGTTATTATCCGATAATAGAATATTACGGGCTGCAAGGTCTCCATGTAAAACCTAAAAAAATTAACGCATAATTTATGAGATTTATGAAGACAATATAAAAGATATTCTTAAAGTTGCTAGTAGCACATATTCCGCCTGCTGCTAGGTAAAACGAGCTGCTTGTTTAAAAATCGTATTTGAAAAATTCTTTCAAACATAGTTGTTTCTGGAGACTCCCAAACTCGTATATGGCATCCATATTTGAATCATACCTTTCTCGAAGCCAGATATTCCATTCCTCTTGCAACCTGGAATGACCACGCTAAGAGGTCCTTTGTACAAATCGGTTTTACATTGCCTTTATAATCACCCTTATAATTTGACCTCCACTCTGGCTGAATGCTGTTATTACTCAACACTGTACCATCATCTAAAACAATTCACACGAATGTTGAAATATATCTGGTATACTTAATCCGTTGGAAACAAAATAAGGTAGTATTTTTTTGATATTCAATTAAGTCTCGTCGACCAGCTGACAAAATTGTGATTACCTGGTAAAGTTGTCATCTGAGTACCAGCTGAAGACCTGTAGTCGCCCATTTCACTTTGAGTTGGTAGTATTGAATTTCCACTATGGTTTGAAAATGTTAATGCAGCATACTTCATTGATGGGGAATAACAGTTGTTACTGAAAATTGGACACCAACATTCAAGATTTATTTTTCCATAAATTTGTGAATGATCGGTACCAAGTATACAACTTAGGTCAAATTAGTTGATCGAATAATTGAAACGATACCATAATAATAGATGAGTTAGATATTTACCTTTTGTTACTAGATACCGAATAAGACCTATCCAAATCATATTCTTGGCCAATAGTGTAATCAATTTTTCCTGTCCTGGGATCTATTTGATTTATGAAGTTGTCTCTATGCCTCAGAAGATAATTCTGCAGATTTCCGTATCTGCAGTATTCTACAATAACCATCAGCTCTCCTGCAAGAAAGAAAATCATCCGCGTTAGGCCAATAAGGTCTTGGTCATAGTCCCAAATATTTTTGAGTTCCAGACTTATTGCGTCTCTTGTGGCCTAACTAGGAGAGACGATGTTTGGCTAAAAAGACCCAGCTAATCTATGAAAGTTAACTATTCCTAACTTGGAACATTGATTGATGAATTCTACCTGAAAATATCCAACCTTATACTATATTCTTGCATCCAAAACAATATCCGAGGATCAGAACCAGTCATTTATATACATAAACAAATACATTTTGGGAAAATCTATTTATGGCATGTTATACATGACATTTGAGGGCACATTTCTGAAATCTTGGCAATTGTACACCAAAGTTGTGATTTTTTAAATCGAATGCCTCAAATTTTATTGCATATTTGGATAAACCAATTCAAGAAGAAGAATATTGATATGCCATACTATGGGGTTTTGGTAATTAGCTACTGAGATGTAAGCTATATTGTCAAGAAAAACCATCCACTTTGACAACCCCTCAATCCGCCATTTTGAAGTTTGGAGTGTTAGATTTTGTATAAAAAAAATTACACTCCTCAGCTTTTATTTTATTTGTTACTTTTTCGAATTTTCATTTTTGCTTATACAGGGTAGTTCTTTTAATACCAGCAAGGCTTTCATCAAAATTTAAGAATAGGAGACGATTAGTTACAGTGTGTGGATCATTACCTTTGTGAGTTTGTGATAAGGAAAAAGAGCAATGTTTACTTTCAATAAATGACATCGTTGAATTAACATCTTTCTGCTACTTTCATTTTCCGGACCAAGCAAATAACAGTTTTTTAAAAAGGTGTTAAGTCAGATTTTCAACACTCTTTTTCAAATTTCTGATAATAAAAACCACAAAACTGCCTATTTGAGATACTTTTGTGACTAAAACAACCTTCAATAATAAGAACAGTACTAACACTAGTCAATAAAAAATGTCAGGATTTAAACTTTGAGGCCAATTATCTCCAAACTAAAGAATCTGAGTTAACACTTTTTTGCACCAAAGGCGACATTTTATAACAGGTATTTTTTTAACGCAGTAATATCTATAGCATGAGGTTGGTTATCTTCAGTTAGACTATTAAAATCTAATGCCTGATCACTCCTCGATTTTGACTTTTGACTGCCAAAGAAATGAAGAGCGATCGATAACATACGATGGTCATCTTTTCCAACTTAGTTTGTCAAAACTTACTTTTCACTACGTTTTTAGTACAAGCTCCCAAGAGGTTCACTACGTTCAGATGTTTGCCCAGATGTACCATTATCTTCAATTCCGATGCCAATGCTTTAATATAAGTGTTATCGGCATTCTTTTTCACCATTTTCACTGCCACTGTGGTGACAGGCTCACCGTCAACGATGTTTTTGGCTTCACCTTTCATGACGACTCCAAAAGCCCCAGAACCCAATTGCTTGCCTAGAAAAAAATAAATATCAATAGTCCAGGAAAATTATATCTGAAAATTACGGCTTGTATTTATCAGTTTGTTAACTACTTTTATTTGATTTATTTACCAAAATAAATTTTAATAATTCACGACATTATTTATTCATGAAAATAGACCTGCTGAGCAGACATATACTAAGTGACATATAAATCCGAACACCCAGTTTAAATGGTTTTATTTTAATAAAAGTTGGTGAATGTATTTATCTTACTGTAAATAACAAGTGAAAAAATGTTCAGCCTTATCAGTTTGACATTCCGGTTTTTATACTGTTTTTTTTAATTCACTAACGCTCTAAAAATGAATATTTCAGCCGCAGTAAAGAATCAACGTTGGCGGATTTTGGTTCTTGACATCCTTTACGATCGGTTACGATGCCTAGAGTACGGAGACCTGTACGATTTCGTCAACTTAGTGAGTTTGATAGGGGCCGTATAGTGGGACTTCGGGAAGCTGGACTTTCTTTTCGGGCAATTGCAGTTAGAGTGCAAAGAAGTGTAGACACTGTGGTTAGGTGTTGTCAGGCATGGCTTCGAGAAGGCCGTACGCAAAGAGAAAGGGGCACTGGACGCCGCCGTAGAACAACAGACCGTGAAGATCGCCGCCTAAGATTATTGGCCTTAAGGGACCGTTTCTCCACTACCAGGTCCATTGCAAATGAATGGTTTGCAGAACACGGAAGACCTATTGGCATGCGAAGTGTTTACCGACGAATGAGAAGTTTTGGCTTGTTTTCATACCGGCCAGACTGGGTCCTCCCTTTAACTCGAGAACACCGACGTAATCGCCTTGAGTGGTGCAGACAACGGTCACTCTAGGATCAGGAGTGGAACAGTATTGTCTTTAGTGACGAGTCTCGATTTTGTTTAGGCATGCACGATGGTCGTGCCAGGGTTAGAAGGCGACGTGGTGAAAGGAGGAATAAACAGTTTTTTGTTGAAAGACATGTTCATCACACTGTTGGAGTTATGGTTTGGGGTGCTATAGCTTATGGTTCCAGGTCACCTTTAATCTTCATCAGAGGTAACATGAACGCGCAGCGTTATATCCATGAAGTTCTAGAACCCCATCTTTTACCCTATCTTGACACCCTGGCAGATCCAACTTTCCAACAAGGTAATGCCCGACCACATGTTGCAAGAGTCACAATAGACTTCTTTCAACATAATGATGTCACATTGTTACCATGGCCACCAAGATCTCCCGACTTATCCCCAATTGAGCACGAGTGGGATATGATGGGTAGGAGTTTGCTCAATTTGCAACGTCCTCCTCAGACTCTAGAAGCACTCCGAGAGGAGTTGGTGGTTGCATGGAATGAGATACCACAGGAGGACATTGACCACCTGATCAGAAGCATGCCTAGGCGCGTTGGAGAATGCGTAGTACATCAGGGTGCATCCACACATTATTAAAGGTCAAAGGGCTTTAAAGCAGTGCAATCATTTTGAAATTTTTATCATTTACTTATTATGCTTCATTAAGTACTTATACAAAATTTTATTAAAATAAAACCATTTAAACTGGGTGTTCGGATTTATATGTCACTTAATATATATATTATATTCAAGTGCAGAGTAGAGAAGAAACAATAAGCGAAACAAGAAAATACAAAATAAAAATGGTTATTTCTGAAAAACATAAATGTACATTATTTACCATACACCATAAACTGTAAACTAAAACAGTTTATTAGAGAGAGTTCTTCCTTACTGTCAAACCCAGTCTCCGTAAGTCTCAAATACAACACGAAAATATGTCTGTGACAATAATAAATTTGTACAAGTGACGGGAAGATAGAAAATAGAGTAAGGCGAGTCTGTAAATTTGGTACTCTGAAAATTATCCTCTGTTAAAGCTACTACACACAAGCCGGCGGCAATGCCGCCGGGTTTATGCCGAGCGGCTATGCCGTCGGCAATACAAGCCGCCGGCACAAGCCGCCAAGCATCATTCCGGTTGTGACTGTCACATAGAACGCTAGTGAAGTGCATATTTTATGGTTGGTTAGTTAAAATGAATAAGGAAATCATCAGCACAGCCGCATTTTAACCAACTAACCATAAAATATGCACTTCACTAGCGTTCTATGTGACAGTCACAACCGGAATGATGCTTGGCGGCTTTGCGCAGCTTGTATTGCCGACGGCACAAGCCGCCAAGCATCATTCCGGTTGTGACAGTCACATAGAACGCTAGTGAAGTGTATATTTTATGGTTGGTTGGTTAAAATGAATAAGGAAATCATCAGCACAGCCGCCGCAGTTGTAATTTTTATTTTAATAAGAAAAAAATACAAAAGGACGAGAAGGTTTTGGTTGCACCCAAGTTTACAAAATAGAAAATGGCGGAACGGTACTGTAATGATAGAAGAGTATAAAAAAGATGATGTGGGGTGTCAGCGTTTGCGCAATAGCATGTTTTTTGGGTTTCTGTACATCGTCTATGCCTGCACCAGATTTTTGCAACTGTTCGAACTTCTTTTTTTCCCGAAAATAATGAGAGGTTACATTTTTTAACTTTCTCTCTACTTCGCCTTTATGAATGTCAAATACACTTGCAATTATGTTCAATGCGTCCATTCGATTGTTTCTATTCTTATAGTCTGCATTTCTGGGATTCCATATCATTTTCATGAAAGTTTTCAATTAAGAGCAGCACAGCTTCGCCGTCCCAATTAAACGACATTTTAATTTGTTTAAACACACAAACCGCACAACACTACCGCTCGAATGCCAGGAACGAAGTGACGCCGGCGACTTTGTATGCCGCCGGGTGTACGGAGGCTTAGCCGGCGGCTCGCCCGGCGGCCCTGCCGCCGGCACTGTGTGTAGCAGCCTTTAGATAAAATAGCAATCGATCTTATTATCTAGTACTAGTAATTTAATTACAAATTGTGAACAAATTGATATGACACAAAAAGGAAAATATCCTTGTATGTGGATATCATGCAAACATAGCATACATATAACGCAGTTATAATAAACTGATAGGCCAAAAAATCTATACAATGCAGAAAAGATATGTTAGTTTTTTATAAATTACATCATGTTTATATCAGCTTTCAAAAGCCACTCGTATAAATCTATTTTCAATAATGATATTCGGTTTTGTCTAATATATTTTGGTAAGTTATGATATAATTTAAACTTAACACCACGGATTTATCGAAAACTACTGATTAAAAGAAAAAACGCCGAGACACTTCAAAATATTTGTTCAGGGGGCAACTTTTTAACCAAAAACTACTTCCCCCCTTTCACCCTTTGCCCCCCAGGGTCATCTCCTTAAACATTTTAAATAACAAAGTCTGACAGCAGTTCTCCAAATTAATCAAATCTGCCTGTAATAACTTGCAGTATTTTGTCCTGTCAATCCAATGAAATAATTTCAAATCATCTGCAAACAGAAGACTAACAAGCCAAGTTGTAATATCATTTACAAACATACTAAATAATAAGGACCCCAGAATAGATCCTTGGGGCGCTCCTGATGTAACGTAAATTATGATTGACTGGAAAGCACTGTAGTCTGCCAAAGATTCAGGATGACTTAGATAAGACTTAAAAAAGGTTAATAGTTCTGGAAAGATCGTAATTATTGACACAATTTATCCAATGCTTTGGAAAAGTAAGTGTACATACGTCAACTTGGCCATCATCATCCACAACCTCAGAAGCAAAACAAGTTTTCGCCATTAAATTAGTTGTTTTCGATCTCCCTCATAAGAAATATTGTAAATAAACTTACCTAACTTCAGCCTTTCAATTGGAAACTCCCATTTCTTGTCATATGGCAGGAGTTCAGCCTGATCGTCAATGCCTAATTCAGGATTAATATTTTCAACAGCTCCTTTTTCGAAATTCGCTAGGCCAATCTTCTTTAGCTCTCTTTGCAATTTCTGTGAAAAAAAATATATCGTCAAACATTCAATCAAATCGTTAATTTTAGCACTCTTACCTTTTCTCTTCTGGTTTTTATAATTATGTAAATTATTGCCGCTATGAAGAGGACCACAAGAAATCCGATCACCACAAACAGCCAAAAGTACCTTGGTATATCTGCAAGTAAGATATTTTTTTATTAATGTACAGGGTGTTCGAAAAATAGACGGAGATACGTTAGAGGGAGATTCCTTGATAAAAAATATCAAAAAAGTTGCTATAAACATTTAAATGATAGTGATAGGTGATAGATTAAAAAAAAAATTCAACATTTGTTGTAGTGTACTTTACGTCATGGTATCTACTGAAAAAGTTGCAATAACACTGCTTCCTACACATTTTTTTGATTTTTTGTTTTCCAAAGCACTTGTGATTTGTTTAGCAAAAACTAATAAACCAAATTTGTCCAGTGACATGCATTAAAACGGCGTTTATATTTTTTTTTTCGAAAACAAAGTGTGGTATGAAAAAAATACGAGAGGCAAAGAAGTTGTATTTTTTGATGATTAATCAAAAAACAAATATTAAAGTTACAAAAAAAGCCGTGGCGTACATTTTTTAGCCGATAATATTGGTGCCCCCCGGGATGCCACTGGACCTAACAATTTCAATCTATTTAGGGATAAATTAGCCTCTTAACATAACAAATAATATTGCCAAATTTCAACACAATCGAGTGGATATTTTTTAAGATAGTAATATTTCTTGAAATTTATAACCCTGTATGTTGAAAACTGTGCTTTTCCTCACCCAAGGTTGTAGAAACTTTTTTTATGCTTCTTAACAAGCAATCACCCTCTAAAATATATCCCTGTATAATATTTATAGGACAGATATGTCCAAACAGAAAATGTTTCTATAAACATGGTTTTTAAAATAGCCGACTTATACGTTGATATGTTACATGCGCAGTCAAAAAACTGCCTACAGAGCTGATAAAGATATCGAACCAAAATCTTATAAATGTAGTATCAAAACTCTAAGCAAAGCTAGCAGGCCCTAAATCCTTCTTTGTCATTGGTCGAGTTTGTGCTCTAGTCACAAGTTTTGTTGTGTTGAAAGATCATGTTACAAATCGTATAATTTTTCTCTAGTTTGAGAGACATGTTACGAAAAATCGACCATATTCATTGGACCCTTTACTTCAACCCCTTCTTGTTGGTAAAATCGGACCATAATCACCATAATTAGTATCAGTCTACTCACTTTTGAATTTGAGTACTTGTTGTGCTGATATTCCACCCATTCTATTTCTAGCAGAGCAAGAGTAAGTTCCTTCATCCATAACGTCCGTTCTGTTGAAGTATAAAACTTGATTACCTCCTAGTTCCATTATTCTTCCTTCAGATGGATGGAAAACCACGTCGTTCTAGAATTCAACATACACCCATTTCAATAGATAACAATACTTCAGTTCATTAGCCACAATTAATGAGACGTATACTAAGTGACATATAAATCCGAACACCCAGTTTAAATGGTTTTATTTTAATAAAATTTTGTATAAGTACTTAATGAAGCATAATAAGTAAATGATAAAAATGTCAAAATGATTGCACTGCTTTAAAGCCCTTTGACCTTTAATAATGTGTGGATGCACCTTGATGTGCTGCGCATTCTCCAACGCGCCTAGGCATGCTTCTGATCAGGTGGTCAATGTCCTCCTGTGGTATCTCATTCTAGGCAACCACCAACTCCTCTCGAAGTGCTTCTAGAGTCTGAGGAGGACGTTGCAAATTGAGCAATCTCCTATCCATCATATCCCACACGTGCTCAATTGGGGATAAGTTGAGAGATCTTGGTGGCCATGGTAACAATGTGACATCATTATGTTGAAAGAAGTCTATTGTGACTCTTGCAACATGTGGTCGGGCATTATCTTGTTGGAAAGTTGGATCTGCCAGGGTATCAAGATAGGGTAAAAGATGGGGTTCTAGAACTTCGTGTATATAACGCTGCGCGTTCATGTTACCTCTGATGAAGATTAAAGGTGACCTGGAACCATAAGCTATAGCACCCCAAACCATAACTCCAACAGTGTGATGAACATGTCTTTCAACAAAAAACTGTGGATTCCTCCTTTCACCATGTCGCCTTCTAACCCTGGCACGACCATCGTGCATGCCTAAACAAAATCGAGACTCGTCACTAAAGACAATACTGTTCCATTCCTGATCCCAGAGTGACCGTTGTCTGCACCACTCAAGGCGATTACGTCGGTGTTCTCGAGTTAAAGGGAGGACCCAGTGTGGCCGGTATGAAAACAAGCCAAAACTTCTCATTCGTCGGTAAACACTTCGCATGCCAATAGGTCTTCCGTGTTCTGCAAACCATTCATTTGCAATGGACCTGGTAGTGGAGAAACGGTCCCTTAAGGCCAATAATCTTAGGCGGCGATCTTCACGGTCTGTTGTTCTACGGCGGCGCCCAGTGCCCCTTGCTCTTTGCGTACGGCCTTCTCGAAGCCATGCCTGACAACACCTAACCACAGTGTCTACACTTCTTTGCACTCTAACTGCAATTGCCCGAAAAGAAAGTCCAGCTTCCCGAAGTCCCACTATACGGCCCCTATCAAACTCACTAAGTTGACGAAATCGTACAGGTCTCCGTACTCTAGGCATCGTAACCGATCGTAAAGGATGTCAAGAACCAAAATCCGCCAACTTTGATTCTTTACTGCGGCTGAAATATTCATTTTTAGAGCGTTAGTGAATTAAAAAAAAGCAGTATAAAAACCGGAATGTCCAACTGATAAGGCTGAAAATTTTTTCACTTGTTATTTACAGTAAGATAAATACATTCACCAACTTTTATTAAAATAAAACCATTTAAACTGGGTGTTCGGATTTATATGTCACTTAGTATATCTTTGTGAAACATGATATCAAACATCAAAGAAAAAAAAATGAAAATATGCATACATTATTATTTTCCACGCGAATTGGAAAAACTTCGAAAATGAGATGTTACGTTTTTTAAGTTATATGACATGAGCATCACAAAACACCATTTCACATGTCGGTATGTCTGTCCGCTAATCAATGACTTGGAAAGTACTGATTTTAATGAAATTTTGACTGAAGGTTACCACTATACCAGGGATGAAGAAGCTTTGTATTTTTTGAAAATCAATCCATTAGTGGTAAAGCTTTTGACCTTTAAGAGAAGGAAGGAGTAAAAGAGGCACGACGTTATTTCATTTATTAATATTGGAATCAAAATTTTGACCATTGCATTGTGGTACAAAATCCGCAAAAAATATCGAAACTTGGGAATGCATTACCTTGTACCAAGTAATTTGAGGTTTTGGTACCCCAAATACCTTGCAGATGAGTTTGTATGAAAGTGGATATTCCGTTTCAGAGACTCCTCCCCTCATATTGGTCTGTACTAAGACAGGTTTAATAGGATCTGAAAAAAATATAATTATATGCTAAAACCTCCGACAGCATTTTTTCTCATCTTAATGAAGACTAATCGGTATGATAGAGTTTTTGAAAGAACAAAGGAAGTACAAGATACCACAGCGATAACAAGATAAAAAAATTACCTGTAACGGTGACATAAATATCCTTTTCCAGAAATTTGTCCCGATTTTCTATTCTACAGGTATATTTTCCACTATCTTCTTTCTTTCCGAAAAGTATATTCATCGTGCTCCTATTAGAGTGGTCAGTGTAGCTCTTTTCTATAACATACTCTGGAAAAAAGACCGATATTGAAATATGCCATGAAGTTATAGCAATTCGAAGACATGATATCCGAATTTCGCTAATCCGCTGTACCTTGGAGTATTTCAAGGAATAAAGAATGACCCAATTTTCAGGATTGTTTTTGAATAAAACGCCTAGTATGCTCATCGCGCTTCATGGAGGAGAGCTCTGAGGAACAATGCCCGTTCAGATCGCCACCGAAAGGCTCCCATGACTGTCTATCAGTCTGACAGCCCCCATTTGAACAGTATCGCGTAAGGATAGTTTAGTTGCGACGGCAGCGCCAAAAACATGAGAGCAGTACTCGAGGTTGGGTCTTCTCTGGGCCTTGTACAAAGTGGAGTTATGGGTCGAGCCGCTGCGGTGGTGCAGTGGTAGCTACCTAGCTACCTAGAGACCTAATCAGTCGCCGTGCGCTGCGCTGGTTCGCATCCCGTCCCAAGAGAATTTTTCTCTTGGCTGTGGATGTTGTGATTGTCCGTAGGTGGTAAACAGTCTCTGACTGTCGAACGGTACCCATGGGTGTTTAAGCCTTAGGTCTTCGTGGTGGTCCAAGTATAAAAAATGTAACATTCAGTTATTAAAAAATATACTAAGTGACATATAAATCCGAACACCCAGTTTAAATGGTTTTATTTTAATGAAATTTTGTATAAGTACTTAATGAAGCATAATAAGTAAATGATAAAAATTTCAAAATGATTGCACTGCTTTAAAGCCCTTTGACCTTTAATAATGTGTGGATGCACCCTGATGTGCTACGCATTCTCCAACGCATCTAGGCATGCTTCTAATCAGGTGGTCAATGTCCTCCTGTGGTATCCCATTCCAGGCAACCACCAACTCCTCTCGAAGTGCTTCTAGAGTCTGAGGAGGACGTTGCAAATTGAGCAATCTCCTACCCATCATATCCCACACGTGCTCAATTGGGGATAAGTCGGGAGATCTTGGTGACCATGGTAACAATGTGACATCATTATGTTGAACGAAGTCTATTGTGACTCTTGCAACATGTGGTCGGGCATTATCTTATTGGAAAGTTGGATCTGCCAGGGTGTCAAGATAGGGTAAAAGATGGGGTTCTAGAACTTCGTGGATATAACGCTGCGCGTTCATGTTACCTCTGATGAAGATTAAAGGTGACCTGGTACCATAAGCTATGGCACCCCAAACAATAACTCCAACAGTGTGATGAACATGTCTTTCAACAAAAAACTGTGGATTCCTCCTTTCACCACGTCGTCTTCTAACCCTGGCACGACCATCGTGCAAGCCTAAACAAAATCGAGACTCGTCACTAAAGACAATACTGTTCCACTCCTGATCCCAGAGTGACAGTTGTCTGCACCACTCAAGGTGATTACGTCGGTGTTCTCGAGTTAAAGGGAGGACCCAGTGTGGCCGGTATGAAAACAAGCCAAAACTTCTCATTCGTCGGTAAACAGTTCGCATGCCAATAGGTATTCCGTGTTCTGCAAACCATTCATTTGCAATGGACCTGGAGAAACGGTCCCTTATGGCCAATAATCTTAGGCGGCGATCTTCACGGTCTCTTGTTCTACGGCGGCGTCCAATGCCCCGTGCTCTTTGCGTACGGCCTTCTCGAAGCCATGCCTGACAACACCTAACCACAGTGTCTACACTTCTTTGCACTCTAACTGCAATTGCCCGAAAAGAAAGTCCAGCTTCCCGAAGTCCCACTATACGGCCCCTATCAAACTCACTTAGTTGACGAAATCGTACAGGTCTCCGTACTCTAGGCATCGTAACCGATCGTAAAGGATGTCAAGAACCAAAATCCGCCAACGTTGATTTTTTACTGCGGCTGAAATATTCATTTTTAGAGCGTTAGTGAATTAAAAAAAAGCAGTATAAAAACCGAAATGTCCAACTGATAAGGCTGAAAATTTTTTCACTTGTTATTTACAGTAAGATAAATACATTCACCAACTTTTATTAAAATAAAACCATTTAAACTGGGTGTTCGGATTTATATGTCACTTAGTATATATCTTCGGTCATCTTCCTGAAAACGTCAAGTGTTTGATAAGGATGGCGTCACTTTGAAAACACGTTTTTGACCGCGCTGGTTAAGAAACATTTTTTTGTTGTTGAAAATATTTTAAAAATCAGGAGCGACTTACTCTCGTTGGCAGTTAGTACTTTTCCATCTAGCAACCAAATTATGGGCCCATGATCAGTATAGGATGAACCACACGTGAAAGCAATTCTATCACCTTCAGCAAATATGGCGTGAGTGGAATTCAAAACAGCGTCTTCTTCGTAGGCGAACAAGTTGAATCCATCTTCCACATCTAGAATTATAATTGGGAGAATTAAATAAACAGTCTCCATGATAAACATCAAAAAAAAAAGATGAGAAATTCTTCTTCTTCCCACCTTTTGACACAGTCATAAGAAGTCATCGTTTTATCCTTATTAGGGCTCCATCAGTACAACATACCATTCATCTGGTACTCAATCATATCTCTACAAGAATTTTTCGTTTTCTACTAAAAAATTACCTGTTACAATGAATGGTTTTATCTCTTCATCAGTACCAATCAAATTGCTTGCAGAACATTTAAGTAACCCTGAATTATTGGCTAATACGGTAGTCTCAGACGTAAAGTGGAATCCTTCTTCGTCTACCGTATGTCCTGAAATCTAAAACAAGAACATTCTCCAAACTGGTCTATCAAAAAATAGGTACGGTAGGAAAGCTCTACTAAAGCCTTTGACGAATAGAAAAAAGCAACAATAAACCTAGGCTGAATAGAATCTGGTGTTTTATGCTTTTTAGCAATCGTCAATACGATATAGGTCCAGCTATTTGGAGAAATTTGACGAAAACAAGTGATTATGGATGTATTGAAAAACTCAATACTGAGATGTTCGTAATAATGAATGTTAAAGACTAATAAAGCTTCATAAGAGGACGTGTTAAAGCCGCTAGAAGAATTATTACTTACAGGAACAAAACTGCATTCACTACAAGATTTTAGCTCCCAATGAATCTTTGGTGGTGGATTTGCTGCAATGTTACATGTAACTTTAACTGGTTTTCCCATGGGGAAAAAACGTGGAACTTTCATTTGAACAGCCGGCTTGTCTAAAAGTGAAAAAAAAAATATAAAGTTAATGTGGACAACAACAACCTAAGTCCAGGAGATACAGACGTACCTTATTCTGGTTTCGGACTTACCTGTAACGTTGAGGAAAAAGTCCATCGATTTTTCAGTTCGACTATTTTTGGCGTCTAAGGTATAAGTGCCAAAATCACTCATGGCAATTGTCTTGATTTTCAAAACAGCTGTCTTTCTCGTGGCATTATACGAAGCCTCATACTTTGAGCCACTTTCCATTTTTATGGTCTCATTGTGGTTTTTCAACCTGAAAAAAGATTCAGTGTGAAAAAATACAAGACAAAAAATCGCGCTGATGTAGGGAAGATCCAAGCGAAGCGGACATCTCTGGCAAAACGAATATCCCTCATTATGTTCCGGTCTCGCCGAAGTAAATACGAGTTGTAGTACCCCCGTAGCTCACCAAACCCACGAGTTCAAAGCGCGCCGCAGCGAAGGAAAGCGGCACCGCGCCCCCTACCTCCCTTCTCTCTAGCAGCTCTCTATGTATCACCCAATTGTTGCAACAGCCTGGCTTTGGAGAAAATGAGTGGTTTATAGGCGGCCAGAGAGAAGGATGGTAGGGGGGCGCGATGCCGCTTTCCTACGCTGCGCGCTTTGAACTCGTGGGTTTGGTCAGCTACGAGGGTACTACAAGTAGTATTTACTTCGACGAGATCTTTACATAATTCGGATCGAACATCACTTTCAGGTAAGTTCGTTTGATCACATAATTATTGTACAAGTTCAGACTTGGGCACATTTTCAAAAGGGAGAGAATCGATTAAAGATGGACTACGAAGCGGAAGGTCTTGATCTACAAGAACCGATGAAAATATCGACATAGTCCGGGATCTTGTGCGTTGAAATCATCGGTTGACAATTAGAATGATCTTAGAAGAGTTGAATTTAACTCACACCGCCGTTGTGACTTCTTTCCCTTCCCGATGTTAACATTTTTTCTCAAGGGAACTCGTTTTGGAACAGTCGAAACATATTCGTTCATCTTTACTGAATAGACAGACAATGCATTGTGATTTTCTAAGAAAGAGATTGATTATGCAATATAAATGTTGTGCTTTTAGTTATTGGCTTGTACCATTTCCATTATATTTTAAGGTTCATAACAGGTGCTTAACCGATCTTTCTGGTCATGCAAATCCGTCAAAGGATAATATATTTCCGAAATAAGAGGCAAAGATGATACAACATAACCGTCTTCAGATGGCATAACTGTGAAAGGATCTTAGTCTCAATCTATTTGTACAAAGCAGGGATTCCTTTAAAGTAACTTCTGCAATATATGCTCATAGATGTTCAAAATTTGAGAGAACTGATGAAAATTTGAGAGTATATTTTTGTATAAAATGAAGCTTTTAACCATTTGCAATATGTATTCCCTTGTACGATATCGGTATGCGCTTTACCGCTGGGTGTTCACTTTGCTTTTAAGCCAATATTTTGATATATATTGCGACAATATTGACAAAATACGAATAGATTACTGAAAGTATGACTTTTGAAATTTTCTACTGGATTTTTTTTCACCTACCATCTGACAATCACTTCTGGATGTCCATCTACATGCACTACCCACTGTATCATTTCTTCTCCCACATGAGACACCATGTATCTGATATCATTTGGTTCAGTTATATTTATATAATATTCATCAGCACCTAAAAGTCAGACGGAAACCGGTAAAGAAGAAAACGGACAAGAAAAGGAAAATTTAATGATCTATCTTACCAAGAACTTTGACTTGCACAGTAGCTGCCGTCGTATGTTGCTGATTGTCTGATACTTGGCAAGTATATTGGCCAGCGTCTTCTAATAAAGCATTCTTTATATGTAGCTCCTGTGCAGTTAGACTTTCAGGAGTCATATATTTTATTCTGTTCTGAAAGTCGAACAATAATTTATTGTAGATTGCTTCTATGAATGTCTACTGAAATTAAGTGTACAGTGAAATCTGAATTTGACTGATGGTTTGAGTTCAATGTGTATAAGAGAGGAGCGCGAGAGGTGTGCCAGAAAGAGATAGAAGCCGGCTAGTTTATCACCACGATATCTAGCAACGCCCAAATAACGGTTTTATTTCGAGAATACACATTTTTGAATTGTGATTTGGCGCTCCATTTTAGGTTGAAGGCTATCAACGCCACAAATTATCCAGCGTCACATCATTGATTCGCTTGACAACACCGTACATTCCAAGGCAAGGTTTCCACCTCCATAGTATTAATGTATACTAAGTGACATATAAATCCGAACACCCAGTTTAAATGGTTTTATTTTAATAAAAGTTGGTGAATGTATTTATCTTACTGTAAACAACAAGTGAAAAAATTTTCAGCCTTATCAGTTGGACATTCCGGTTTTTATACTGCTTTTTTTTAATTCACTAACGCTCTAAAAATGAATATTTCAGCCGCAGTAAAGAATCAACGTTGGCGGATTTTGGTTCTTGACATCCTTTACGATCGGTTACGATGCCTAGAGTACGGAGACCTGTACGATTTCGTCAACTTAGTGAGTTTGATAGGGGCCGTATAGTGGGACTTCGGGAAGCTGGACTTTCTTTTCGGGCAATTGCAGTTAGGGTGCAAAGAAGTGTAGACACTGTGGTTAGGTATTGTCAGGCCGTACGTAAAGAGCAAGGGGCACTGGACGCCGCCGTAGAACAACAGACCGTGAAGATCGCCGCCTAAGATTAGTGGCCTTAAGGGACCGTTTCTCCACTACCAGGTCCATTGCAAATGAATGGTTTGCAGAACACGGAAGACCTATTGGCATGCGAAGTGTTTACCGACGAATGAGAAGTTTTGGCTTGTTTTCATACCGGCCACACTGGGTCCTCCCTTTAACTCGAGAACACCGACGTAATCGCCTTGAGTGGTGCAGACAACGGTCACTCTGGGATCAGGAATGGAACAGTATTGTCTTTAGTGACGAGTCTCGATTTTGTTTAGGCATGCACGATGGTCGTGCCAGGGTTAGAAGGCGACGTGGTGAAAGGAGGAATCCACAGTTTTTTGTTGAAAGACATGTTCATCACACTGTTGGAGTTATGGTTTGGGGTGCTATAGCTTATGGTTCCAGGTCACCTTTAATCTTCATCAGAGGTAACATGAACGCGCAGCGTTATATCCACGAAGTTCTAGAACCCCATCTTTTACCCCATCTTGACACCCTGGCAGATCCAACTTTCCAACAAGATAATGCCCGACCACATGTTGCAAGAGTCACAATAGACTTCTTTCAACATAATGATGTCACATTGTTACCATGGCCACCAAGATCTCCCGACTTATCCCTAATTGAGCACGTGTGGGATATGATGGGTAGGAGATTGCTCAATTTGCAACGTCCTCCTCAGACTCTAGAAGCACTTCGAGAGGAGTTGGTGGTTGCCTGGAATGAGATACCACAGGAGGACATTGACCACCTGATCAGAAGCATGCCTAGGCGCTTTGGAGAATACGTAGCACATCAGGGTGCATCCACACATTATTAAAGGTCAAAGGGCTTTAAAGCAGTGCAATCATTTTGAAATTTTTATCATTTACTTATTATGCTTCATTAAGTACTTATACAAAATTTTATTAAAATAAAACCATTTAAACTGGGTGTTCGGATTTATATGTCACTTAGTATATATTTTTCTTATAGAAGTAGGAGGAATGAAAATCTTCCTCAAAGAAAAAAATCTGCCCACCCCTGAGAATTTTATCTTTCCCCAATTTTATTTAGTTAATTTTAGTTCAGTGGATACTTACTGGGTCCAGTTTTATTCCATCTTCACGTTTCCACTTGAACGTTACTGAATTTTGTGACGTTACTGTACATCGTAACGCTATTTCTTCACCTACCACTGTATGACCTTTCTTCAAGTCGGTCACTTCTGGAGTGTCCAAATGGCTTACAGCAGCTTAACAAAATATGTTTTTGAACAACACTTTTCTTAAGGATCATCGAACTTACCACATGTAACTTATAAGTTCAAGAAGCTTGAATTATTGTGAGAACTACAACTCCTATTTTTTATTATATAGATGAATTGTATAATAATCACTACTTATTAGTTACACATGGTATAAACATTAATAATCGTAGACAGTCAAAACCTGATGCTTTACGTTACTAGCATATATAAACATATCATTCGCAAGTGGGGATGATTAAACTTCGTTGATAGTTCAAACGTCAGGCTTTGGCTATAAAAGATAAAATAATATATACAAAATAAAGGAAAACATTACCAACACCAATAACTGGATGTTAAGAAAGCATCAGAAATATTAAACATATAGATGAAAGATGAACTGCATGCCATCCTCGATAGAAAGCTTCAAGTTCGGATTTGTGAAGCTTTGTTCATACCTTTTCGAACATTGATTGGGTCAACCTGTTTTTTACTAATCTTTTTATCCTTTCGTCGTTTCCATCTTGCTACTTTTAATGTTATAACAGAAGCATTTTTCTGGAAAGTTTACAGCTTATTACCTCTTAGTAGAGCTCAAATACATCAACATCTAAAGGTGTGTATTGATGAAACATTTACATCTACATTCAAATCCATCAAGGACATTATGTCACGTCTTGTGAACAGGAAAATTGCTCTTTTGGTACCTGTATTTGTTTCAAGAGTCTTACTTCAACCTTTTAGGTCTATCATTTGCTAAAATCTTCTGGCTTACAAACCTACTTTAGCTCTTTTCAGCTGCCTAATATAGAATGACTTAGGATTTCCAAATTAAATCATCACCAGATTTAGAACCCATTTCTAGCTTGATATAGTCAGAGAGCAGCCACTAATGTTACGTGTGGCCCTATATGTCCTCTCAGTGTGTTCGAAAAAATATGAAAAAAAGTTTCTATAAACATGGGTCCGGGAATGCAGAGAGTTCAAGATACACGGTGATACATTTAAAAATTATTTTTTTATTAATATCTTAAAAAATATTGACTCGATTCTATTGAAATTTGAACTAACGCGCAAATGTCAAATCTCCATGCAGAAATGATTTTTTATTTTCCAGGGCACTTGTGACTTTTTTAGCAAAAATTCATAAACCAATTTTGACAGTGACATGCAATAAAGCGGTTTAATTTTTTTTCTCGAAAACGAAGTGAGATATAAAAAATACAAGATAAAAGGAAGTTGAACTTTTAGATGCTCAATCAAACAACAAATATTAAAATTACAAAAAAGCAGCGGCGTACATTTTTCTTGTCAATAATATTTGCTAAGGTGATCTCCGGGACGCCACTGTACCTAATAATTTCAATCTATTTGGGGCTAAGTTAGCCTCTTAATATAACAAATAATATTGCCAAATGCCAACAGAATCGAGTATATATTTTTATGATATAATTTAATACAAAATATTTTTATTTTAATTTATCACCCTGTGTCTTGGAAGCTATGTGTTTCCGGACCCATGTTTATTGAAACTTTTTTTCATATTTTTTAACAAGGAATCATCCTCTAAAATATCTCCATCTACGTTACGAACACCTTGCATAAAAGGTCAGATCACGCGATCCAAATCGTGGTCGTTTTTGACCACATTTGAACTTTTTAAGACTCATTTTACTCCTTTTTAAAGACAAACATATTTTGTAATTATAGATTTTTCGATTAAGCCAATTCTTTTTGTGATATACTAAGGTCCAATACTTATCATTAAAATAAGACTACTTTGCATGTTAAATCATCCATCTTCGGTAAGTCTGAACCAAAGTTCCAACAGTAAAAGGAATTAAATTTACTAACCCTAAAGACACTTTTTGCTAATATGACTGTTTCACATCTTGGCGTCCAAACGACGACGATTGTGTTATTGATTAAAAAGGGTATGAGAAATAGCCAAAAGTATGTTTCAAAAGCATCATACAATGTTTACCTTGTAATGTGAGGCATCTTTTACTAAAAAACTGAACCTAAAATCAGGTGCTAAGACTGAACTCCAAGTAAAAAGGTTAAGATTTTATTCTTGGGCAAGTATACTGATAATTTCATCTTACATCTTCATATATAGTTGTGTTCACTTCCTCGTGAGAATCGCTTATAGGTTCTTCCTCAAATTCGATAAACATTATTTTAAGTACATTTCTTTGCTTCAGCGGAAATTTATAAGGTCTCTTGCCTATAGTGTGATTTTCTTTAGTTTTCTCAATATATTCTTTGGACAGGTCTAGTTAACAACTTGAAATTCTGGGCGAGGAAGTAACTGTATTTTTCAGAGTTCCAAGATGATGTCTGGGCGCCATCTTGGAATATTGTCAAAAAGGAATGAGGGTTCATGTGATACCTAATTTAGAAACTGCCTATCAGTACTTTCTAACCCCACATATGAATTTACCGTATTTCGTAATGGCGAAATAATAGACTATCGAATTCAGCAGCCGCCAGGAAGAAGCCTAAAAGCTGTGAATTGGGTTGATGGTACAGAGGAACAAAGTCGGAGCCAAGACGGATCCCTGGGGAGCACCCGCGTTGACGTTGTGGGATGAAGAGGAGAACCCGTCAATTACGATGGATATCTTGAGACCAGAGAAAAAGCCAGCCACCCATCTGCAAAGCTTCTCTGGGAGGCCATGGGATGGAAGTTTGCATAGGAGAGCAGCGTGCCACAGCTGATTGAACGCTTTCCTTATATCAACAGCAACGACATGAGTTTCACCATAAGACTGGATGAGTTTACTCCACAATTGAGTGACGTAAGCTAGGAGGTCCCCTGTGGCTCGCTGGTGCCGGAAACCGTACTGCCTGTTGCTAATCAAGTGGTGACCTTTGAGGTAGTCCAGAAGCTCGCAATTTATGCACCTCTCCATCACCTTGCTTGTAACAGAAAGCAGAGCTCTAGGCTTTTAGTTGTAATGGTCAGTCTTAGATTCCTGTTTTGGAATGGGTTGGGCATCAGCAAATTTCCAGTTTTCTGGAAAGGTACCAGATTCGTAAGAGCCGCGAAAGAACTGGAGCAAGCTCCGCTGTACATCTATTCAACACAACGGCGGGAATCAAGTCCGGACCAGAAACGTTGTAGATGACGAGCCACAAGAGCACCCATGGTCTTATGCCTGATGTTCCCGTATAGTGTGGGGAATCCCTTGAATCGACGGCACTCGAGGACACCATGGTGGAGTTGACAGCAAAGATATTGGAAAGCAAGCATCTTTGGGTCGGTTACAATCGTGACATCCTGACACGCAATTTGCTTGGCCAGCGGCCAGAAAAAACGGCTGCCGTTTCGCTGCGACATCACCCTGTGCCTAACTTTTATATCTGGCATTGCGGACCGCTTTGTTATATTTGTTTCTGTCTCGTCGTCTGTTTCGAGCTTCTTATGAACACCAAAACTATCTTTCAAAATGGCTGACTGACGGGATGTAAAAGTTGAGCCTTTCCGTACTCTGACCTTGCTTATAACTCGAAATGATTTCTTATACATATTCCTATAGGTGCGTAATAATGCCCTTTATTGAAACTGAGAGAACATATTAGGGCACAAGTGACCTTAATGGCTGCTCTCAGACTGATAGAAAATATAAGCGAGTTGAAACGGATATGCTAGATGACGTAATCTTTTAAAAAATAAAATCTCCACATACGATTATTCATCATTCAATAGAATCATTTCTCCTAGGATGTGTAGCTTTTTTAATTTATTTTAGATATCCTAAATCTTCTATGTATTTCAATGCTGGTCTAGCATGCAGTCCCTGAAGAAAAAAACGAGAACAAAATTCGAAGAGGCAGAATGACAGACAAAAGCAACAGAAAAGTAAATCCAGCACCAGATCATTCCCAATGAAGCACATTCCACGACTCTTACCATCTATAAAAAAATCAACAGTGAATGACGTATCATTTCTTGTGAATTCACAATAGTGATAACCTAGTTGGGCTGCATCGACATAAAAAAATGAGAATCCAGTTTTTGGGTTGTAATCTGCAGTGGACACCTCCTGCGGAAAAATCATTGCGATGTGAATATAGAAAGAAGTAACAAGTTTGATTGGATGAAATTTTAATGGCTTTGGAGTTGAATCATGATTAGGTTTCACGTGAAAGATACGGAGGTTTTCTCGATATGTGTTGTCTCGTTACTTCTTTTTATCCATCTAGCCTGCACCGAAATTCAACACTTGCATCAACATCCTTTCCATGTTAATTTATTTTTAAGAAAATTAGTATATTAATTATACTAAGTGACATATAAATCCGAACACCCAGTTTAAATGGTTTTATTTTAATAAAATTTTGTATAAGTACTTAATGAAGCATAATAAGTAAATGATAAAAATTTCAAAATGATTGCACTGCTTCAAAGCCCTTTGACCTTTAATAATGTGTGGATGCACCCTGATGTGCTACGCATTCTCCAACGCGCCTAGGCATGCTTCTGATCAGGTGGTCAATGTCCTCCCGTGGTATCTCATTCCAGGCAACCACCAACTCCTCTCGAAGTGCTTCTAGAGTCTGAGGAGGACGTTGCAAATTGAGCAATCTCCTACCCATCATATCCCGCACGTGCTCAATTGGGGCTAAGTCGGGAGATCTTGGTGGCCATGGTAACAATGTGACATCATTATGTTGAAAGAAGTCTATTGTGACTCTTGCAACACGTGGTCGGGCATTATCTTGTTGGAAAGTTGGATCTGCCAGGGTGTACAAGATAGGGTAAAAGATGGGCTTCTAGAACTTCGTGGATATAACGCTGCGCGTTCATGTTACCTATGATGAAGATTACAGGTGACCTGGAACCATAAGCTATAGCACCCCAAACCATAACTCCAACAGTGTGATGAACATGTCTTTCAACAAAAAACTGTGGATTCCTCCTTTCACCACGTCGCCTTCTAACCCTGGCACGATCATCGTGCATGAATGAACAAAATCGAGACTCGTCACTAAAGACAATACTGTTCCATTCCTGATCCCAGAGTGACCGTTGTCTGCACCACTCAAGGCGATTACGTCGGTGCTCTCGAGTTAAAGGGAGGACCCAGTGTGGCCGGTATGAAAACATGCCAAAACGTCTCATTCGTCGGTAAACACTTCGCATGCCAATAGGTCTTCGGTGTTCTGCAAACCATTCATTTGCAATGGACCTGGTAGTGGAGAAACGGCCCTTAAGGCCAATAATCTTAGGCGGCGATCTTCACGGTCTGTTGTTCTACGACGGCGTCCAGTGCCCCTTGCTCTTTGCGTACGGCCTTCTCGAAGCCATGCCTGACAACACCTAACCACAGTGTCTACACTTCTTTGCATTCTAACTGCAATTGCCCGAAAAGAAAGTCCAGCTTCCCGAAGTCCCACTATATGGCCCCTATCAAACTCACTTAGTTGACGAAATCGTACAGGTCTCCGTACTCTAGGCATCGTAACCGATCGTAAAGGATGTCAAGAACCAAAATCCGCCAACGTTGATTCTTTACTGCGGCTGAAATATTCATTTTTAGAGCGTTAGTGAATTAAAAAAAAGCAGTATAAAAACCGGAATGTCCAATTGATAAGGCTGAAAATTTTTTCACTTGTTATTTACAGTAAGATAAATACATTCACCAACTTTTATTAAACTAAAACCATTTAAACTGGGTGTTCGGATTTATATGTTACTTAGTATATTTTGACTTGGAGAGTAAAATCTAAGGTCATAAGAGATGCCTCTGTCTTTGATTCCTTATTAATATCCTTCAGCAAATTAATCAAATTTACAAAAAAATCGCTGAACCTTTTTGATTGACGCAAGTTGTTTCGATGGCAGTCTTTGAAAGAACTGTGCCCTTGTGTCCCAGTTCAAGAAGTCAGTGTAATAAGGGACCAACAGGCAGAATTCCTTGATAAGCTCAAGTAAAAAGAAGCATTGAAACATACTCTCCACGGTCAGCACGCCCAAGCAAGCTTCAGACAGATTATTCCTCGTAAATGTGGCGTGAAGATTTCGTATGTCTGTGGGTCTTGCTGTGTCATTTGTGATGAAACCTTTGTGTGGGTCGAATCGATATACTCTGCGTTTCCGAAGCTTGTTCACAGGAACTTCCTTTGATTAGTGGGATATTAGTTCGAGTTTTCGTCAGCTCTATCCTTTGTCATGACAATAACGCAACTCGTTTGGCCGAACAATAAAGTCAAGTATCAAAATCAGAGTAGCAGTAACACATCGTAAGCCACTGTGTTTTTGGATGGTGGTGACAGATATTTCATGGACTGCGATTTAGTAACTGCTACTTTTAAGTTACGCATAACGTGAAAGCGTGACTTGATCACGGTTTCTGGAATTTCACGGTCACAGGATCACGGCAGTAAAGTAAAAAATGATACAGGGTGCGGCAGAGAGGATGGACGATTTTAAAAAAATCATAAAATAGTTAATTTTTATTCGAAAACAAATTTATTGATGGAATCAGGTTCACAAGGAAATAGCATTTGAGACAGTCAAGTGTGAAAAATCGCATCAGGCATGTGGTGGCCGAAATCGTTGTTGCAGTGCTGGAGGCGTTCTTGGAAGTTCTCGTAGACTCTCTCCAACATCACTCTCTCCACTTGGGCGACTTCCACGCGAATTTCGCCCTTTAATTCATCCAGAGTTCGGTTTCCCCATAAGCAAAAATCCCATATGGATAAATCTGGGGACCGAGGAGGCCAATGAACATCGCCAAACCTGGAAATAAGGCGACCAGGGAAGAGAGGGCGAATAATGTCCATGGATGCTCGGGCTGTGTGGGCAGTCGCCCCATCCTGCAAAATTCGCCTTACCGAACGATCGCTAAGGCGAAGTGCAGCAGCATGTTTCCGGGCAGATCGAGTCGGACTGCGAAGAAAGACCTGTCGAACGCGTTCAACATTTTCAGGAGTTCGAACTGTTCGCGGCGCTCCTCTTGGTCTTCTGTTGATCAGTTCACCACGCCTGCGAGTGATTCAACTCACGCTGTACGACGATGACTGACTCATTATTTCGGACGAAACAATCATAGGCGAAAACGCGGTGTTCCACCGTCCAAGGCTCCATAACGACAACTGGTAAAATAATGCTAGGATCTCACGAGTCAAACGGCACGCTCCCCACCTCTCTCGTAGACGGAGGCGGAGAGTACTACCCATCCCAAAAACGTCCGTCCTCTCTGCCGCACCCTGTATATCACCGTAACATTTCTGTGACAAGCAACATGGCGCCTTATAGCAGTGGCGTACGATCAGTTATGCTATTTTCTACTTTTGTACTTTTCATATACAGGGAGTTTACTATAGGAACCGACAACATTTTTGGATGATTGAGAAAGCTATTCGGTGATTTTAGTGCTGCTCTAAAAGATTTTTCTAGTTTTTATGTCGAATAAATATTGTTATAAGAGATAACACAAAATAAACGTGGTTTGATCCTGTAATGCATTTTTAATGAGACTTAATAGGTAGTTCATACAAACGTCCTCAAAAAAATGACTTATGAGCTTCCAAAGTCGTGAATTTGTTCCCAGTGAATAAAACATTTGAATTTGCAATTACTACCTTCATTATTCTAGTCAAGTGGTGGCAGTCATTCCGGAAATAGCTTGTACCTAATTCAAATAAAATAAAAATAAAAGGTCAGTAGCCAACTGTTTTCTCATATTTTGACTGCATGACAAACTATTTCTACGACGTGTAGTATACCATTAAAAAGGTAATAAACCACAGAACGTTCATAAATAAAGCGAAGTTACAAAGGAGGTATTATCACGTGCCAAAATCACGTAACCATTTTTTTCTATTTATCACTTATCAGTAATTTGAATTTCTCTTCATTGATAATAGAGCGCCCATTCCTAGGCCAAACCCTATTCAATGATTTTCTTTTGGCAAATTTAATAGTTTATTGATTGTATAATTTCACTCGTATTATATGTTTCTTTCTCAGCGATTCAGTATGGTGTTGACGATCAGCAAAAAACTCTGTAGTTTTTTTCCGTTAGTTGGTTTCCTATAAAACATATCTTTTTCAATGCCACTCAAGATACCTTCTTCTAGAACGTTACGTGTTCTGCGTGATTCGCTTTTCTGTTTCCGTTGAGGTCGTGGTGCAGGGGTCCTTTCGTCATTTTCCGGACTCTGGGATATTAGACCCACCCCAAGCGCCAATTCATGAACAGCACCCTCTTTTTTTGTGTAACTTAAGTTTAGTCATTTTGGTTTGGGTGCTACGTCTTCCATTTTTTTTATCGTATTTTGACCCTCAGCGGTAAGTTCTTTTTTATATACCTTCGGACCACGTGCCTTAATGCGTGTCCTGATGACGTTCGATCAATATTTGCGTTCTTTTAGTCAATAGAAACAGAAGGGAATCATCATCCTTTCCCCTCCAGTTGGTTGCATTTTGTTGCAGTTTAACAAATTGGTGGAAGCCATCCCCTTGACCCTGATGTGAACAGGTAAAATATCATTCTAATTAACAATTTCATAGATCTTTATACATTTATTGTTGCTTATTGAAATTCTTAGAGACCTCTTGATTTTATTGGACATTCTACGTATTCAAATATGGGGGCAGGGCCTACATGGCACCTTTTATTACATTGATCATGGTTTTGATTTTTGAGCTGCCATAACTTTTTAGAACAAAAATATATATGTTCAGTACATTTTTATCTTTTTTTCTGCCTTTGCTTTACTTTTCTTGTACAAAAAAATGTACATGGTTTTGCTTCAAGCGCGGTTGTTTTCAATGAGTAGTTTTATCTCAGAGAGTAGTGTAGATTTTTGAACAGTCTTTCTCTCTCTAGGGTTTCTTTTACTACCATAATTTTTGGCAACGAGGCAAGCAGCCCCTGCCCAGTGACGTGCCCACTATTGGCCACTTTTTGACCAGAGTTGAGGACATCTTGGCCGCGCCTGACAAAGAAAACCTACAGATAAGTTTAATATTTAGGCGCAAAATATCTGTGTTATCCCAAAAACTAATTTTGTCAAGTTGTATTTAAGATTTATAACATCCTTTCTTTTTTTATTACTCGCACTCCAGTAGTGGAGCACATGTGCGTTTTTTTTATTAATCAATATATTGAGATTCATTTAATATCTTGTTTTATTTGGCTCTCTCTGTGTGTACTATTACTTAAATTTCGTCATCTATGTTAGATTCTCCTTTTGTGTGGTGGTCAAGCAAAACAAGTTCCGACTAACATCTTGGGGAGTTGTGGCGATCTTAACTGCCTCCCCTACTCTCCGCTTTATTGAGCTATGGCCTAAAGTTCCATGCCACTAGACAACTATTTTGCTTGGATCAACCGTTAGATAGTATTTATCATTGTGTTTTATTAATTAACCAAAAAAAGGCGTGGCAGTATAGTTTTTGGTGTTACCGAATTTTGAGTTAACATTTTTTTTTGTTAACTCAGCACAATTTTACGTCTTATATTTGCTTTGATTTAACTAAGCAAGCATTACAGAACTCAACAGCATTTATTTGTGTTATATCGATAACAAAAAAATTATAACGATATTAATGCGGCATTTCAGGGAATTTAGCATACGAACGAAAAAAAGATCATGTCGCGGTTTCCACCAAAGATTAAGTCACGTCTCCATTTACAGATAAAAAGAACTTGTCGGTTCATGTATATTTAAGATCCAATTGACATATGACAGAGCTGGCTAGGATCTATCAAATTGTGAATATAAACTAATAAAAAAAAAGAAATATTAATATCTAGCAAGAGTTGAGTTTTATACAGGGTGTCCCGAAAAAAGTATGCAATATTCTACCAGCGGTTTCTAGAGCTTAAAATAGGAAGAAAAGTTTATATAAACAAAGGTCGACAAAGGTCCCCTAAGGGCGCTACGGCCTTTTAAAGGGGCTCACCTGAAGATGGTTTTTCCTTAATATTTCCGAAACGTGTGGAGATAAAGACATAAAATTTGGTATACTAGCCTAGTTTTTTATGCTGGATTTAAAAATATTAACAATTTTAGACACTTTTGTTAGGAAGCGTATGTAACAGTGACGGACTCAGGTTATTTTATCCCCAAAAATTTTGTGTGATTCTATTTTTTAAATTCAATTCTAGAATTTGAAGATTTAGGGTTTTCTACATAAAAAAGGTACTCTTATTGAATATCGATAAATTGTGCCATTTTTGAGTAAAATTAAACTAAAAATTTTGTCACATAGTAGGAAATTTACTGCGAATTTAAATGAATTGTTGATTATACATAGTTAGCCATGACTGCAAACAAAAGTTGTTATGTTATGACTTATTTTAACGTTAAGCTGACATTGTTAGCAGTGTAAAATTACTAGATTAAAATCAAAATTTTTATTAAATCGATTTAAAATGCCAAGATTTACAGACAGAGACCTGCCTGACATGTATTTTATGTACGGGTTTTGCAATGACAGTTCATTGGCAGCCGTAAGAGAATATCAAAGAAGATTTCCCAATCGCATAGTACCTGGACGTCGAATCTTTACTGATATTCACCGGAATTTGTCAAACCATGGAAGTTTTCAGCGCATGCAGGGCTCAGGAAGGCCACTGGGATATCATCGTATGGATATTGCTTTAAATATGTTTGCAAATAATCCGCAAATAAGCATACGAAATAGTTTCAGGAATTATGGATATACTTCGATCAATAGTAAGAAAAATTTATGAATACCTATTTGATAGTTATCCTAAAAATAATAATTTTAGATACGAAGAATTACAAGAATGCAAGGATTACATCCTTATCATTTTAAACAGGTGCAGCATGTAATGGAGGCAGATTTTTTACCACGAATCGAGTTTTGCCAAATGAAAACACCAGTCCTAGAATATTATGGTCGGATGAGTCAATATTTACTAGGAATGGTGCTTTTAACTTCCATAACATGCATCACTGGTCAGATGAAAATCCAAAAGTTGTTGGCCGTACAAATTTCCAACATAGATTTTCATTGAACTTATGGGCAGGAGTAATTGGGGATCAAGTAATTGGGCCTATTGTACTTCCCAATCGTCTTAATTCAGAGGTGTATCTGAACTTTCTTCAGAATGAGCTCATGGATGTAATACCATTAGAAGTGCGCCAGCAGTTTCAAGATAATATGTTTTCTCAACATGATGGCGCCCCTGTACATTTTGGACGCAATGTTCGAAATTGGTTGAATGTCAATTTTCCAGACAGGTGGTTGGGCCGAGGAGGTGGCCGCCACGTTCAGCTGACCTAAATCTATTGAATTTCTATTTTTGGGGGTCATTAAAAGACCTAGTTTACTCGACTGAAATACTCAAGAAGATTTACTTCAAAGAATCCATCAGGCTGCAAATGAAATAAGAAGAAAAAGGTTTTCCACTTTTCGGGCTACGCAATCATTAGTTCGTCGAGCGAGACTCTGTATAAAACAAAATGGGAATTTATTTGAACACTTATTGTAAAGCTAGTATTAAGTATATCCAACTGTATGTCTTCTTTTTTAAACAAATTTCAATTTCGTTCGTAGAAAAAAATTATTTCTTTTGTTTTTGCCTAAATGTTAGCTATGTTGCAATAGAAATATATGTATTTATGTAATATTTACCAATTATTAAATTAGTTTTTTCGTTGCCATGGCCAATTTGATTCAACAATTCTTTTAAATTCGCAGTACATTTCCTATCATGTGACACATTTTTTAGTTTGGTTTTATTCAAAAATGGGACAATTTATCGATATTCAATGAGAGTACCTATTTTATGTAGAAAACCCTAAATTTACAAATTCTGAATTTGAATTTCAAAAATAGAATCATACAAAAATTTTGGGGCTAAAATAACCTGAGTCCGTCCCTGTTACCTACGCTTCCAAACAAAACTGTCTAAAATTGTTAATATTTTTAATTCGAGCATAAAAAACTAGGCTAGAATATCAAATTTTGTCTTTATTTCAACACGTTTCGGAAATATTAAGGAAAAACCATCTTCAGGAGAGCCCCATTAAAAGACCGTAGTGCCCTTAGGGGACGTTTGTCGACCTATGTTTATATAAACTTTTCTTTCTATTTTAAGCCCTAGAAACCGCTGGTAGAATATTGGACACTTTTTTCGGGACACCCTGTATATTATCTAAGAATACAATATTTGGGAACAATAGAGCACCTCTAAAAATTTACGGGTGACTTTTTGAATGAAATGTGCGTGAATTGTCAGTGAATTGATAGCTAATGGAATCTATCTTACGTTTCCATACTCATCATGTAGTGTCACCTCGACGTCTTTGGAAGTAGGCCTGCAGGGAATCACGGCTGTTTGATACTGCACAGCAAGTACGCTAACAAGAGGTTCGACTGCTAGATGCTTCTCATCTATAGAACAAAAAATATATTGCTGTTATATTAAAGACCTATCGAAGAAACCCTGGCTTGATAAAAATCAAAATAAAAGCAACTTCGGTATCAGTTCAATCCTTGATTGTAGAAAGATTTATGTGATGAACGCTGCTGAGTATCAGTCATCCTCTAATTTTACTTCATGATAAAAATTACGAATTAGTCCAGGAAGTATGCCCACATCCGCCCGGAAAAATATTTTGGTTCGGTTTCATTCAAAAATAACCCTTTATAACTATAGAATGCTTCCTAGCCGAAAACTACGCCAAAATGACTTCATTTTTTTTAAACAAATTCTAAAAATATGTTTACGTTTATTGGGGCAATCTGGACAGAAATGTTTCTAATGTGCGGAGTTGCCATTTTCGAACAAAAAGAAAACTATGAAAAAACGAAAATTGAATTATTATCAAGGTTCCCAAATATTCTTCAATGATCAATGAATAGAATCTCAGTGAAAAAAATAGTTTTTGGAATTTGTTGAAGAAATTTCAGGCCATTTGTCAAAAGGGGTCCCTTTATGCAAAAAACCGAACCTGAGTATGTTTCCAGGCTGATCCTCAGATACCTCGTGGACTAAATTGATGCCAGTCTGAACATGCTCCCGTTTTACTGACTCGATTATAGTAAATAAAGTAGTAAAGAAATAAATAGCAACAAAGTAGTAGTGAAATAGCTTAGATATGCATCAAGATCACAGCCGATTCTTACCATGTACAAAAAGATACACGCTAGCACTGTTGTCTTCATCTTCTTTATACGTATCTTCATAATGGCAATAATAAAAGCCAACATAATGATAGGTCATGTTGCTTATGAACAGGCGGAGACCATATTTAAACTTTGGGCTTTCAGGTTTTTCTTCTTGTGTTCTGAAAGACGTCGATGAGCTTCCATTTTCCTGTAGTAAAATAAGATTATTATAATCCAATAGATGAGAAAGTAATAGTTTTTCAGGATTGATATCACGTTGTCCGTGTCTATCTTGCCCTGATGCAAAGGCTGTTTCCTTACCTCTATGTTTGGCTCTGGCACAGACCATTTCAGTGGCTTGTTTCCTTGGCAGAATATCTCATGATTTTCATTTGCTTCTACAGTGTATTCGTATTCCGACAGGATTTGTGGCTTCTCGAAATGAATATCTGGAACAAAGTAATGTTCACTTAGAAGTACTGAACAATTTTGAACATGAGTTGGCAAAATACTGATGCTTTTTGTCAGTACAGTGGACCCAGTGGACCCCTGACAATCCGGCCCCTGTCTAATCCGGCGCCCCCTGTAATCCGACATGTCTTTGAATATGTATTACATACATACGTATTTGACAATCTCCGCTAATGTAGATCACTCAGGTTAGAACAGATTACAACTTGTACACGCCACCGCTATCATGTTCGACGCGTAAGCATTGTTTTACTTAGTTTGAATTTGATTACTTGTGATAGCGGTACGGCCTAGCGTGCGTTCATTGTTTACTATTTATTCATTGTGTATTAAGTATAGTACCTAGTAATGTCATCACAAACTCAGAAGGGAAAGCACAAAACATTGACAAACAAAGAAAAATGTGATATTTTAGACCGCTTAAATCGCAATGAAACTTTCAGTAGTAGATCTACAATTTATGACATTAAAAGAAACCACAAGAAGATCAAGAGGTTCGTGTCAACCACTGACTGAGGGCCAGGCAAGAGACAGACACTCAAGAAAGCTGAACATCCATAAGTGGAAGAAGGTTTGTACATGTAGTTTCTTCAGGAAAGAAATAGGCTTGCACCAATTTCAGGACCCATGTTGGCCATGAAAGCTAAGTTTTTTTATAAGGAAATAACAAAAAAAGATGATTTTGTGGCCAGCAAAGGATGGCTAGAACGTTTTAAAAGTCGTCATGGCATACGTTTACTGACTATTACAGGAGAGAAACTTTCTAACGATGCCACCTGCGTAGAGCCCTGTAAATTAAGATCTTTTCAAGAGGTGAATGATTTAAATCTTGAAACATCACAGGTGTACAATGCAGATCGAACAAGGCTTTTTTGGCGTGTGATGCCTAACAAAACTTTCGTTTCTTGTAACGAAAAATACGTACCTGGACGAAAAGTAAGTAAAGAGCGTGCTATACTACCATGTGCTAATGCTGTGGGCACACACGCGCGTAAGATGATGGTCATTGGGAAATCTAATAAACCACGGGCATTCAAAAACATTGATTTACCTGTACACTATTACGGACAAAAAAGTGCGTGGATGACAAAAGACCTTTTCAAAAAGTGGTTTGATGGATGCTTCGTACCTGAAGTTAGAAAATGGTTAAAAGATCATAATTTTCCTCAAAAAGCGTTGTTGCTTCTTGATAACGCTCCCGGTCATCCGTCTGAAGAAGAACTAATAACTGAGGATAAATGCATTACTGCGATGTTTCTTCCGCCAAATTGCACTGCACTGATTCAACCAATGGACCAGAATATCATTCAGTTTGTCAAGCAAGACTATAAGAAAAACCTACTTCTGAGAGCCGTATCAAAAGACCAACCAATAGGAAAAACTTTAAAAGAATTTAATATGAAAGACTTGGTTTTTGCTATTTGTCAGTCGTGGAATGCGTTACCGTCATCAACTATTAAATCGTCTTGGAAAAAGTTATGAACATATATAGTCACCACTCCTAGCAACGTTCCACAAATCAGTGTTACTTCGGAAGTTATAGAACAAGTCGCTACTGAAACACAGATAAGTCCGGAAGATTTGGAAATCTGGCGCCATGGAATGGATAAAGAGGAAATTTTTTTTCATGAAATGTCTGACGTAGAGGTTATAAAAGAGGTTTCTAATTATACAAGAAACAATCAGGAAAATAACGTCGACGTGATTGCAACTGCTCCACAAGTCACACCACAAGACGCAATTAACGCCGCTGAGCTAGGTTTACAATAGGCTGAAGAGAATGGTACATCCTACAACGAACTTTTACTTTTGAGAAGACTGAGGGACAAAGCTCTGATCTCGCGTTATAACAACCTTAAACAAAAAAAAAAGTTGATGAATATTTCCAAGTTTCATAATTTGATAAATTCATTAATGATTTTGATTAATAATTCTTGATTATTTTGGTACATATGTATGTGCATTTATGCTTAATTTTATAATAAAACGTAAGGTCTCTATTGTTATTTAATTTACTAAATTCGACATACATAAACTATGTATGATTTGTACTTCAAAGTACATACATATACATAACATATATAATCTTACCGTTGGATATGTAATTTGTCTTTTGTAAAAAATTCCGGACTATAGGGGGTCTTAGGCAGTGCTCTATAATCCGACAAATTCGATAGTCCGACACTGCCCTGCATAATGTTTGTTGGATTACCGGAGGTCCACATACTTATTCCATAGTCGCTCCTTAATATCTGACCAATCGGTAGCTATTATACCATAGTATAGAGGATCTGGTATTACTCTATTTGACGTAGATGTTTTAATTTGGAATATGGCATTTAAGGTTCTTAAGCTTTAGTTGGTATGAAAGGCCTTTTGCAAGATTTTCTTACAATGTAAAGGAATCTCAGGTAAATTGTGACATTGTATTTTCTAAACTATAAATTTCTGTTTGTTGCTATTTGGCGTCAAAACATATTTGATCAAATCTTATAACCGATGGTCATTGATAAAACTTGATATTTGCTGGTTCCTGAAGTACGTGTTTATGTCCAAATACGAGCCCCTTCCCACTTCAGTTAGCCCAACTATTGAAATCTTAGTTTTTTTCTTATCAAACACAAATAATAAAAATGTAGCAGGGTGTTATAGGTTTAAAATATTAACAATGAACATTTTGATAATATATAGTAGAAAAACACCAACTTTATCACTCCCTAATCAAATTTGCAGCATAAAAATAACACATGTTGCAATTACAGCATATCAACCTATTTTCATTTCAATGCAAAATAAGTCTATAACGCATAGGTGGATGTGAAAAATAAAAGCCTTGACAATTGTTTTTATTAATCACAGCTGTCAGAATACGTTTGAAATAGTTTTGGGTAGTTAAGGTTTTGAAAATGAGTAGAGGAAAGGTTATTAGTGAGAAAATTCGGTTACTGATAATTACATTTTTTAATTCACAGAAATTGCAACTTTGTTAGACTTATCGCGGTACAGTGTGAGAAATATTGTTAGAAGATATAACGTAACTGGTTCAGTTAATATTAAGCCACGATATGTGAAAAAAGGTAATATCAGAAATGCCGACCGAAGAGCATTAAGAAGAATAATCGTAAAAAACAGGCGTGTCAATTATTTACAGTTAAGTGCTCTGTGGAGTGACGCTGTTGGAAGGAAAATTTCGAGGTCCACAACTCATAGAGAAGCCAACAAACTGGGATTTAGCACCTGCAAGGTAAGTTTTCTTATAAAAAAAAGTGAAGTAAAAACCCTAAAGTTGCACAACTTGTTTATAGGCCAAAGAAAAGCCACTATTAATTCCACTGCAAAAGAAAAATCGGCTTAGATGGGCTAAAGAACATAGACAATGGACACCTCAACAATGGTGAGTGATACAATCGAGTGATGAGGCCCGGTTCGAAGTTTGTGTTGGTGACAGTCGCAGTAGAGTTATTCGCAAAAAAATGAAGCATTCCATGTTGACTGTCTGAAGAGAAAAGTGAAATTTCCAGCATCCATTATGGTCTGGGGCAGTATGTCATCAGACGGAGCAGGAAAACTTCCTTCTATTGATGGAAATGTGGACATCCGGCCAAGGTTTTGTGTTTCAGCAAGATGGTGCAGCGTGCCATACCTCAAAAAAGGCTATAAAATGGATGGAAGAAAATAATGTACCACTTTTGAAATGGGTTTCTAGCAGTCCAGATCTGTCACCTATTGAAACTTTGTGGCACGAGATGAAAAAGGTTCTACGACAACATCCTGCTCGTACAATCACCGAACTGAGACAAAAGCTTCAAGAAATATGGGATTGTTTTACACCAAATGTTTGCCAAAACTTGGCTAACACTGTGCCCCAAAGAATTTCAGCCGTAATAAAAAATAAAGGTGATGTTACCCAATGTTTTTATGACTAGAGTGTATCTAACATGTTTTTGAGAAAATAAATTGTTTTAGAAGTAAGTAGTTTCATGTTTAAAGGCATATTTTGGTACAAATCTTAAAGTGGGTCAACTGAAGTGGGAAGGGGCTCGTAATGGCTAATTGCGGTGGCATTTTTCGTACTCATTGATCTTTGGTAGCTAAAGCTTAAACTGCCGTCTGTTTTCAAAAAGAAATAAAACAATTTGCCTTAATCAAGTCGGCTCGGAAAATACCAACATTTGGTTTGTTAAATTGTACTGGGGTGGAATATCTTATAGTGGATAAATGGTACGATTCACACAACTGTACGCTATATATGTTCTAATAATAATTTTACGTTGAAACTTATGTTGTATAGCATCAACAGGAAACTGCCTACTTGATTTGTTATCGCTGTTCCGTTACACATCCTCTCATTTTTTACTAGACAAAGACTCTGATCGCAAGTCCAAGTGTAAGCGGTGATTCTAACAACATTTTAATTTAGCGGACAAAAAATAAAAGTCTTATGTCTTAGTTTGGAAAAGATTGCGGCACTAAAGTTAGAACTACGGATTTTAGGCAGCAGCGGTGGCCGCAGTAGTAGACTCTTCGGTCTCATGATCAGTCGCCGTGCGCTGTGCGGGTTCGAGTCCCGTCCCAGGAGAAAATTTTTCTCTTGGCTATGGATGTTGTGATTGTCTGTAGGTGGAGTGGGGCCTTTTCCCCTGTATCCCCACAGTACCCCATAGGTGTTTAGGTCTTCGTGTTGGTTGGAATATAAAAAAATGGGTATTTAAGCCGCAATATAGACAAGTATTTCTAGAAATTGAAAGAAAAAAGAATAAGCTGTTTAACAATAAAATTATATTCTTGAGGGCATACACAAAGGCTCCTCGCCAAGAGATACAAAAAGTTTCGTCGACTAACTTTTTCTAGGCGTCAAAGTTGGAAAATGAAAATACGTCCAAAATAAGACCTTAACGGTTGTTTACGACAGATCGCCAGAAATCGTCGCTGAACAACTACTCAAAAAAGGCAATTTGTTTGAAAAGAATAGTATCAA